GATGACGAGACTACCCAAAGTCAAGTCAATCGTCGTGATTTCAACCGTGTTCTCACTGATCGTCACCGCGAAAACCAGGCTGAGGAAGAACGTAATGGCAATGGCCACCGCGCGAATTCCTAGTTTCATAGCGGATAAGTGTGTGGGAAAAATCTAGGGAGCCAGGTCAGGTAGCCGGATATCCCAGCTTTAAGACTTTATTCGGCATCTGTTTTTTCTTCGGAGTGAGCTGCATAAATGTTACGAGATCTTTATTTTGATTGGCGGTGACTTCAATGTTTTTGCAGCTCACCTACTATGCACGTTATGTGCAGGATATTTCTCAGAGCACTAATGTACAGCTTAAAGGCAATACGAATCGCATTGGCAATAACAAAGCGGTTCACCAGAATTTCCTTCCAATTTATTGTATCTAAAGATGTGAATCTTTAAAGTCAAAAACGAAGTGGATTGCCACAGTGCTGGCCGCCTTTGCTCCTAAATCTGCTCAGTCCGACCTCTTCCGAAATTCTTAAAAGAGATTTCGGATCCTTCTCTCGCTATACCTTTTTGGGAATAAGAATCCCAATTCCACATGTGCGAATAAAAATCAACACACTGACTACCTCGCCCAGGGAATCTTCCGCATGGGTAATGGGACATGCAAGATATATCATGCGCAGTAACTATACGCGCGTTTTCCCGGTTTCTCGACCGCACATTCCTAATCTTTAAAAATTAAAGACCCTCACCTGAGTTAGTGTGGTCGTGGAGAAATTTACTTTGCTTTGAGCACAAGAAATGCACACAATATTTTGAAAGAATATGTAAGTTGCTGAAAGCTTTTTGGTATATTTCTACATCTGGGCTAGAGACTCCGTCCATGGACTGAGCATGTATCTGCATTCAAAATGCATGGTGCACCTTAATGCAGCTCAAATGCAATCTTCGCCTCGCACATGAATTTGCTCGCCATGCTTGCAGAGCCAATGTTTTGTCTTTTCTTAGCACACAACCGTATATACAGGGGCATATAATCTCTTGAGAAGTTCAGAATTAATCGTCCGTATGGTGACGCTCCCAGAATTAGTTATATTTACCCAATATGACTCCCTGTTCGCTTTCTAAGTACTAGATGTATCACCTTGTAAGCTTTACTTACATACGCTGAATCTAGTCACCGATCTAAGAATTAGCCTCTTCTTATAGTGGGCGCAGTTGCAATGTCAACCATTTTGGGGCGCTCGACTCTTATTGGCAGACCGAGGATAAACCTGCCCATTTGGCAAAGCGCGAAATCTATATTCAGCTCGTACTAGTTGGCTTTGTTTTCTCATGCAATGCAAGCGCATCAGCGTGCGTCCTCAAAGTCTAAAAGATAAACCTTTAGAAGTATCTCTCTACACAGGGTCATGACTTGGTATTTTCTTTGGCCATTAAGCCTCAAGAGCTCCATCGGCTGGTTCTTTGTCATCATAACCTCCGTGGGACTCCTCTGCGTTACCAGTGCATTAAACATAAAACTGTCAAAAAATTTAGTACCTGTAAATATTCGCTACAGTCGCGTCGGGCAACTTGAACTGCATGTTCTATCGAATGTTCGCATTGTCAAGAAAATATAGTCGAAATACGGTATCGAGCGGGGCGCTCAGCGATCCTTCATTGGGCGGGGCCCGGGCCCACAGAATCACGCAATTTCCGATAGTCTTCCCGAATCTTCCAAAGGTTGTCCCGTACGTGGAAAACAAGCAAGGGCGAACCCTACATTCCCGAGTAGTAGTGAATTTCTAATATTCGTATTTGGGGTAGGGACAGCGCAGAGTCACGAGAACTTAGGTGGTCCATCGCCACATCAGAAAATGACTTAAAGTTTGACACGGGTTTATTGTTCTTTTGTGATCCTTGCGCCCCTATTCTGAAAAGCTAAAGCGCCATCAAATTAGGTTTTGTGAAGGGTGAATTCTTCCATAGAGCGCCAATCCAAATTAATTTCTTTTTCGTTTCTATGACTTGCTCAAGAAAGGAGGTCATTTTAGTGCACACGGGTTCCTGTCTTTCTAGTTGACCTTTGTTCGAAAATATGAACATCATAGTATGGAGAATGTGAACGTACTCACCTACCAACATATTATTTCTTCTCTTCTGCTCCATGTCCCAAACTCCTACGCCACTATCTTGGGACTTGACCACTCGTGTCGCTGGTCATGTGAATTCCGAGATTCAAGCCCCCTCAGAGGTGCCCTCCAAACCCAGATATTGAGCTGAGCATTTGGTATTCGCCTGACGACTTTACACATGTAGCCTTCGCGAACTGTAACTACACAAAATAGAGGATACTGCTTCAAAAATTAATACCATGAGCTAGCTCAAAATTTCATAATAAGCTTCTTCTTTAGGTTGTGCTGCTATTTTACTATTTGTGGGTAGAAAATAAACGAAGGTATCCCCAATTACAGCCGAGCTTAAATTGAGGTGGGCGTAATTTTATACTTTACAAATTGATAAAGTACAATAAAGTAAAACAGAATGAACAATTTGCGCATTTAAAAATTCACCACATATATTTACTTCAAATCTAGCACCACACGAAAAGTAAAGCTTTCTCGGACCTACCTTAAAGGCTTTCGAGACTCATTAGTCAACGAAAATCACGAATTAATGTGAATTTGGGAGAAGCTATTATCGAGCCTGGCTCGTCTTGCGCGCTCCAAATTTTATCGTGAAGAGAGGTTTTATTTATGTACAGGTTCGGGAAGCAACCTTGAGAAATAAATGGCTCAGGAGACCTGCTCATGCAAAAATGGATTTCGAGCGTAGAAGCTGAGGCTAATTATTGGTAAATTTGGATCATAATAAAGGACAAGGAATTTGAGGCAAAATGCTCGGTTTGCAAGATCTGCGGCTCAGAATACATCTGGTTTACTTGCCTGATATCTCCCCAATTCTAGCATAAATGCAAGGTGGAAAAAATGAAACTGTATGAGACTTCCTAGATCTAAATGACGGGAATGGGACTTGTGCCTTCCCAGAAAAATCCGAGTCCATGTCAGCGTAGATTCTCATTGCAAGCATAAGGAGCTTCCGTATTTCTAAAGAGCTCAGTCTCAATTAATTATGTCTTATCTTAGTTTTGCAAAAATGTTCGGGTGAACTTGATCTCTAGACTCTTCAAGCTGCGTGAGATTACTGTCTGTGCAAGGTTACCATTTCAAACTTATCGAAACAGCTAAACACGATAATACTGTGGTGCCTGAACTCACCTTCCCAAAAAACTCAATGGATTATACCGAAAAAAAATAATTCAAGAGAGAATGCCCATATTATTGATTCCAATGGTCGTGACTTCCCTAACGAAGAAGCCGCATGGCAATTTATTGTGCTATAAGCCGCAAGATTCAAGCAATTAGCAAGGGACTTCGCAAAATATCTGCACATCTTTATCTCTTTTCATTAAAGTCTCTTCAAAATTGAAATAAAAGAGAGACGTTTTTGTATCCTGCCTTTAGATGTCAGGAATGGATCGATGGAGATCGTGAAAAAGAAGGAACTTTAATACAATAATACCGAGTGTGCATGCAAACAAGCATGCACTTGAAGGATCTGCGATCAGAGACTTCAAACAATTTATCCTAAATTTGACTCAGCCAGTAAACACAAACTTATTGGATTTCGATACCATTGACTTTTAGGAATTGCGCACTCACTATAGTTTGGACTTTAGAGTATACGAGCTGTTGTAATTTCTCAACACATACACCGACCATGAGAAAGGCTAAGGGACAAAATGTGTGTAGAATATACTAAAATCAGAATGATCTTTATCCAAAAGGATAGAAATTGCGGCTTATGCAACACCATTCACCCAGTTTGCCGAAGGCAAAAGAATAAGTGAGCACTCATACTGAGTTTATATGGACTTTCTTACTGTGGAGCAGATGGAATTTGCGAGAAATTATGTCACTTAAGCAATAGACGCATTTTGCTTGTGGATATTGTATAGGTCATCGAGGGCATACTCTATGGCACATCTGGACCAAAGAAGAGGAAACAATGGCCAAACCGATCTTTCCCCAACTAAAATCCAGTAAGGGATGTTTTCTAAGGTTCGGTGAACATCAAATACTCGGCCAAAGTCTCGTAGCAAGTATCGAAGCTCTGGAACGACGGTAATTTCTCTAAGACTTGTTGCCATCTGCGCATTTGTGGGCTTCTCGTCTATACAGAGTCTCTTAACAATTTCAGGAAGCAATCCGAACTTGTTCAATAGCTCAAGGCGATGTTGTAATTCCATTCCTACCACATTTTTTACGTGTTTTGATAAGGTAAATCCAGCGTCTTGAGGCATCTGCTTCATTTTAGAGACAGATAGCTTTAGCTTGGGAGACCCTTCCTCAAGATGCCACCCCGCAACGTTTCTCTGATCGTATACTTTTGTATCCGATTTGACCCTTCCATACGTGTTGTGGTGTTTCAAGTCGTTATTGATCAAAGGAGCCAAGTACGGCCTCGCTAAGCTATTAATGAAATGATTGACATTAAAAAGCTCCGTGAGTCGTGTATATGGAGACGTTTTATCCAAGAACCTCGTGAATGAGTTCTTAGAAGATGTTTTTTCTCCACAGACACTAGAACGAAAGTATTGTCGCAGGTAGGTAGCGTCTTGTGGTTTCAAAAAAGATATATTCTGATTGGGCTCAATTGGAACGATATCACCTTTGAAACCTTTGACGTACAATTGCACATTGTCAGATAGGACACCAGTTCCTATAGAAGCATATATTGCGGTCCATATGATCACATTAGGGGCTGTGATATAGTTCAACAACGTGGGAATAGCCAAATGTGTCGGGTGAACAACAATGTTCAAGATTCTCTGTGTCCTCAAGTACGCTTCCTCAAATGTCATATCTCCTATCGTATCTCTCACAAACTTCAAAAATATAAGAATATCTTGCGAGTAGCCTTTGCGCACAACATTTTCGATGACATTCCCATAGCGCTCATCCACGTCGTGATTGAGCTGGTCCACATTTCCCATGACACCAGTTATACTCACAAGAACCGGATTAAGCTCGTTTTCGGGTAGAGTGCAAACCAAGGAAGCAACTGCGGCACCTATCGCACTTCCACCAATAACTCTTGGAAGAAGCCCTCTGAAATAGAGTGCTCTCACAACGCCAAGATGGCAAAGACCAAAAAGAGACCCGCCTTGGAGAATAAGGGCCGTGCATCCAAAGCTCTGACGAGCATCATGAAAAAAATTGATCTTGAGCTGTTTACTGTTCATGATAAAATCATCTTCAGGTTCTGAGTTGATGCTCTCGTTCAAGTAGTTTAGGCAGTCGAGCACTTCTAGAATATATTCCTGTATTTTGAATTTGGTGCCCAAATATGACTTTGTATAGAGCTTCTTCTGAGCAATGCCTGCGAAATTTCTGATCAAGCCGGACCGCAAAAGAGACATCATAAGCCTTGTGTCTCCATCGAGCCTAGCTTCTTTAAGCACGGACATACGATCATCTATGAGAAGGTAATCGTAGTGTTGAGACACGAAGTTTTGTCTCCACAAATCCATGTTTGTGAGCCGATCGATTTCGGCTACGATGTCTTTGAATTCATGGTAGTTCTGTACATTTTGAAGCACTTTGAGGGCTTCTTTGAGGTCGTCTTTTTGTCTGTGTAAGTTGTAAAGCTTTTTGAACCAGAACATCCAGATATCTAGCATGAAATCAATGAGCACCCAGATAAATGTGGGGATGTGGTTCACCACGAAGGTGAGCACAGGAAGAACAAAGATAGCCGAGGCTTGTCGAAGCATCTGAGCTAGCTGGTGAAATCTCTAAAAGTCGGGCTGAATAACAATTTTCTATCTTAAAGAATACTTTCACTTGCAGGACCACAAGAAGCTGGGTCGAGATTATTAGTTGTATGCGGAAGTGAGGGTGCGGGAGGGCTGCGGAGATATTGTATGTGCAATACCCAAGATACGAATATGGGGGAGCGCCCTGAAATTAATAAGGCGCTATACAGAATTGATGTATCTCCAAAAAGTGAGCGGAAGCTATATAATGACCGAATTGTGTTTAGACAGAAAGCAAGAAAGCAGATATGAGAAAAAGGAGCTCTGCCCGTACACTGCCATCAATGGACCCATGGAAGCGCCGCACCCATCGCTCATCCGCAGAACACGTGACCACAAAACTTTTATTCTCATCTCCATCAGGAATTAGGCCATCGGAGCTGCTTGAACACTCAACTTTTCAGATGTCGTCCTCCAAGCAAAGGGTTCAGCAGGTCAAAAACCCCGTTTTGCCAGCAAAGACTACGCCGGAGCAGAAGTACTGGAAGGGATATGTCAATCCGCAATTAATCAAAGAAAACTTTCCCATTTCGCATATACATTTCAACCCAGTTTCTCCGCATGACTTTGCTGTAACATCTTCCACGAGGATCCAGGTTTTCTCGTCTAAAACCAGGCAAGTCATCAAAACATTCTCAAGATTCAAAGACACCGTCTACTCAGGTGAGTACAGATATGACGGGAAGCTTCTTGTAGCGGCAGATGCCCTGGGTCTAGTGTCCGTATTCGATGCGTACCAGCCAAGAAGTTTGTTGATCAGTTTGAATCCATCGTCACATCCCTCGCATGTTGCAAAGTTTCATCCTACTGTTGGCAACCAGTTGGTCACAGGCTCGGACGACCGCTCGCTTAGACTCTACGATATTGCGCAGACCACGTCGGGGCCCATTGCCCAATTTGGCGAGTCTTTCCACGGGGACTATATTAGAAGCGTGAATTTCATCCCAGGGAACCCCAACTTGCTCACCACTGGATGTTATGATGGAGTCGTGAGAATCTTCGATACCAGACTGCTGCTGTTGGTGGCCAAGTTCAACCACGACAATCCTGTTGAGGATGTTCTTGCCCTTTCGCCAACGACACTAGTCTCTGCGGGGGGTCCTCAAGTCAAGGTATGGGATCTTTCGCGAGGATCCAAGATCCACGAGTTCAACAACTTCACGAAGACTGCCACGACCTTGCATAATACGGGCGACCGAGGATTGCTTGTCGGTTCTTTGGACGGGCACGTGAAGATCTTTGATTACACCACGCCAAACTGGGACGTCAAATTCGGCTGGAAGTTCGGTTCGGGCGGCGTTTTGTGCTCTGCGGTGTCTCCGAACTTCAAGCATTTTGCCACCGGATTGACCTCTGGATTGCTCTCGATCAGAACGAGAAAAATGGAGCCGAAGAGCATTAACGAAAAGCAGGCAAAGAGCAGCGCGTATGCGAGAATTGTCAAGGGAGCAGACTACTTGGGAACCGAGGAACATCGTGTCATTCAGTCCAGCAGTGCACGGTCGAAGAAACTCAAACAATTCGAGAGACACTTGAACGCTTTCAAGTGGTCCGAGGCCCTAGATAGCGCGGTGTCGACTGGCTTACCATCCGAGCAGACGGTGACGCTTTTGAACGAGCTCAAGAAGAGAGGAAAGGTCCGGATTTCGTTGCACGGCAGGGACGAGATTTCACTCATGCCGATTCTTCTGTGGCTCACGAAAAACTTGGACGACGTGCGGTCCTTCAACATAATCTGTGACTTCATTGCAGTGATTCTCGAAATGTACGGCAGTCTCGTTGACAAGAGCGTGGCGCTCGAAGAGGCGTTTGGCAGCTTGGCCAAGAGAGTCAACATGGAGGTGAAGAAGTGCAAGGAGGCCAACGAAATCAGTGGTATGTTGGAGTTGTTGGCGGTCTAGACCCCCTTTGAAACAGAATATGTGTATTATAATAGACGTCATTATTGGCTCGGACAAAGGGACGTCGCCCACCGCGCTGGAGGGATGCCGAGAGGGGCGCTACCAGTTGGCCCGGCGCCGCTTCTTCCGGGGCTTGTGCTTCTCAGCATCACTTTGACACGCGGCAGAGCAGTACCACTTCTGTGTTTTGTACCTCGAGACCTCGGCACGGTTGAGGAGCCCGACACATTTGTAATGGAACCACTCGCCATTCTTGCATTTTGCAAAGTCGCAGGCAATCATGTCGCCGAACGAGGGCTGGTGGCAGAAACAGTAGCGCTCGGGCTCGCCAGGCGCCGCCTTGGCAGACCGGGCCTGGGCGCTGGAATTTTGCGAGCGACGGGATTCCGCCGGCCGTGCCTCCACATCTGTTGCCAGCCGTGTCCCAGGCCTGTGCTCTGAGGACACGGAGCCCCGTGACTCCAAGCGCCGTCGCCCGGTGGAAACCGAGGACGTGCGGCCCAGGGCCGCGGAGGCCGCGTTTTCTGCCATGCCCGTCGCCCGGGGCAAGCCCGGCCCACCCAGGCGCCCTGGCCGGCTCTTTGCTCCCAGAGAGGCCGCCAAAGCCGCGGGCCGCACGCCCCGGTCCCGCGCTTTCGGGAGCTTGAGGATGATTTTGACGCCGGAGGACCGCCCGGGCACGTGCTTGATGACCACGTTCCGCAGCCCGTGGAGCACGCGCTCCTGAAGCGCCTCCACCTGCGAGGCCAACGGGTTTTCCCGGTAGTGCTCGTCCAACTGCAGCTTCAACAACTCGCTGCTCGCACGTGGCTCGGGCGCCTGCGGCGCCTGTGCCGTGACGCGAAGCAAGCCCACGCCTCGCCGTAGCATCGCCCCGTGCGTCTTCATTTGGATCCCTAGACTCTCTAGTTCGGCCACCGCCTCCCTATTCCAGCGCTGGATCTTCAGGCGCAGTTCCTGATACGCATGCAAAAACCCCTGCCGATCGGGCTGCTGGTGGACATGGCTGGGGCGGACGTGCCGGAGCAAATCATGGAGCTTTTGTCTCTCGGAGTCGGCGGCTAAGTTGCACGCCTGCACCACCCAAAGCGACCGCACAATGTCGCAGGGCAAATGGTCCACGGTGGAGATGTACGTGCTGTATACCGAACTCGAGCTCTTGACCACGCTTGCCATCGTCTGGTCTTGCTATTGAGAAGTTGCGGCGCGGGTGGAAAAGAGAGGCGGGAGGAAAAGACAGGTTTTAGTGGAGGAGATGTTTGTGAGGCTCTTATGGCTGGGACATACGCGGCGCGGCACGCTATGTGCAGGCGCCCATTGTCTCGGCAAACGTTGTCTCGCCAAACCGCCTGGTCCAGCACCGCGTCATGGTTGAAAAAATGGATCGCCAGAAACAAACCGAGATCAGATGAGCACAAAAAAGAGTAGAAAAAAAAGTAAAGACGGCAGTAAAAACTTGCAAAAGGCTACAGGCCAGGGACTCCCGGGGCTTGATCTAGGGGGTGCAGCATACATTAACTAAACATACAGCGGCGGAAGCTAGAGGACCAGACACGCTTAGTTCTCCAAGTCCTTCTTCAAGGTACCCATGAAGGCTCTCTTCTCGGCTGGGGTCTGGAATCTACCCTTACCGAACTTGGAGGCAGTGTCGATCCACTTCAAGTTGACCTTCTCCAAAGCTCTTCTGGAGGTGTCCACGTACAAGGACTTTCTCAAGGTGACAATTCTCTTTCTGACACCTGGGATGGAACCCTTCAACAAGACAAAGTCGTTCTTGACGTTACCGTATCTGACGAAACCGCCCAATGGGTTGATGGTCTTCTTGGTTCTGTCGAACTCGGTGGCACCGTTGGCCTCGTCAGCACCGGATCCAACTCTGTAGACCTTGTGGTTGATCGAGGTTCTGTGGTGGTAACCGTTTTGACCGGCTCTGGCAACAGTCCAGTTAACGTTGGCTGGGTGCCAAGCACCAATACAAGCAACCTTTCTCAAACCTCTGTGGGTCTTTCTTGGCAACTTCTTGGTACCCCATCTGTGGGTGACACCCTCGAAACCGTGACCCTTGGTGACGGCAACAACGTCAATCATCTCGTTCTGCTCGAAAACAGAGTCGACGGTGACGGTCTTCTCAAAGTGCTCCTTGGCCCAGTTGACCTTGTCCTCGGTGGAACCACCGTTGATCTGGATCTCGGCCAAGTGAGCCTTCTTCTGAGACAATGGCGTGTTCTTGATCTGGGTGTGGACCAACACTCTGACGACAGAGGCGTACTTGGTGATTCTGGCCAACTCACGGTTGATCTCGTCGGCGTTCTGGGCGTACTTGGCGGAGTACTTGGTGAAAGCCTTCTTCTTGGACTTGTACCAGTTCTTGTAGAATCTTCTCTTGACTTCGTCAGAAAGGTGCTCAGCCCACACAGTGGTCAAAGATCTCAAGCCTCTTGGGGTCTCGACGTAACCGACAACACCGACAACAACCATGGCTGGGGTGTCGACAACGGTGGCAGCCTCGACAACCTCACGCTTGTGCATCTTAGAACCTGGTCTGTCCAAGTCTCTGACAATGGTGGTCATACCAGCCTTGTAACCAAGGAAGGCAGTCAAAGCAACAGGCTTAGACTTGATGTCCTTTGGGAAGGACTTGACCTTACCTCTGTGAGAGGAGGCTCTCTTTCTTGGGAGGAAACCCAACGAACCGTGTCTTGGTGCTTCGTACTTTCTGTGGGACATGTTTTCTGAATGAAGTGAGGAAAAGAGAAGAGAAGGGAAAGTGAAAACTTTTTCGCGAACAAAAGCTACTGCCTCTCATCGGCCGGGTAACGCTGCGAGCAATGCGCAGGAAAGCATCTGAGAAGGCGTGCAGACAGCCGCGAACATGCAGGAGCGCGCTCCATCCAACGGGCAAGATGCCGGACCGTAGCCGTTACCGTGGAGCCATTGGAGATGAAGCGGGCTTGAAGCGAGTGGGTTTTGGAAATCTCTGCCTTCTTCCGCAATGTATGCATTTGTGTATTCTGGTCTTCATCCGTAGATGGTGGTGCCGTCAAGCGCTGACCACCAGATTCCGAGATAAACTTCTCAAACCGGCCTTTGGTTCTCAACTGCTACTACAGGAGTCGCCCGATGCAACAAGCTGCGGCAAGGCGACTTGTGTTCCGTCTGTTTCATTCCTTTACAATGCGACCGTATGGACCTGAGTCTAGTAATTACTCCAGAATCTCCTTGTCATGTATAATGAAAAAGTGTATCTGCCGCCGAACCGAGTGGTCTCGTGCAACATTAGATGAGTGCCTTCGACATGTAGTATATGTGACAGCAGCCCCACCAAACTAGCTCGGATCTCTGGTTTGGTGGACCAGCGGTAAGGATCTAACTCACATAACATTCACCAAACAAATGAATCACTTTAGTGGTGTATCGTGGATTGTGAACTCCCTCAAAACTAGACCACGCCCATTCCGAAAATCAAGCGCTTTGTTTAGTAATCCACTAAAGTGCCTCCATACAGACCAAAGTTTTGGGCCATTCGGAAAAGGTACCACTGAGATCCTCACTCCAGAGCTCTAGAGCCTCCTTGCCAAAGTCCTGCGCCAGGCCATCGCGGGTGTTATTGGAATCCACTCCAGTAACGCGTGCGTCCATTCGTATTCTGTAGCGTATTGAAGCTTGTGAAAAGACGAATCTCTGAGTTCTACGAGGCTTCACTGGGCATCCTGGCACATAAACCTCCTTTTCAACAGGACAAATCTTAAATCAAGACAGGCGACAAGTGAGATCAGTCGCGCCTGAAAACCCTTCGAAGGGCGGTTCTAGCATCTGCGCTCTCAAACGGTGTATCGGAGCGGCTCCTGTCAATGACTAGGTCCTGCGTATCTACGGAGAAGCCATTGTTTGAGCCTTGTCGCTCCGAATATAGATGCGTTGTCTCTTCCAGCCCCCCACTGAAATACTCGGGCACATGATTCAGCGCGCCGTAATCGTGAGCTTGAAGCTCTATTAAATGACTGATGGAAGAATCGAGCTCGGTTCTATCATGTTTCAAATTGCCGGGGCCAAATAATGCCTCGCAGCTCGCACTTTTTAAGTAGTCAGTGCTTACGTTGGTTCCCTTGGATTCCCCGTCAAATGCGCAGCTCATTGTCGGAAGCAGGTGGGTTCTTCCAGCTGCATGGAAGCCAACGCCCGAGTCTTCAATGACATGCGAGCTTTGTAAGTTTCCCGTGTTGTCATGCGTCGTATTAGTGGCAATGCTGGTTTTACTCACTTCACTCAGAAATACCATACCCAGTCTATCTATAAGAGCTGCTTGGCCGGTTTCGTCAACCACCAACTCAAAACCAAAAAGATCGAGGTCTTCTTCTGCGCCGTATTGTGGTTGTACAGCGAAAGGTGGACCGGTGGCTTGTGGCGACTCTTTGACTGTTTTGTCAAGATTTTCCCCACATGTTCCAGCAGACCTCACAGTTGGTTTATCCCTTGGCGAGACAGAAACTCGCCGCCTGGAGATTCTCGACAGGCTGTCATGCTGAAGAACAATCACAGGTTCTAGTGCACTATCATTGGAGATGCTTTGTAAAGAAGAAGATTGTGACAGGTCATTCACGAAATTAGACAAGCCTTCTAGGACTTGAGTGTGGAGAGAATTTCTTCCCTGGGAGGTGGTGTAGGATCTCGACTCCTCAGCCAGGAGTTCATCGATCCTCAGAATATGGGGTGCATCCAAAGGCAGAGAAAAGTTGCCGGATCTTCTGCGTTTTCTGCAATGAGGCGAGGGGAAGACTTTCATCACTGGTGTATAGGAATCAGGCTCGCCCCCTTTGAGAACTTGGCTGGAAGTGAGCTCGGCATTGGGGCCTCCTGCCAGAGGAGAAGATTCAAGCTGCATCGTGAATGTCGAAAACGCATCTTGCGGCTTTTCAGCTTTAGGGGGTCTTCCTCTTTTTCGCCTCACCGGTGGGTCTGGTTGATTAGCGGGCTCGGACATCAATACAGACATGTGCACTGACAACAACGACCGCGGAATAAAATCAAGAAAGAAGTGAACAAGAACAAGTGTGTTTGGAATAAGGGCCACCGAGAAGCAGCGAGGCAGAAGTGAGTCGACAGGGTACGGGACTTTTAATCAGCAGAGGACGCCGCAGGCGCAGACATAAGGAAGCCAGCTCTCTAACAATGGCGCAGGTCCAGAAAAGTAACGGCGGCACCCAAGGATCTCTTTACGTAAGTCAGTATACAGAATCAGCCAGTTTGGGGCAAAAGAAGGAGAATGAGTGGCCAGAAAACAGCGCCGACAATGAAGATGAACAAAGGAATGCTTGTTTAGGAGGCAGTATGCACCACCGGCCACAATTGATGTCTATCAAAAATGGGCGAGGCACTGCGTAGACGCCTCGCCAATGTGGGAATCATTAGCCGGTTTGAGCTTCCAAAGCGAAATACGAGAATACATGGATATTCAAAGAGAGATTCTTCTTCGTCGAGGCATGCCCCAAGCGTGCCCGAAAACATGCTGCGAGATTGAGATTCAGCGAAAACACACTGCAAGATTTGAATACTTCTGCTTTCCCGGCATGGAACTCCATGTACGCAGGCATGTCTGTAAGGTGAGGGCCGGGCTTAAGAAGCAAATAGTAAATTGGGGGAAGGGAAAGGAAGAACGAGTCCAGAAAAGGCCTCGAATCTTGCTCACTGTAACCATGCCCCTCAGCTTCGATTCAAGCGCTTGCTCTTGGAGCTGGCAGCCATTGTTCAATATTTGGTTTGCCCGGTCCGTGCTATGGAGGCGCGGCGAGCGGGCGTGGTTTCATGCACGTAATTTGAGCACTTCTGGCTAGGATGCTACGAGAGCAATAGCTGCAGGACAGAGATTGTGAGCTCGGCCTTCGAGAATGAAGTGGCCAACAGTTACCTGGAGTGGCCCTGAATAGCAGCGGGCCACATGGCTCCAAAATGGGGCTGTCGTGCGTTTGCGGCAATTCTAGAATAGGACGCTGCAACGATAATGTCTATGCACGTTGCACGAATGTTTTTATGCTCGTTGCAACGATAACGTCCATCCACGTTGCAACCATACCGTCTATCTTCATTGCAAGGATGATGTGCTTCTCTGCCTCTTGGGGTTCGCGTCAGCCTCATGCGCAGATCTGCGCAATTTTGCAAAGACTACTGCTGAAGAAAGATGGCGAATGCAAGAGGTCATTTCGCATCTACCTTGGCTGAGAAAGGGCCCGAGAGCCGACTTTCGAGGAAGCTCACGTGCCCAAACTCTACAGCCAAAAACGTCTGTTCTTGATTCGATGGCTTTCATGGGGCAGCCAAAATTAGCCATTTTTTCTCGTGGTGGCGTCAATGGGGGGCCCAGTCAAAATGCGGCTCCATGAACACCTGCTCGGATTTAGGCCCGGTATTGGCGAGACGGGCCCGACTGGCAGAAGAGCGCGCCGCCCATTTTGGATAGAGGCAAATCCAGAAGAGCAAGAATATGCCCTGTGCTTCCAAGCCGAAAAGCGCCCCGGGCCGGCCAGCTTCTCTGCATCGCAACGCACTAGTTTTGGTTTCATACACTGGCCCATTTTTTGCGGGTTAAAAACTTTCTTTACGGAATTACACCATACTTGTCCTGTGGTCCCAGTCGCGCGAGGGCAAAAGTATGACTGGTGGCAGTAGTTTGCTTGCGGGCCAGGCCTGCGGTTTCAAATAATGGGATTCGAAATGACGAGGCCGCACCTCAACGAAAACAGTCGCCAGTGGTCTGCCCCATCATTTAGACTGGCGGCTTGGTCCCCATTTTCGCGGAGGCGTTTTTTGCCACTATGCGCCATCACTGGCCCCAGGCCGCAATCCTTCGTTTGCTCGTTTACGCGCCTCGCACATATAACGCGAACATCAGCCGGCCCAACTTTTCCTGTTGCCACCACCCCAGCTTGTGTCTCAAATGTCGAAACTCAACCCCACAACCACACACCGCGAGTTCTCGGGGGTCCCGGGAGCCTTGGCTATTGCCACGGGGTTGCCGGTAATTCTCGTGCTTTTCTACTATCTTTGCAACGAGACCTATTCGGTCCAGGGCATCTCAGTTAGCGTGGAGCAGGTGCGAGCACAGCTTCCACAAAGCCTCCACGAGTTTGCGCAATTGTGCTTTGACAAGCAGTGCTGGGCAGCGTACACTGCGTGGTTCTCTATTCTCGCAGTGTTGGACATCTACGCGCCCGGAAAAGATATTCCCGGGGTGACGTTGAGAGACGGCACGCGGCTCATGTACCGCATCAACGGCACATCCATGTCGGGCTTGTTGTTCGCGTTGCTTTTGGCAAGACTCCTCTCGCTGGAAAACTACTTCATGCCGGAGCTCCAGTTTCTCTACGACAACCAATTGAAGTTGACCTTGACCACGATCATCGCGTCGTTCGCCATGTCGTTTTTCGTGTACGCCATGTCGTTCATTCCCTTGCGCAGGCCCAACGGCGCCGACACCAAGGAGAGGATCCTCGCCGTGCCGGGAAACACCGGGAACCCCATCTACGACTGGTTCATTGGCCGCGAGTTGAACCCTCGGATCGGCGCGTGGGACATCAAGTTGTTCTGCGAGTTGAGACCAGGCATGCTTCTCTTGTTCTTGATCAACTTGTCGTGCGCCCACAACCAGTACCACACCACCGGCAAGGTCACCGACGCCATGATGCTCGTCAATTTCCTCGAGGCGTTCTACATCTTCGATGGAGTTTTGAACGAGGAAGGCTGTTTGACGATGATCGATATTGCCACGGACGGGTTCGGCTTCATGTTGGCCTTTGGGGACTTGGCCTGGCTCCCCTGGTCGTACTCCTTGCAATGCCGGTACTTGGCGCTCCCCCAGAACTACTATGAGTTGGGCCCCACTAGAACGGTGCTCATCCTCGTCACCAGCTTCGTTGGCTACTACATCTTCCTGTCGTCGAACCAGCAGAAGTCCGACTTCAAGAACGGAAAGTTGGACCACATGGACAGCATCTCCACGCCCACCGGGTCGAAGCTTCTCGTGGACGGATGGTGGAAGCTCAGCCAGCACATCAATTACTTTGGCGACTGGATCATAGGGTGGTCGTGGTGCTTGCCGACAGGCTCCATGACCGTGTTCACGTACTTCTACGTGATCTACTTTGCGACCTTGTTGATCCACAGGCAGACCCGGGACGAGGCCAAGTGCAGAGACAAGTACGGCAAGGCCTGGGAAGAGTACGAGCGGCGGGTGCCCTACAAGATCGTGCCCTACGTGTACTGAGCCTGCTGGCTGGATGTGCTTTGTGGGTCTGTTTTTTGGGTGCATAGTTCGTGGAGAACGAGTGTATGGTTGTGCGTAGTTATTGGACTGCGAGAGTATGGTAGTACATAGTTCTTGGATACCCAGTATTGGACTACGAATGTATGGAAGGGTCTTCTGTTTCATCAAATACTCCCAACTCTTCTACAGATTGCACAACGAACGTATTGAAGTACAGGGTTAGTGGACTTTGAATGTGTGAATAAGCAAGCGACATTCTTTGTCAAATTCATGTATTCCAGAATAAGCTCAAACACTGGCGCATGGAAATTCAGGTAAGGAATCTTCTTTGTAAGTTGCACAAGCAATTGCAAGCTCTGCGGGTCTACGAACGTATCGCACTGCATAGTTGTTGGAGTACGGACGTATAATTGGACGTAGTTAGTGGAGCACGAAGGTATGATAGTACAGGGTGGCTGTACTACGAACGTATGGTAGCTGATAGTTATTGATCAAATGTGTAGTAGTACATAGTAATTGCGTTGCCTATGGTAATTAGCAGCTATTGATGAAATGTAGAGTAGTACATAGTAATTGCACTACGTATGGTAGTACATATTGCATTACGGACGGATGGTAGATAATGGCTAATTAATTGACGAGTGCATATACCTAATAGTTGCCTTATGGTAGTACATCGCAATTGCACTACGAAAGTATGATCGTACATAGTTCTTGGACTTCGAGGGTATGGTACTACATAGTAATTGCATTACGAACGGATGGCTGTTGGTAGTTATTTAGTAATGAGTGGAGCAGTACATGGTAATTGCACTAACGTATAGTAGTACCTACTAATTACACTACGAACGTACGGTAGTACCTGGTAATTGCACCACGAACTTATAGGAGTACATGGCAATGCACTGCAAGCGTACGATTTATTAATTTAACATTAGATGGGTTAGAAGATACAGTTAAATATATATATAAATATCTTTAGAAATCATTAATGAATAATACATATTTTATCAAATGATTATAAATAATCTTAAAATTTACTATTCATTATCTTTCCACATCTTTTATTATATAACTCTGTCATGTTTTGATTCGGTTGTAAACGTATAGTTTTAGTACAGATAATTCTACTTCAAAAGAAGCACAATTACTTATAGAAATTAAAAAAAATAAATTTGCATTGCGAACGGCTAACTGGACATAGTTTTTGGACTACAAAGGTATAGTAGTACAGAGTTGTTAGACCACGAATGTACGGTAGTACATAGCAAATGCACTACGAACGTAAGGTAGTACTATGATTGCATTCCGAATATACAATTGCACATGGTTAGTGGACGATATAAATAGCAGTGCATAGTATTTGCACTACAAACGGATGGTAGAAGATAGTTAGTGGACTACGAACGTACGCTAGAACATAGTTCTTGGACTACGAACGTACGTTAGTACATAGTTCCTGGACTACGAGTGAATGGTCGTACATAGATAGCGGACTACGAACTGATGGTAGTACAGAGTTAGTGGACTACGAGAGTATAGCAGTACATAGTTGTTGCACTACAAATGCACCATAGTACACAGTTAGTTCTGGCACTACGAACGGATGGTAGTACATACTTCTTGGACTACAAATGTACAGTAGTACACAGTTATGGCACTACGAAACGGATGGGAGCATAATGATTTCATAACGATCGTATAGCAGTACATAGTTGGTGGACTACGAACGTATGGTAGTTGATAGTAATTGCAAGAACGCACGGGAGTCTAGTTGCACTACGCACGTAGAGCAGTACACGGTACTTGCACCACGCACATAAAGCAGTGCCGACCGCACCACAAGCGCACGGGACTACAATGCTTGCATCCCAAACGTACAAGTGTACACAGTCAGTGGCCACGAGCGTGCGGCGCACGCGGCGCCCCGGCACCGCCCCGCCTACTCGGTTTTCTTCTCGTACTCGACCTGCTTCTCGAAGCTCCGGTAGGACAACTCGATGGACGTGATCCAGCCCACCGCCGTGAGCGACACGTACACCAAGAACAAGCACACGAGCAACACCAGCCACACGCCCGGGGTGAAGAACTGGTACTTCGTGAAGAGATTCAGGGGGGCCGCCGCGCCCGCCGGCGCCGGGCCCGCGCCCGCCGCGGCTTGCCGGTCGTCGCCCCAGCGCGAGCCCACGGCCGAATCCTGCGCCGCGATCAACGACTCCGCGATCCCAAAGTCCGTCTCCGCGTCCACGAGCTCGTCCGCGTCCGGGAGCTCGTCCGCGCCCACGAGCTCGTCCGCGTCCGGGAGCTCGTCCGCGGCCCGCTTGGCGGGTGCGCCGGGCCCGAGGTGCAACTTGTCGCTGAGCAACTGTCTGAAGGATTCAGGGGAGCCCGCCGCGCGGAACGCCGGCTTGCCCTGCACCACCACGTGGCCGGCGCCCAAGTACTCGGCCACCGTGTGTGTGGCCGCGTCGTCCACGTCCACCACAATGACGTTGGCAGACACGTCGCTGGCGCGGGCGGGCGCCCGGTCCAAGTACACGACCGAACACGCCGGGGCCACCGGGAAGTCCACGGCCGCGCCGGGCGCGTAGTGCACGTGCGGGAGAAACGTGGCGCCGGCGTCCCCGACCGGCGGCGCGGCGCGGCCCAAGCGGCCCACGCGGAAAACCGTCAATTGCTCGCCGGGAAACTGCAAGCAGAAGTCGGCCGTGAGCTTTTCGAACGCCCGGCTGAGGCCGCCCGCCGGCGTGATGTACGCGCCGTCCACGGCGAGCGGCTGCGAGGAGAAAAACGCCGCGGTGTCGGCAAACGCCATCGCGGAGCTAGCGCAAGCTGCCAAGGCGGTCAACTTCATGGTGCTAGAGGTGGGGAGGAAGAGAGGGCGGAAGACGGGGGTCGTTTATCGTTTATCGCGCGGGCGGCGGGCGCGCGTCACGTGACCGCGCGGCCCTGGGTGCCCGCCGCGGCCGGGGCCTGCGGCCCTGAAGGCCGGTCTCCATACTCCTCCTCCCCCCACCCCAACCCACGTTGCACAGTCCAAAACATGCCTGTGGATGTTCCTGCGTATGTACACTCTGTGGGTGGCGCCGGCGGCTCGGGTGGGGCTGCGGGCGGCGGGCGCTGCGGCCCCGCCGCTCCATCCGTGTGATGGGAGGACGAGTCTGAATCAAGAGGCGCCATTTTCTAGATTTTTTTTTTTTTGGATTTTTTTGTCGTTGTGACCCAGTGCACGGCCCGGCTGGGCGGGCGCTTCGTGAACCCGGCGTTGCGCCGTCCGGCGGCCGTGCGCGGCGTATACTAACAAGCCAGCTCAGTGGTGCAGAAGCTCATGTTCTTCACTGCCGCCATGGTGGTGCTCCCCTTGGTGACGTTTTTCACGTGCCAGTATCTTTTCGAGAGCTCGTTGGTGAGCGGCGGCTCGGCCGCGGCCGCGGCCAATCTCGTGTTGATCTCGTACATTGTGGTGGCGTTTGCCGAGGACTCGGGCGACTCCGACGAGGCGCCCGAGTCGAAGAAGGACCAGTAGGCGCGGCGCGGGCGCAGCCGTTTATGGGCGCGGGGCGGCCGGGACCTGGTGCCGGGGCGTGGGAAGAAGGCCCGACAAGACGCGTGCGTGAGGCCGGGGCGAGAGCGCCGGTGGAAGGATGTGCCGGGCTCGCCGTGGCACGTGTGGATTTGTACACACGACAGTTGTTGTTTGTTCAGACGGGAGGTGGGCCGGCGGCGACATGGCGTATATATGGCAGATACACATCTCTCCCACCTGGTGGCAGTCATCTGAAGCAGAAGGGCGTGGCTGCACGCATGTACGAGCACCGCCCACATGTCCTGGTCTGCCGGGGCGTTCGGCGGGATTCGTCCTATGGCTCCGTGGATCTGGGTGGTCCTGAATGGCTCCGAAAGGGCACCGGCAGACTCGGGTGCAGTTCCACACACCCGGGTGTGGCGGCACAGCACTAGTAGCCAAGCGTTGGTATTGCCTATATACCCATGCCTATATATCATGCCTATATCCATGCCTATATATCCATGCCTATGTACCCATGCCTATATATCATGCCTATATCCATGCCTATATATACATGCCTATGTACCCTTGCCTATATATCCACGCCTATGTACCCTTGCCTATATATCCATGCCTATGTACCCTTGCCTATATATCCACGCCTATATATCCACGCCTATATATCCTTGCCTATATATCCACGCCTATATATCCTTGCCTATATATCCATGCCTATATATCCACGCCTATATATCCATGCCTATATCCATGCCTATATATCCATGCCTATGTACCCATGCCTATATATCCACGCCTATGTACCCATGCCTATATATCCACGCCTATATATCCTTGCCTATATCCATGCCTATATATCCATGCCTATGTACCCATGCCTATATATCCACGCCTATATATCCACGCCTATATATCCACGCCTATATATCCACGACTATATATCCTTGCCTATATCCATGCCTATATATCCATGCCTATGTACCCATGCCTATATATCCACGCCTATATATCCTTGCCTATATATCCACGCCTATATATCCTTGCCTATATCCATGCCTATATATGGATGGAGTGAGAGCGGGCACATCCGCCACGTATACCAGAAATCAATGCAACTGCACAATGCAATCAGACGAACCAATGGCGCCTCCACCTAGACCACCTATTCATGCCGTGAATTCCTGTATGTCTGTGCTGTGTACTTGTGCTGTGTACTTGTGCTGTGCACCTGGGCAATACATCTGGCTCCGCAACATGCAGATACGTACTGGGGAGATCATAAACTAGAATTAAAACAGGGCCCCGTTCCATGCACCCTGAGCTCACCGATCGGGCAGTACTGCCCACATATCAGACCCATCGGACAATGTGTCTGAATACGCCCGCGCCCAGGGCCCATGCAAGCTCATGGAACATGGGCAAATATGCTTATTGCAATACCTTCATACCATGCCACCGTATTAATACCACGAACCTACATGACACATTTCTGTCCACGTGCCCCAAGCCATCCACAAATCGTGCCTAACCCTTCACGCCCCGTCCTTTCCCCCGTTGTTCCATGCCAGTCGTAGCCTCTATATTCATCCACGAACCCTCGCGCCGCACGCGTGCACCGTGCGTAAAATACATACGGGACATTCCAGACTCTCTTCCCCTCTCTTCTTTCAAGCACCAGCGCACCAAAAAAAGAGTATAGCCGCCAAAGCACAATGGGCCACCAGCTACTACTCACGTCGTGCATCCCACACAACAATTTCACGCAGACGGTCGCCACGCTCCAGGCGTTGACGGGGTCGCGGAAGCCGCAGACCATCAACACCTACACTCTCTTGACCCGACCACGAAACGTGTTCAAGCCCAAGTTCGAGCCCGGCAAAGTCAACCAAATCGAGCAGTTCTACATGAAGTGCACCACGGTGTGGGACGACGACGCGGCGCAACGCCTCGACATCGCTGCGCCCATACTGAAGGATTCGTCGGACATCAACGTGGATAGACTATTTGCAGGGAAAGAAGTCAAGCACTGGACGTTGCAGATCTCCGACATTCCGAACGCGGGCAAGAACCAGGTGTCTGCGCAGAACTTCTACGAAAGCACGGTGGTGCATCACCACACCATTGTGAAGGAGGGCCCACCACCAGGGGCCGCCGCCAAGGATAACACACCCAGCTCCACGCAGAGGGAAAACGCGCTTGGAACAAACCCACACACCGAGAGTGCGCCAAAACACATCGGGCCTGGCTCTGCAATCGACGACGCAATCGAAGTCGTGCCGGCGGATTCTCCAGAACTCCCCGCGTCAAATGAGCAGACATCTGACAAGCCAGCCGAGGACGTAGAGATGACAGAAGCACCCGGCAACCCGGCAGAGACCAAGGACTCGTTCCTCCAGTTCCTCGAGGATTTGGGGTACGGCGTGGTCAACCAGTACTGGACGAAGGGCATCCGGTTCTTCCAGGGCGACATTGTCATTGAGATATTCAAGGTACTCATCCGCGACGACGACGCGCCGTTCCAGGAATCCAAAATCAAGCTCCAGCCTTTGGACGAGTCCAATGCCTTCCAGATCAAGGCGTACATCTCCTTCCCAAAAGGGACCAGTGTTGACATCATCAACAAGCGCACCAAGGACTTGACTAGCCTCCAGGCCACGTTGCACAATTTGTTCGATCTCAAGGTGCCCGACAGAATGTGCATGGACTCGCGTGTGGCGAGATCTCAGTAGGCCACATGCTTCTACATGTCCACGCTGCTGCTGACGAATTGGTCGAAGTCCTTGATTTTCTCGCCGCTGCTCTGAAGCTGATTGGCGCGAACTTGCTCCATGAGCTGCTCGAGCCCAAGCGCCTCGGACGGCTGGTGGTCCGAGGAGATAAGCCTGAAAATTGCGCCGTTCATATTCTCCGAGGTGTCCGCATGGCTGCCTGAGGGCTGAAGATGGTTGATGAAGCCGATCTGCGTGTTGAGAGCCTGGATCCACTTCTGTTCTGTTTCGGCAGAAATGTCCGACTCCAATCCGGACAAGCGGAGCATCTTGCGGACTATCTTGGAATCGACGACCGAGGTGGGGCCAGGCACCAAGTCGTGCACATTTTCATTGGACTTATTAAGAAAACCGACTAGCTCGCTTACGTTCTGGAGTTTTGGGTACACCTTCCCTTGTAACGCGCCTGCTGATGTAAACAAACTACGCCTCAACATGCTTATCGGATATTGCAACTTTCGTCAATCATGAGATAAGTGCAAGCACGGCCACGGTGCACGGGTGTGTACAGCTCTGCCCTTTCCCATGGGGAAGGGAAATATGGGAAAGGCAAACATGGGGAATGGAAATGTTGCCAATGGGAACATGGCCGAGAAGGCTAGAGAATAAAGGCGCAAAAATATCCGAAACAGCTATTTCTGCATCGCTAGTTTGCCGACTTTTAAGCCGGGACATGCCTCGAGTCCATGGGTTCATTGGCCTTGCCTAGGACAGCTCGGTGCAGGGAAATGGCCAGTAGGGCACCAGCCCGCGACGTGGCGCGCGCACGTGACGCGCTTCGGGCCGCCCTGCGCGCCTCTCGATGGGCCAAGGTTCGCGCATACTGGAGATGGAAATTTGGCGCGAGAAAAAATCTTCTTCCACCAACTATTCTTCACAAGTCGTCATGGGTAAAGATCACACCAAGAAGCAGCACGTCAGAGTGTCTCACAGAACCGCTCCAAAGTCCGACAACGTCTACTTGAACTTGTTGGTCAAGTTGTACACCTACTTGGCTCGTATGTATTTTGAAGTCTAAATCCCAAGCTCAGAGGAACGTCATCTCATCATTGATGTCTCATTTTAACACAAAATTCCACCAGTGGAATTCTCGCGGCGTGGATAAGAGTTCGTTTCAGACACTTGTGCCTTGGATCTTGCGGGATCTTGAGGATTCCACAGCTGATCTTTTCTTTGTTTATACGAACACTGGGCCAGCTTGTTGTGAAGGGCTCCCCAGGCCCACAATCGGAGGCACAAGTGTCTCGGAACTAACTTATATCCGGAGAAGCGATTTGCTTCTCCCATTTGCAGGTTTCCAGCGAGATTATCTCGAAAGCTGGACGAGCAACTGTTGAGTAGACAAGAACATCCCGGTGATTCGGAGCTCTTGCTATTCAGGACACCAGACTAAACAGCACCCCGTGCTTCTGTTTGCGTGTGGCTCGTTGCAAAGTTTCTGCGAGTGCATCTGATGTGCGATTTTTTCGAGCAGAAAACCGGATTTGTACTAACTCTACAGGTCGTACTGATGCCCCATTCAACAAGGTCGTTTTGAAGTCTTTGTTCTTGTCTAAGGTCAACAGACCTCCTGTGTCTCTTACCAAGATCAACTCTGTTGTGTCCCAAAAGGGTGCCGCTGAGAAGACTGTTGTTGTCGTTGGCACTGTCACCGATGACCTCAGATTGTTGGAGGTTCCAAAGGTCACCGTTGCCGCTTTGAGATTCACCGCCGGTGCCAAGGCTAGAATCGTCAAGGCTGGTGGTGAGGCCATCACTTTGGACCAATTGGCTTTGAGAGCTCCAAAGGGCCAAAACACTGTCCTTGTCAGAGGCCCAAGAAACGCCAGACAAGCCGTCAGACACTTCGGCTTCGGTCCTCACAAGGGTAAGGCTCCTAAGGTCATCTCCAAGGGCAGAAAGTTCGAGAGAGCCAGAGGTAAGAGAAACTCCAGAGGTTTCAAGGTCTAAGTCCGGCTTAGCTTGCATTTCTCTTATATCATCAATCCACGGATTCATTCTAATATCATTTGTACTGTCCGAAATTACGTAACGGGTCAGTTTTTTCAATGTTCTGTTCGTAGCGACCTTCCTGTAATCGTAGGCTGATTGGCCTGGCCAGCGCAATCTTTGCTGCGCGTCTCGCGCATGCTCTTACTATACACGGATTCTTCTATAATCGTCCGGATCTGCCCAGGCGTCTTATTCAAGAGGGACAGCATGTCTCTTGCCGCGTTACCAGACGAGGTTTTTCACCTCGTCGTCTTTTTCTATATTCCCAAAGGATGGCGAGACGAAGCATCTGGGTATTGCTCGGCTCGGGCAGCGTTGCGGCTGGCCTTCCATGGTTTACTCAATCTATCCTCTACTTGCTCGGCATTCCGCAGGCTTTTGGGGAATTACATATTTCTGTTTATTAGCTTAGTAAGAACAAGCGAGCTCGATGCCATCTTGGCGCACCCCCGCCGTATGGATGGTTGGAGCAACCCAGGACAGTACAGACAGGAGTTCCTTAGTGCTATTTCTGGCAGTCATCAATTGACAAATGGGCCGGTTGAAGACGGCTTTAGAAGCATGGCAGAATACGTGACTCGGTTGGAGATTCTGAATCTGTCTATGGAGCAAGGCGACTTGCATATGTTCCCCCACATCAGGCATCTACATGTGCTTGCAGAGCCGTTGGGCCATGTGCACCATGTGAAGTTGCCCCCGGGATTAGCCCTCGACACACTAGCAATAAATGTGGAAACGTTGGTCTCGTCCCCGGATCTTCTTGAGATAGCGCGAAATTGCTCCCGCTTGGATCTTCTATGTGACCTAGAGTTCTGTGACACGGACATGTCTTTCCGTGCGCTTGAGAGGGAGTTCACAGGACATCACTTCACAGAGGTTAATCTTTTCTTTTCCGACTCGCAGGCTCTACGCTATGCTGCCGTGATCTCATTTTTGGGTCTTCTTCTTCGAGGCACCATCCACGCTCTCTCATTCAGATTGTACAAGAAGGCGTGTGGCCGCACCGGGCCTCAGTTCAACCAGACAATAGAGTCTCCAATGGAAAGTGGGTATCGGTTGATGCACATGTTGGCATGCTCCACCCACCTACGAAGTCTCATTGTAGACTTGGAGATCATCGGGAGATTAGACTTTGACCCCGGCATCGGCATCGCAAGCCGTAGGAAAAAGCCAAGAAGGACAAGCATTAGCTTCACGCTAGTGGAATATGCGTTGAACACGCTGAAGCTACTCTATCGCCCCCGAGAGGTAGTTGCAAATCTAATCCAGGCCATGGGAGCCAATGTGTTTGCCTTTGTTTACGGCGAAGTAATTGCGCAGGCACAGCTCCACGCTTTAGGCGTAGCGAGAGACTTGGTTCTGTACTTGAGTCTGGGCATGCATCGACAGACGAGCTACACAGATGTGCAACTCGTGTCTTTGGAAAAGGCGTGGTCTACAGCGGACGACAGCCTAGTTCGTCTGTTCTATGAACGGGAGATGCACAAGACCACGGCAACTTCCTGTTCATCACGAGACCAAAAAGAGGCCCAGTTCAGGATCGTTGCAGCCAGTCTGATAAGGCCCCCTCCCGTCACTTCTGCTCGGTATCGGCAAAGAGAGACATTTGAAGTCGGCGGAGATTGCGAGAGAGAGGGAAGCTGGCCAATGATTCGGCTGGAGTCGAGCTGCGGGGCTCATGATTTTTGGTCCGTGGAGACTTCCTTAAGAGACTTGGAGCACTACAGTGCTCGTGAGAGGGCACTACTGAACCTTTGGGGGTGAGCACTGGAAATCGTGCTTGATAATAAACGGGTTGCGAGCGTGAGGAGGGGGATTTCATAGGCTCGACAATCACCAGTCTTGTGTATCGATTCTCTTCACAAGCTCTTTCTTTGGATTTACGGATGATTGGATATGGGACTTTTGCAATCCATTGCAAGTTTGTTCGCTACTGGCGGATGATACATGAATTTCGCAGCATTACGAAGCAACGAACGTAGGCTTCATGGCATAAACTGAGACAAGCACACGGGTCACACTACGCAAGTCTTTGTCATTGGCGAGACACAAGAACTTATTCATACCATCTGTGCAGTGATCAGGCACCGAATTGCATTCGTGCTCGCAGCCATTTTGGACCCTGCATGCGGAAACCAATCGACTGGAGCTACGCACGACGTACGGACGCAACCTACTGAAAACTCCTCCTTTAATCTCGAATCACGCCCAACAATTCCGTCTGCACGGATCTTTCTATCATTTCTTTCTTTCAATTCCTTACCCAGTTATTCTTTTCCTCTGCCTTTACTTCATACCCTCAATGTAATCACTCTGTGGTTAGTCCATAATCGCCATGCTACTACGTGTAATAGTTATGAGTGGATATCCAAAGCCCAAGTCCAGATTGCATTAAGCTCGTGGCACACACAAAAATCAATTCGGCCCTTTGTCGTCATCCTGAACCATCAGAACTGTGCATCTGAAAATTTCATAGGCCCTAGCATGTCTGTTTTGGTAATGCCTATTGTCAGACTCGAAGTCGTTTCATCTACTAGATCTACTATGGACAATTTGTCACATATGATAAATCGAGAACTAACACATGATATCTTGCAGACAGTCGAAAGTGCCATCCGCAAACTTCCTCACCCGCCTGTCTCATCTTCCATTCCCAGCCAATTTCCATACCAGCTAATTTCCATACCAGCTAATTTCCATTCCAGCTAATTTCCGTGCTCTATTAATTTCCGTACTCCTGCACACCGCCACAGCCCTGGACTTCGAGACCTGGTGTCCGCGCATTGTCCTACTGTTTTCCAGGACTCCGATGAGGCGCGCCGGGTCACATGATCCGCGTGACTGCTCTGTGCTCCGCGCCTCATGCAGGGCACGAAAATTCTCGCGCTCTATCAGAATCTTGAAAGAAAATTTTACGTCGTGCTCATACTCTCCATAATACAACTACAAGATGCCAGGTGTTACCGTCAAGTATGTGCCCACATATTCTCTGCTCATTAATGGAGCTCTCTGCGCTGCCTTCTGAACCACGACATGAACTAGTCCCTTGCGAATTTATCGCTAATTCTCCTTCCCTGCCCAGAATTATCGCTCGTGCCATTTTCATCTGTAATTTGGAGACCACCAATATCCAGGGCATGGCCTCCCATGGAAACATCCATCGGCTTCACGAAGCTCAACACGGGCCGCCAATGGACTTGTCTCTTTTCCCCAAATCATTGTAGATCAGCCAGAGAGACCGCATATTCAAGCCAGCAGACCCACATCCAGGAATTCCCGTACTAACAATCACAGAGACGTTCCAGCTCAAGACTTTATCAACGCTTACGCTCAGTTCTTGCAACGTCAAGGTAAGTTGGAGGTTCCAGGTTACGTTGAGCTTGTCAAGACCTCTGCCGGTAACGAGTTGCCTCCACAAGAATCCGAGACTTGGTTCTACAAGAGAGCTGCTTCTGCTGCCAGACACGTCTACATGAGAAAGAATGTTGGTGTCGGTAAGTTGAACAAGTTGTACGGTGGTGCCATCAACAGAGGTTTCAGACCACAAAAGCACGCCGACGCTTCCGGCTCTGTCAACAGAAGAGTTGTCCAGGCTTTGGAGAAGATTGGTGTCCTTGAGATCTCTCCAAAGGGCGGTAGAAGAATCTCCGAGAACGGCCAAAGAGACTTGGACCGTATCGCTGCTCAGACCTTGGAGGAGGATGACGAGTAAATGCGTACAGTTTGTGTATAACTCTTAATTAAAAGCATCAAAGGACCTTTTGCGTGTATTTGACCTGCCCTTGAGGCCGGTGGATTTGTTGAGAGCACGCGTCACTAGGAGGCTTGGCAGTCCCACCCCATAAAGTGGCTGTATATTCAAGTCCGGGCCACATGTGCGAGGTCTCTTGACCACGGCCTTCTAATTTCTGATTCAGTTTGCGGCTTAGTGTCGGTATATACTTCACTATGCTGCGCCTGGCCCAATCTCCCAGCGCCAGTCTCACTCCGCTGCACGCAACAACCCCGAAACACGGGCCGCCACAAGCATAGCCTCCTCGTCCTTGGCCTTTTTTCTCACTTCGCTCTCGAGTCCAAGCCATTCGAGCGGACCCAGCTCAGGAAGTTGTTCAATCCAACACTTATACTCGTCTATTGAGCTGGCGTCCGGAACCAGTAGACGCATGTTTGATCTATTTGCAACCTCGTTGTTGATCAAGTTGAACCCTGGTTTGTGCGAATCCTCGTGGAAAAGACCCTTGGCAAGCTCAGCACAGTAACGTGCATCTTTGTCAACTGCAATTTTGCCCCCATAAATAATTTCTCCCACGCGGAACGCTATTTCTGTAAGCGAGATGTCGGTTGTCCCGCCGGGCTTCACACTTGCGAACATCTGGCGAATTGAAAACGCGGCAGCAATGACATCCGACTCGTTAATATCGTACTTCTTATCAAAGGACACAGGAACGTACTTGAGTCTTTCCTGGATCGTAGTGTGATACCAGCTCAAAAGGAAATACAACTGCATTTCAGGAACCAGGGTATCAATTGTGACCAAGGAGTTGAATGTATCAAGTAACATTGTTCTCCACTGTGGCTGTACTTCGGTGGTACGAACACTTGAAATACCAATGAGCTCATTCGGAATGTTGGTTGAGTCCAACGAGCAGGTCAAGAACAACCTGAAACTCTCATGCGTCGGTTTGCTCTGCAACGTGGCTTTCAAATGCGTAAGCCAACGGGGCGACATCTGCACATTTTGAACCAACACCCATCCTCCTTTATCCATGGCTATATCCAATGCCTTATTTGCCGCAGTAATTCCTTCCTTTGTACCCATTGATACCTTGCTTAGTTCCACATTTGCAGATTTCGCACAGGCCATGATTTGGAAAGTCATATCGTATGTTTCGGATGAGGAGAATATATGGGGGTAGCTGGTCTGCAGAATCCATTCTCCCAACACCAATTTGGTCGAGAGTTGACCGTTAAAAAAACTGGCACAATAAGTTTCGAGGGCCAGATATTTGTCTCTCGTGCAGTTCAACCCGAGATATTGATTGACAAGATCAAAAATCTCATGCGAACCAGGTTGGTTCTCGTATTTGGTGGCAACATCAGTCCATTTCTGATCAATGTGTTCTTTCTCTTCTTCGGTAACAAAAGAACCGACGATACTTGAAACGAGCAGACCATCAGCCTGCTCAGCGCGGGTACTCAACAACCTCAAAATTGTATCCTTGCAGTGTGACCCAAATTTGGCACTGTGATAAGAGATCGCAAGACATACACGAAAGAGGAATTTGTCGGACTCACGAAGAGTCGGCGAGAAAATGCTGTATATCATCTCATAAAGCTTCTGGACGATTCTCTCGAGCTCGAAAGTAGCATCCATCCCTAAAAGAACCTCTTTGAAGATGTGGATAAAACCGGAAAATGAGAAATTATAGAAGCGATTGGTTTCCGAAAGTGCCATCAAAATCTCGAAAATGTTTTTCAGATGACTTGCAACACCTTCGAAATATAATCTCACTTCATTGACAGACAGCATTACCTTCTCGCCTTCCGACATTTTCTTATCAATGACCGAAGACTCCAATTCCAAATCTTCCAAAGAATCAATAACATCGTCATTATCAAGAAAGGTTCCACGAACTGCATTCAATGTGTGGAGAAGCTGTTTGCGGAGCGAAAGAAGACGAATCGTGTATTCGCTTTGCAATGCGCCCAATTCAATTCTTTTGCGATCCAAATCCGGGTTGAAATGCTGGAGTGAGACGTTCAAGACACGGTTTTCAAGATTGCTTTTGGTGATAGTGAAGTTTAGAAGAGATGTCCTCGCTTTTATAAATGGGGACATGACTGCCCTTGAGTCTCGTGTGTATAGCAACAATCTGAAGCGGTCCAGAAGTATCATAGATTTTTGACCAAATCGGACCACTCTCCTTCCGCCGGTACGAGTGACATCTTTTCGCAACACCGAATCAAGAATAGGATTATAAAGTTCAGCATTTTGCACCAAAACGGTTCCACCAAACCTCAAGGCATCTTCAACCGTCTTTGTGAAAGACTCACTCAAGAAGCTGGTAAGAATAAGCGCTGTTGAAAGGGCGGTCTTCAAGACGGGAAGAATAACTCCCGTCGGATCAATGATTAGAGGAAACTCGCTCCGGTTCTTAATTGCAAAATTCTCAACAAACAAATCGTCTTCTGGTAGTCCGCTTTTCGCCCAGTCATTTTGCTCTGTGCTTGTTGCCAACAAGGATGCAATCGGAATTGAGCTGTCAAACCTGATCAGCGATTCTGTAAGTTTATTCTTCCAACAAGCAAGCAAGGCACGCCGTTCATTTTGATTGAGGTTACCGCAATAGACGAAAAAAGCGGACCCGAGAATACAATTTCCAACCAAACGCTCTCTTTCTCTTTGAAATCCCTTGGTGCTCTCCAACCATCTTTTTCTTTCTTTTGTCAAATTCTCAATGAGTTTCATACTCCTGCTGACTTTAAGCTCGATATCTCTCATCTCCGTCTTTATCTTTTCGGTTTCCCTAATGACCTCACTGTACTCATTTTTGTAGGTTTCAATACTTTGTTCCAATTCACTTATCATGTCTGCAATGGCAATCAATTGAGCTTTTGACTTAACTGCATAGCTCTCCAATACTGCCACTTGCTCTCGGAGCGGGCCAATTTTCTCAAGAATTTCTGAGTATCTAATTTGAGCAATCACCCACTGAAGCAATGGCCCACAAGCTTTACTCGCTCTGTGAATTGTTTCAAAGTTGTAGTCTGGACGGGAAAGATAAACTTCTTCCATGTAAGATCTCAACTCAGACAGCAACTGCTCTTCATTATCAAAAGCGACTATCTTTGTGATGAAATTATCTTGACGGACTATCAGCTGAACATCTCTCCAGGTCGTGGCTTGATACCCAAGAATGATACAGACGGACTCCATTGCCATTTTTATAGATGCTGGCGGATTAGACATACTTCTCAATTCAGTGAGATGTTGTTTCTTGATGTTTTGTACGCCTCTTTGAGCCTCAAGTACAGCAGGCTCAGCAAGTTCAAGGTCTTTCATGACAACTGATCGTCTGGCCTCAATTTCCGCTTCTTGCTTTTCAAGTTCGGCTTTTGTTGCAACGGAAAACTCTCTCTTCCTTTCAGATTCATTCTGATCCACAATCATCTTGTTAAGCATTTTGCGAGCTTCGTCGTCCTTGAGCTGCAATTTCATTTTCTTTTCTGACATAACTTTTTCCATTTGGCTCACTTCAACAACAGTTTCGCGTAGTTTATCAAGACCAATGTTTGTATGTCTTTGACTCTCCTCAAGATCTTCTTGTCCCTTTGTAAATAAGTGATTGAAGCAATCAATGAAGTCAAGGAATTGCTTCGGAACAACATGCGAGTTGATAAGAGTACTGGAGCGATGAATGAATATAATCGAATCAACCACAACCTCCCGAAATGATGAGATTCCACCAGACATGTATGGCGTAAAAGAGGTTGGAATCACGAAATTGGACTGGTCTAATGGTATTTTATCGATCAGGTATTCTGCAACTTTTTGAAGGGATAAATCAGACCAGTCACCCATCCAACTCAAGACACATCTGTTAAAAAGGGCAGGAGAAGAATTGATCTGAGGCGCCTTTTCGCTCCTTAGCTCGCTCATTGTGAAGGCAACATGAAGATTCTCGGAGATTTGACTGGTGAACCACTCATAAATTTCGTCAGCAGTATCCAATAAAATCCCACGGGCTGAAGCCTCTGTGGCACATAACTTAATCAAGTTCTCCAATTCCTCTTCTTCGAACAAGCCTGGAATTTCTGAATTGGCCAATAGAGAATTCATTCTTTCAATAAAAGAGGCCTCCAAGATACTGGACTCATCAATCAAAAAGCAAATTTGTTCTCCTTTCGCACAGCATGTTAAAACCTCACGCAAGGAAGCCTCAAATTCAGTTATAGTGTAGTTCGAGTGGACCTTCAATTGTACAAGCTTCATTCCGTTCATCCATGTCACAAACTTCGTGAGACATGTCTTTCCGCTTGTACTTGGCCCAACCAAAATCATGTGACCCTGATGCTGTCTCAAAACTCTATCAATCCTCAATGCGTGGTCGAGCATATCTTCGAACAAGATTAAGTTGTACTCCATCTCTTCTTCACTAAAGACTCTTAGCCGCTCCCTGACAAAAGTAGCAAGAGCCTCCTCAGATACAGATTCGTATTGACCTGAAAGCCACGTGGAATATAGAACTGGCCCTTTGAGAACATTGTCTAACTTCAAACCTGGGAAGTTTTTTGCTGCTGTGGCCCAAAACAAGTCGATGCACCAGCCCTTTTCTTCGTTGGTGACAAGCCTGTCATAAAACAATCTTAACCCCTCATGATACCAAAGGCGAATGAGTTCCGGGATGTCGGAATATGTAACGATCATAAGTGTTTCCAAAATACCTCTGCACCAACGTGTCAATTCTCTTGGAGAGTATACGTAATGACTCTGCCTCTCCGTGGTTAAGTATCCCTTTGTAGCATCATAGAATTCAATCATCGCACTCGTAAGAGCATCGGAGAACGATCTTATGTTAGGTGCACATTTCAACGTTGCCTCATTGAAAGTAGAATAAATTTGCCGGAGGGCCTGTGGACCAGGATAATCAACCATAACCAACGTGACATGTCGCATAAAACGCTCTGTTAATTTGTTCCGTCCTGGATCATTTGGATTGTTGCAGGCTCCCACGAATTGTATATTCCTCAATGAAACCCAAGAAAGGTCAGCCGCTCTCCAAAATCCCGAGTGTTCCACCAATTGCCTCATGAATGAGATTACTCTTTGTGTTCCGAAGTTGTCAACAGCTGGTAAGTTGATCTCATCACAGAATACTACCGCCCACTTTCCTTCAACCTTTGGACTAAGCTCGTAACCGCGGTTGGTCATTCTATATTCGCAATGCTGCTCCAAAGTGCTTAAGAGCGCTTCTGGGGTAGTATCTTTGGAGAAATTCAACGAAATTAGCTCAAGGTTCGCTGAATTTCTGAGAGCCTTGAGAAAAGTCATTGTTTTTCCTGAGCCAGGTGGGCCGCATAAAATGAGCGGAGAATGCTTGTTTATGATTCCATTTATCAAGGATTCATGCATTACTGTATCCACCGTTGGAACTATGGTTCCGGAATCCAAAACCTGATGGGGCTCGAGATCAACATGTTCAACAAAACTAGACCAATCTTCCCACTCGAAGTCTGGAAATGAGATCTTGCATTGAGAAACATTCATTGGGATCTCGAAATTTGAAAATGGAGCCAAACTTTGAAGATGCCCTCTTAATCTTTCTTTGTCCTCAAGAGAGCAATCTCCCGAGAACGCCCAGATAAAGGACAACGCAAGTGCCTTGTAAACAAACTTCTCCAAATTCTCGACATCGGAATCCAGATATTTGAGCAACTCTGAAATGTGAATTTGTAGATAAACAAAAAGAGCAGTTAAAACACGGTGTGCATCAGTCTCCATAATATGTATAAGTTTGGAAGCAAACTCGAAAACCGATTCTATCAATGGTTCCAAGCAAAGATTTGTCATAATATCTGCTACCTCTTTCACCAAATTCTGAGCCCGAGTAATTCGAATCCAATCGTCCAGCCCTGCAACCTCTTCCGAAGACTGTTTGAGCATATGTATGCGATAATTCCAGAGTGAGCCTAAATTCACTAGTGATGTATCAAACCATATCATTGCACATCTACTCACTGTAGCTGGCGTGGCATAGTCGAGATTCAGAACCTCAAAAACTATTCGCACATTGCAAGGTAGCTCAAGCCTTTCGCCATTTGGGAGAGTCAATAATTTGTTATCATCTAGCAAACTGTTGAGATTTTCTGCCCACACGGGGTCAATGTCGCCATCAAAAACAATCCATGTACGATGTGCTGACTCTCCTTTCAAATTAGCCAGTATTTCCCGTATAACCTTTGTGAGTAAACCATCAGTCCAATCTCTCGTGATTGGGTCTAACTTACCATAAAGATTGTCTTTTGTCAATACTTTGCTGTCAATGGTTATCTTTTGATATGGTTCCCCGGTGATTCTGCTCATTGTTTTGAGCACCAGATTCATAACTGCAGATTTGCCGCTTCCTGAATGACCCACTAGCATGAATCCATGGTGTGATTCTTGAATTTGAAAGAGCTGGTGAGCCTTGCGAACAAATTCTTCTGTAGCATGCAAGCCTTCGGAACAAATCTGGTCTTTGAGCTGCTCAAGGAAATGAGAATTATCTTCCAGAACGTTCTCCATGGAGAAGAATTTCTGAAAAATCATGTTTTGGAAAATTATCTCGTCAGCTTTGACGAGTTTCGGCCCTATTGTCTCGATCAAAGATTTCAGCAACATCGAAAATTCCGCGGAGAGCAAGTCAGGATCAGGATTTGGCATTGACTCCTTCTTGATGTCTCCAGCTTTATTCAAGATACTTTTTAAAGCCCTCAATCCAAAATCATAGTGAGATTGAATACTCACACTCGATTGAAGTGACAGGAAAAACGGTATCAAGCGAGCAGATAACTCTTTAGAGTTACTAAAGCCATGAGATGTCAAAATAACTTCTGCGATTCTCTCCGCATCTGGCCGATTCATGGCAAATCCCCGGAAAAGCTTTTTCAAATTTTCAGGCAATTCATTTCTACCCACATACTCCGGGTTCATTGTGACAAAGATTCCACTGGCCTGGTTTACAGTTACTATCTGCTCAGATACAACAACGTTCTTCGAAGTTTGAAGCGATGTCTCGATGCGCTCAATCTGAGTGGAGAGAGAACTTAGTATCTCAGTTTCAAGTCTATTGAATTCATCAAAACAGACCCAACATCCAACCTTGCATATACCTAAAAGAATCTTGTCCATGGACTGAAAATCAAAAGAATCATCGCAGCAGAAAACCAAAACCATTCTTCCAAAATTTTGGCCTAATGCTTTCACACATTCAGTTTTTCCTGTGCCGGCTGGGCCGAATGGAGATCCTCCTAGTTTTTGAGCTAAGGCCTGAGTCATGGAAAGAAAAAACTTGTTGACAAGAGGTGTAATGGCTAATCGCTCCACGACACCCAAGTACTCGAATCCATAAGGAAATTTGAAACGACCTTGTCTGACTATAAGTCTTTCTAGAGGGTCTTGTTTATCTTGTAAACAATAAAAAAGTTGTTCTGAATTCCAAATAGATAGTCTTTCAGTTGTGTTTGCGTGCAGCAAATTCTGAAGGACTTCTCTGTGATGTAAACTTTCGATGATGAGGGACTTTGTTTTGCTTAGAAGCATGGCCTCTGAAGACCTCGCAGCGATTGAAGATAAGATCAAAATCAAAGAATTGTTGAACTCAACAATTCCATCAAAACTCCCCGTGAGTATTTCAGTTTGAGCCATCTTTGTGAATAGAACTTGGAAGGCCACTATGAGAAACTGGTGTGAATGATTTTCGAGCAAAACTACGATTGATTCCTCATGCAATGAATTGCCTTTCAAGCAGACCTTCTCGACTTCTTTCACCGCTCCGCAAATGTGACTGGATACTGTGAGCTTGACTTCTGTTTCGAATACACTCAACCATTCAGCTAAAGATCTATGCCTAATTAAAGACACAGGAGTATCAAGAATAATCACCTCTCCTTGGGGGCTCGCAATAGTCATGATTTTGGAAGATTCCTGATCCACCGAGATTGAAGAAATACCAGGAAACATTCTTTTCAAGTGCTTGTTTATCTGAACTGGATCGTTCTCACTACCTAAGAGCTCTAGTAAATCTTCGTTTCCAATAAAAAAAAATCTTGGGAAACGATCTCTTTGTTTGTCAAGAAAGTCGGACAATCCTTTTACAGTTCTTGTCAAAGAGTCGGAAAGCTTTTGCATAACTCTGTGAAGATCTTTAATCGATAGAACATCAATGACAAGATTGAAGGTATATACCTTCTTGAGTATTGTGAGGAATTCAAAGGTAATATTGCTGAAGCGCGAAGATTCGAGAGGAAGAGAGGCTTTTATCTCGCTGTTTGATCCAAAAATTCCATCCAAATATGCCCATTGCCTTTGAACCTCAATCCAGGTGTTGAGTAAACTTGTGAGATCGGTCAATTTACTTTCGAGCTCATATCTTTCCCTTTCAAATTCGCTATGGAACAAAGAATGCTTGATGGTTGTGAGTGTTCCGAGATTCGTATTACATTGATCAAACAAGAAACTCCAATTCTTGATCAATCGACACTTCCCAGCGTGGCTAAATGTCTCAAATGTGATAACAGACCATTCATTCTTTATGCTTTCTAGGCTTTCTTGCACAAGTTGCTCGCCGTTGGCTTTTTCTAAAACGTTGCGAATGACACCTTCATGCATTTGAAAATTGATGTCCAAGATATTATGAACAAGCACAACGTCTGATATTTTCTGCTTCGATCCCACTAAAGAAAAGATCTGCTCCCAGTGCCTATTCTTCATAGCATCACTTTTCAACTCTGACAAGATGGGGATTTTTTTTAGATATTCCTTGATGGAACTTTGCAAGGAGCTGAAAGCCGAATATTGTCGAACCGCGACAGTACAATCGTTGCAGTCAGAAAGAATAGCTTCTAGCTGGTGTTTTATCCCTCTCACATGGACTTCAGCCCATTTTTGTGTCTTGACTTTCTTCAACTCGTTCCAAAGGTTTTGAATAACAGACCACACAACTTTAAGTTCCTCAATATCGTCTTCAAGATGAGCGAGCGAAATACTGTCTCCCAAACATATTGCCATGGAAACTGCGATGTCAGTCAATGACTTCACCTGAGAAGAAAGGCCTTTCGCCCTGGACTTGTAATTGGCAACCACCGCTAAGGCGGATGAGGGTTCCAAATCAGGAGAAATCGGTTTCTTTTCTGTCCATTCTTCGCTGAGAAGTCTCGCGAAATCCTGGATACGAGACCATTCTGAACGAAACTTCAAAGCTAAGGAGTCAAAGTTAGATGATATATCATCGAGCCTTCTAGCAAGAAGACCTTTCACATTTAATAGTTGACCTTCGAGTTGCTCCACGTGAATCCAGTTACTTGCTGGGAGTATGCTTTGGTGATAGAGGTACAGTTGACAGTGCCCGTAGAGTTTGATAATATCTGACCAAGTACAAAGCCTTGAATTAATTGAGTATATCTCTCCAACAGAAGATAAGACCAACTGTGCAGTCTTGTCAAAGTATATATCCCTGATTAAAGATCTTTGAGCAGCTTTAAGATCCTCAAAGCACGTTCTACTAGTGAGCTGCAGACGTTGAACAAGAATCTGCAAAATAGTGGACTCAATAGTAGAGAAACGCCGGGACACATATGACTCAACCTCTCGAAATGAAATCATCATGGAATCATTTATTCTGTAATGACCATTTCGACTGTCAAAAACTTGCTTCAAAGAGAGAATTTCCTCAGCTGTCTTCAAGCAATTTTCAATCGACATTTCTTGGGGAAATTTGGCCTCATCGAGGCAGTCTTCTTGAGAGAAGAGCTGTTCGATGTAAAGCCAGCTCAGTAGGTATTCGCAGGCATCTTTGTAGACATCATCTACCGTAGACATCACTCGCATTACATCGGCAGAGTAGTCAGCAAACACTGTATCGAAAGGCTGAGCTCCCGTGCTCAAGGTAATAGAAGTCAAAGTCTCCGTGAGCCTGATAATTTGATTCACATATTCCACCCACCTCAGTTTGGAATCTTCGAGTGGAGGATTGACCAGAAAGGACCCATTGTCAAAAACTAATATATGATTGCTCAAGTTCACCACGTGAGATTCACCTTCAGAATATGCCCTACCCGAAAGCATGCTTCTAAAAGACTCAAGTTCCTTTAGGCACCGTTCATGAATAGCCTTTGCAATATCTTCATTCAAGATCCACACAAAATATTCCAAGTCGCAGAACTCTCCTCTGATGATAGAGTTTACTTCCTCTTGTATTTCTTGTATGACTTTCATCAATTCTTGCGTAGCATAACTGCATGTTGATATCTTTGGAATGAGCAGAGTGTACACCCTATCATAAGTATTGTTGAGGATGTTGAAATGGACATGAAATTTGTGAACACTTTCTTGTAATAGGTTTATTTGAACCAACCCAGTATTTTCGTTCTGCAAAGCCTTCAGAAACTTGTCATCATTCATTTGAATATTGAGCTCCAGCGCAATCAGAGACCACGATATCGTTGAGACCGACTCTAGAAGAGTAAATATTTCCTGTTTTTGATCCTCCATAGTAAAGCCAAATTTATTTCCATATTCAGTGCCAATATGCATCTCCGAGAAGATCTCTTCGAGTAAATTGACATGTTCGAATAAAGAATACATGAATGGCTGAATAAATTTGTGGCGGTCAAGCTGCACCCGCAACATGGAAGGTATTTCAAAACCAATATTCAGAAGGTGTCCTTCTTGATCGATTATAACATCCACGTCGGAATGAGAATTGACAGCTAACTTCAAGGGTTCTTTTCCCAATGAATCGATTATATTTAGGATACCGCCTGGTGTTTGCAGACTTTTTGAGAAGACAATTGCAGAATCGACCCATTCGCTAAAGAGCTGATCAATGTCGACTTTTTGTCGGTATGAGGCGATTTTTGATTCGATTTTGGAGCCTATTGAGTAGCTGGTCCATTCCTGTCCTAATAATTTTTGAAGGTTAAATAGGTAAAAATCTGCCTTCGCTATGAATGATAATTCCCAACAAATCAAGTTATAGTTCGATAAGATTCTTGTGTCCTTTGAGATTTCGTTTTTCATTAAGAAGGAAAGCTTTAGCAATTCCTCAATATCAGAAGAAGCCAAGTCTAGAATTTGGAGCTTGTGTCTGTCTTCAATGAACAGTAGAATGAAAGCTGAGGAATTGCCATTGGAATTGCCTAGAAGCCGGTCAAACAAACTGATATATTCGCTGAATGACTCACTCTGATCAAGATTCCGATTTATGAGGATACTCATGTTTTCCAGAACCTTTTCAAAGGCATCCATATACAACTGTTGGGTAGTCTCCCATAAAGATATGCCTTGTTTGGAGAAATCGAAAGGGCTAGAAGAGGCAATCTGCTTGCCATAGGCAAGAGTGATATTTGGTATTTGGCTATCTGCCCCTTCTAAACATGTCAATGCATGAAGGAGATCTTCATGGCCCATCCTCAAAGACTTTAGATCCTCCACCCTTTCTCGTATCGAAGATAAAAGAGACAGATCGAGCTTTATAACCATAAACTTCTCCTGTCTCTTTCGCATGAGCTCCCTTATGATATTGACCATGAATTTAGCGTTGCTATCTATCGTTTGAAATAGCTGAGGGAGCTGGTCTGCGCATATTTCTGAAAATTTAGAATACATCATGCCCACGAGATCCATTGAGCCTAGTAACTGAGAGAGTCGCTGCGCAATTTGATCAAGAACAAGTTCCACCAACCCTATCATTCTTGTCAATGCTAAGGAAGCCAGGCCCTTCCATCTCTTTAAATGACCAAACAAAGTGGTGATTGTTGAATCGAGGTGCTCAAGACTTTTAGGACCTTCGCCAATACTTTCCTTCCTAAATGATAGCTCTGAAATCGGAAGATCCTTCAAGAGCTCATTGTATGACCCAGTCTCCTCCAACAGTTCGGAAATGCCAAGATTGTTTTGGAAGGCAAGGGTGACCTGGAATCTTTTGGCCGCATTGAGGATATCTATGGCATGCCTCACCTCCTGCTGTAGCGTTTGTTCATGTAAAGATCGGAGAGTAGCCTCTAGAACAGCCCAGAATTGTACCTCGTCTTGCAACGAGTTGCCCTCGGACACGGTTTTGGACATACTAGTTACAGCCTGAACCTGCTGTATCCAGATGTTGACTATCTTGGTGAGATCATTCAAGAGTTCCGAGTCTGCCAAAACAGCCGGATCTTGTGCTGATTCCGGATTGGAGAGTACCCGGTGAATATGATGGGGGATACCGGCGAGGAGCTCTGGGATTTGGATTCGGTACTGAAGGTGTCTTAAGGAGAGCACTAACTCGTTGAACTTCTTTTTTGCCATTGAGAGTGATGCTGACGACGTGTCGGTGGCCTCATTCTGGGCAATGAAATCGAAGTAAGGCGTGATCGCCAAAGACACAAGATTCATGATCTGCCCGTACGAGTCTCGTTGCGTATCCCTTTTGCTGATTTCCCCTTCAGTTTGGCCCTGGTCAGCCGTTAAAGATAGATCTTGAGTCGGCAACAGCGACCTGGAAGCGCCCGGAATGTTGATCACGTGGATCTGAGTGAATAGCGGCAAGTGCTCTGCAAGCGGCCCCCCTTGTTTCATCATTACTATCAAGAGCTCAAAATCAAACTGCACGCGGGTTAAGTCCGATACTATCAGGAAGGAGTCGCCTTGTACAACAACATATAACGCATCGGGCTGGGCAGACTTGGAGAATGATGCCGCAAGTGACCTGCCTGTGTCAGACCAGTTGGTACACAGTGGCGGTGCCTCGCCTGGGGTCTGAACTGCTTTTTGCACGAATGCAAGAAGGTTTGCTTCGTCAAAATACATGTTGAATGGTATAAACGATACGGGGTTCGATTTCTGGTGGAGTTGCAATGCGAGGTGCGTTTGTTTTGTTTTGGTCACGTGCTGCCCCGAGGCGCCGGACTGTCGCGATGTTTAATTTGCACTTGCATGGGTGGAATATATGCGTTTCCGAACAACGCGACTTTGTCTCTTTCCACGACATTAGACGATAGAAGACTTGCTCTTGCATTCTGGCCGCTTTCCGAAGTGGTGTTGAAATAGGAAGAATGACGATGTTGTGGGTCCGAAAAGGACGAGGCTGCTTCGCTAAGTTCTATGCCCCAGTTCGACAATAATTCGTACTGTCGGAGACGGCCGGCAGGATGTAGGTGTTTTTTGTTTTTTTTTCTGGTAGATTCATCTGATTAAAGGAGCAAAACTATATAAATATATATGAAACCTTCAAACAGCTCCCAGCTACGTACCAAGTGTCGAAACTCGGCCCGTCCCCTTCCGTTAGTCACAGGTGTATAGTGATGAATAAAAGAGATACATTTTACGTCTGGGCTTATGCATGCCCGCGGCACGGAGTCAGTCGGGATTTGTTTATGCTTTTCCTAAAGACCTTCCAGATCGGTGCCACTGTATTTAGTTGCCCAGATGAAAACTCGGGTTTTGCAAGCAACTGTGTCGCAAGATCTGACTACACATTTCTTCAGATACGCACATTTACAGGGCTGGCGCATTGCGACTCTCAGATATGGAGAAACCCATGCATGTCGCGGCTCGCAATCAGTGCAAGTCCACTATTGCACGGAAATAAAATGAAGACGGGTCGTCACGAGTTTTTGAGTCACCCACCACAGGACAAGCGGGGAGGAAAGGCCAAACGTGACCGCGTCACGTGTGGGATTTAACCTACCTGGCCGTGTCACGTGCCCTGGACCAAGGCCCGGACTTAAGGACGGCATTAGTCACGCCCCCAGGAGCTCGATGATATGGCCACGCTGTTCCAATAAAGGCTGTTCCCATAAAGGGCGCCCATCTTTAAAGAAGCGACACAAAAAGCTTTTTTTTGTCAGGGCACAAAAGAGAGCCTGATGGGTGCAATACTCAGGCCTGGCCCTACTGAGCACGTGTGTTCCGTCCAGGACATGTCCTCTCCAAACGCCTCGTGCTATTTTTGATTCATTCGATTTGTTTTATTTGTTTGTTTCATTATTCATGTTCCCCGAATCGCGTCTCCAGTAATCCGCCGTGAGCCGTCCCGATCAAAACCGTGGCCCATGTCTTCTCTGGCCCACGCACTATACGACATCGCTAATCGTTCCGGCAACCAGTGATGGCCTACGTAGATATACACTTTAGCGCCCCGCGCGCCACGGGAAAAAACCAAGTAAGATCGATCCCGACCCGGGTCCATGTTTCGCGCCGCGCCTCGGGCCGCTATACACTCCGGGAGCCGGGGCCCGCCCGCGAGGCCTTCGGAGGCAAACCCAAAACGCGCTGGGGCCAAGAAGAGAGGCTGTGGGCAGTGGCCTTAATTCCAGTCTCGAGTGACTGGCCCTAGCACCACCAGTCACGGGAGCAAGAAATGCCGAATTATTGAAATAAAATGGCCCTTCAAAGCAATGCCCCCGCAGGTCTCCCCAACATCGCACGATTGGAGGCGGGCCGCCCTGGATGACGGGTGTTCGACTGGCTTGTTCTCCGGGCCGCTATCTTCATCGTCTTTCCAGCGGTGGCTCACAGCTGAGGCTTCGGCCCAGACGGCGTGCGGTTCCCGGCGGCCCGTGCTCTATGCCGGAGATCTCGCAATAAAAAGAAAACCGTCCCCGTAAAGCGCCTGTGTGCTGGTGGCCCCGGGCCCCAGGCTGTTTCCTTGGCCGGTCCCGAGAGTGGCTACCACGAGCCAATCGTTTCAAAAAGTGGGTAAGATTTTGAAGTCATCGTGACCGGTTCCCTTCATTCACATTGGCTCAGCCCACTGACACTACTATCGGTGCGGCGGCACCACACGCCCCGCCATTTGCAATTAGGAATAGCCCGCCGCGTGACTGCATGTAGTGGTTTGTTTTGCTTTTTGCCCTGCTTTTGGTTTGGATAGCCCGCATGCTGGTCTGCGGGCCCGCCTATGTCCGCGAAGTAGAATCTCAGGTAATAAAAGCCCCCCAATCTCGCCGCTCGTGGCCTGCCAATTTTTGCATCGTACTTTTCAAATTTTCTTCATAACATCCGTCATGAGTGCCCGGCAGGAAAATGTTGCCAGCGCAGAAGGTGACAAATATGTCAGTGCCGAAACCTCCCACGACGGGCCGGAACCCATGCCCCAGCCCGAGGTCGCTTCCGATGAGGAGATCGTCTCTGATGAAGAGACTTCTCTTAACGAGTACCATGGTTTTGGGTCTCACGCCCGGGGCGAGATTCGCCGCTTGGCCAGAACCTACTCCCGCACAGATAGTGCTGACACCACTTCGTCAGGTAATTTATTGAAATACCTCACGCACATGTCGAAAGTCCCCGGAGTGTCGCCATACGATGACGTCGAGGAGGCCTTGGACCCCAACAGTGAGAACTTCGACTCGAAGTTCTGGGTCAAAAACATGAGAAAGTTGCTTGACTCCGATCCCGAATACTACAAGCCCTCCAAATTGGGCATTGCGTACAGGGATTTGAGAGCCTACGGTGTTGCTGCCGGGTCTGATTACCAGCCTACAGTGACAAATGCTCTTTACAAATTGGCTGTTGACCAGCTCTCTTTCCTCAACAAAAGCAGCGATCGTTACTTCGATATCTTGAAGACGATGGACGGGTACTTCCAACCTGGTGAGCTCACGGTCGTGTTGGGCCGTCCCGGCTCCGGCTGCTCGACCTTGTTGAAAACGATTGCTTCTCACACCTACGGGTTCAATATCGGCAAGGAGTCTCGAATCACCTACGACGGTCTTTCGCCATCGGACATCGAAACCCACTACCGAGGTGACGTTATCTACTCTGCAGAGTCCGATGTGCACTTCCCTCAATTGTCTGTCGGCGACACTCTCGAGTTTGCTGCCAAAATGAGAACCCCCAAAAACAGAGGCCCTGTTTCGAGAGAAGAATATGCAAAACACATGGCTTCCGTGTATATGGCCACCTACGGCTTGTCCCACACTCGTAACACTAACGTTGGTAACGACTTTGTTCGCGGTGTTTCCGGTGGTGAGAGGAAGCGTGTTTCTATCGCAGAAGCCTCCTTATGTGGTGCAAATGTCCAGTGCTGGGACAATGCAACCAGAGGCTTGGACGCCGCCACTGCCCTCGAGTTTATTCGTGCTTTGAAGACATCTGCCGCAATCTTGGATGCCACTCCCTTGATTGCTATTTATCAATGTTCTCAAGATGCCTACGACTTGTTCGACAAAACAATCGTTCTTTACGAAGGTTACCAGATTTACTTCGGTAAAGCTAGTAAGGCCAAGGAATTCTTCGTGAACATGGGGTTCGAGTGTCCTCAGCGTCAAACTACTGCTGACTACTTGACTTCTTTGACAAACCCTGAGGAGAGAATTGTCCGCCCAGGCTTCGAGAACAAGGTCCCAAGATCGGCTCAAGAATTCTCGGAATACTGGCGTAACTCTCCTGAGTACGCGGCTTTGACTACAAAAATCGACAAGCACTTTAAAGATGTCGAATCTGGAGATGTTCGTCAGGAATACCACAATTCGCATGTGGCAAAACAAGCCGACCATACTCAAAGCAAATCTCCATACACTGTCTCCTTTGGTATGCAAGTTAGGTATATCATTGGCAGAAACGTTTTAAGAATCAAAGGTGATCCTTCCATCACTATTTTTTCCATTTTCGGCCAAGGTGTTATGGGATTGGTTTTGTCTTCGGTATTTTATAACCTTTCGTCAACGACTGGTGACTTCTACTATAGAGGTGCTGCCATGTTTTTTTCTGTGTTATTCAACGCCTTCGCATCCTTGTTGGAAATCATGTCTTTGTTCGAAAGTCGTCCTATTGTTGAGAAACACAAAAAGTACGCCTTGTACAGACCATCTGCGGATGCGTTGGCGTCCATTGTGTCTGAATTGCCCACAAAGCTCGCGATGTCGACTATTTTCAACTTCACTTTCTACTTCATGGTTAATTTCAGAAGAGAGCCTGGTAGATTTTTCTTTTACTGGATGTTTTGTGGTCTCTGTACCTTGACAATGTCCCACATGTTCAGATCCTTGGGTGCTGTCTCGACTTCTTTGGCTGGTGCTATGACTCCGGCCACCGTTATCTTGTTGGCAATGGTGATTTTCACCGGTTTCGTGATTCCTACGCCAAGTATGTTGGGATGGTCGAGATGGATCCAATACATCAACCCGGTATCTTACGTTTTCGAATCTTTGATGGTGAACGAATTTGCAAACCGTGAATTCACATGCAGTCAATTTATCCCGTCTGGACCAGGCTACGACACCACCACGTCAATAAACAATGTCTGCAGTGCAACTGGCTCCGTAGCTGGTGACAGCACAGTACAAGGAAGTGAATACTTAGCTGTGGCTTTCGAATACTACAATTCGCACAAGTGGAGAAACATGGGCATTGTCATTGCTTACATCGTTGTCTTCTTGTTTGTTTACATTGGATTGACCGAATGGAATAAAGGCGCCATGCAAAAAGGTGAGCTTGTCTTGTACTTGAAGGGATCGTTAAAGAAAGTCAAGAAGGAGGCAAAGGCTAGAGAGGCCTCTGCTAACGATATTGAGAACAATATTCCCAATGAAAAGCTTGAATTGAGTGAGACGCTTGACCAGTATAACAAAGAGACCGATTCTTCCCCAAGCGAAAAGATGACTAACCAAAAGAAAATCTTCCATTGGAAGAACTTGACTTACAGCGTGAAAATAAAGTCAGAAGAAAGAGTTATCTTGAATCAAATCGATGGTTGGGTGAAGCCTGGCCAAGTCACGGCATTGATGGGAGCTTCTGGTGCTGGTAAAACAACTTTGTTGAACTGCTTGTCTGAGCGTCTTACGACTGGTGTTGTTACCGATGGTATCAGAATGGTTGATGGAAAACCTTTGGATGGATCATTCCAAAGAACTATCGGATATGTCCAGCAACAGGATATTCATCTACCAACATCTACTGTTCGTGAAGCATTAACATTCTCTGCTCACTTAAGACAGCCCAAGGAAGTCTCCATCAAAGAGAAAGACGCATATGTTGATCACGTCATCGATCTTTTGGACATGAACATCTACGCGGATGCCTTGATCGGTGTTGCAGGTGAAGGTTTGAATGTCGAGCAACGTAAAAGATTGACTATTGCCGTTGAGTTGGTTGCAAAACCCAAATTGCTTCTATTCTTGGATGAGCCAACTTCTGGTTTGGACTCTCAGACAGCTTGGTCTATTTGTAAGTTGATGAGAAAATTGGCTGACCACGGTCAAGCCATTTTGTGCACAATCCACCAGCCTTCTGCTATGTTGATGCAAGAGTTTGATCGTTTGTTATTTTTGCAAAAAGGTGGTAGAACTGCATACTTTGGAGACTTAGGCAAAAATTCTCAAACTTTGATTGACTACTTTGAAGGAAACGGCGCTCATCCTTGTCCTAAGGATGCCAACCCTGCTGAATGGATGTTAGAAGTTGTTGGTGCTGCTCCTGGTTCTCGCGCTGCTCAAGATTATTTTGAAGTATGGAGAAATTCAGATGAGTACGCTGCTGTTCACAAAGAATTGGAGTACATGGAGACTGAACTTCTGAAATTACCAGCTGAGTCCTCTGCAGGTGACGAGGCGTCGTACGCTGCTCCTTTTTGGAGTCAGTATTATTTTGTCACGAAAAGAGCTCTTCAGCAATACTGGAGACTGCCTGGTTACATTTATTCAAAGATCTTTTTGGTGGGGTCTTCTGCGTTGTTTAACGGATTCTCCTTCTTTAAAGCAGGTACGTCCATTCAAGGGTTGCAAAATCAAATGTTCTCAATTTTTATGTTCTTCATTCCATTGAACACCTTGATTCAGCAAATGTTGCCATATTACGTGAAACAAAGAGAGGTCTATGAAGTAAGAGAAGCCCCATCTAAAACTTTCAGCTGGGCGGCCTTCATCACTGCGCAAATCACTGCTGAGGTCCCATTTCAAGTTGCGATCGGGATAATTGCATTTTTCTGTTGGTATTACCCAGTCGGTTTATACGAGAATGCTGTTCCAACTGACTCTGTTAATGAGCGTGGAGGTTTAATGTTCCTACTCATTACCTCTTTCTTTGTTTACGCTTCAACATTGGGTCAACTCGTTGGATCTTTCAGTGAATCTGCGGAAAATGCAGCTAACTTTGCAAACCTTTTGTTTATCATGTGTTTGAACTTCTGTGGTGTCTTGGCAGGTCCAGATGTATTACCTGGCTTCTGGATCTTCATGTACAGATGTAACCCATTCACGTATTTGGTGCAAGGCATGTTGAGTACTGGATTGGCTCATAATGTTGTGGAATGTGGTTCGAGAGAATTTGTTTCTTTCGATCCGTTCCTGGGTCAAACTTGTGGTGAATACATGGCGGATTACATCGAGCTTGCCGGTGGATACGTCTCGAATCCAAATGCAACTTCTAATTGTGAGTTTTGTCAACTCTCTTCGACAGATACCTTTTTGGCAAGTGTCAACGCTGTGTATTCTGAAAGGTGGAGAAATTGGGGTATCTTTATTGCTTTCATTGCAATTAATATGATATTCACTATTTTCTTCTACTGGCTAGCTAGAGTTCCAAAGGGATCCAGAGAGAAGAAGAAGTAAATGCTTTCATGGAAACGATTGTTTGAGGTTTGCTGTTATAGATTGTTAAATATTAGAGTTTAAAAAACAAAGTTATTAACGACGAGAACCAGAATGAGACATACAAGAATGACGTAGTCTTATTATTGATGTAGAGCTTGCCTCGCAATTTTAATTCAGATGATCTGCATTAGGTTTGATTCCAGCGCTAATTTAAAGCAAGAATCATCCACATCAATAAAGACAGAAGCTCAGATGGCTCTTCAGATTCATGCATCACACACAAATACTGGATCACATTGCGGTTCAGTCTGTTTGAAAACATGAACCGCACAATGGCATCTTTGAGAGGCCCAAGCTCATTTGAAATTAAAATATAGACTAGGTTCCATGCTCTAAGTGACGGACATATAAATCAAAGCGCCTACGTGCTTCGAGAGAGACCCCTTTCAACCGCGTGGTTAACAAGATTTGTCGAGTACGCATTCCTGGTTGCAGCAGATCAACAACTATGGTGACTCTATGTTGATTGATCAAAAATCAAACAGTTTCTATTCTATTGTATTGTACTCAATCAGGCTCGAGGCCTTGATTTATTTGAAAGTCTCGTGTTCTCATACGCGAACGCTTGAGTAATTGAGAGCATATGCAATTAGTTTCGTAAGGTGCACCAAACCACATCAGAAGTAGCACGCCTTATATGTTTGGCTCGACGTTATATCTCATTTTGATTCCCATAGCAGCCAACTCCGAGTCCAAGTATTTCAAGACAAAAGGAATAGCAATGCTGGTTGTGTTGTCACCACCGACGAATTTGACACCATGTCCGTCCATCCAGATATCCGCCTCGTTGACAAAAATACCCTTCTTGGTGTAGTTCTCCAATTTCCCGGAACATCCACGGCACCTCACAGAGGCTATGGATCCGATACGAGGAACCGACATTTGTGTATTTAGCATGGAGCCACATGACCGACAAATAGACGTTTTGGCATAGTCAGAAGAATTGAGCAATCTGTCCTGAAGAAGATAAGAGGTTCCGTGACCAATCAAAGCATCTCTTTCCATCTCACCAACACGAATACCACCATTTCTTTTACGACCCTTGACAGGTTGCATCGTCAATGAGGTAACTGGGCCAGTCGATCTCACTTGGAATTTGTCGTTCACCATATGTCTCAATCTTTGATAGTAAACAACACCAATGTAAATGTCAACCCTGAGCTCCTCTCCAGTAGCACCTGAGTACATAGGTTCATTTCCATGGTAATTGTAACCAGCAATCTTCAACTGTTCGCCAAAATAGTCGGCAGGTGTGTCCGATTCAGAGAACTTCCAGGGTGTAGCATCATGAGCCATTCCATGCAAGGCTCCAGCCTTGCCTGCTAAGGACTCAACAAACATACCGATTGTCATACGAGATGGGAATGCATGAGGGTTGATGATGACGTCTGGTTGAATACCGGATTCAGAGAAAGGCATGTCAACTGTTGGCCATTTGCGTGAACAAACACCTTTCTGACCATGTCTAGAAGAGAATTTGTCTCCAATCAAAGGCTGTCTTGTGACTCTGTATTTGATTGTAAGGTTTTGAGCCTCCTGATCAGCCGAGTCATCTCCTAGGAGCTTTACCTCCTCAATGTATGCTGGTTCACTGGAGTGGTAGGTTTTTACCTTCGTTTTGCCCAATGTTTCGTCAAAGTATGCAACAATTGGATCTCCCTCTTCTACTTTGACACCAATGAGAGGCAATCCATCGTCGTCCAATTTTTCTTTCCAGGACTCTGGCCATTCATCTGGCCCGAAACCGAAATGCTGCGTAATTGGGTCACCTCTTCTTCTGTCCATAGCGAGATCGACTTTCTCAACTTTATACACGGTACCGTAGCCAAAGCCCCTTTCATCTGCAGATTTGTTGATGATCATGGCATCATCCATATCATAACCTGTATATGAAATGACAGCCACAACAGCATTAGTTCCGTTAGGAAAGTTGTCCATTCCATAATCATCATACAAGCTAGCCTTCACAATAGGGGTCTGGCCACTTTGCAAACGGTACAACTTGTTGTCAGATCTATGTGCAAGCGCAACACCGGGGGTTCCCATTGTCTGCTTACCCATCTGACATTGGTACATATTTCTGGGAGATTGATTGAAGTCGGAGAATGGGGTCAAGTTAGCCAAGATAGACAAAATGTTCGTTGGAGCCCACTCCACATGAGAGTGTACGCCTTTCTCAATCTCTTGAGGGGTGACGGCAATGTCCATGTAGACTTGCTCGAATGGCCCAACGATGTCTTCTTTTCCAAGTGGAAGGTACTTTGTTGGTCTCATCATTCTAGAATGACCACCAAATATGTACAAGCCAGGGTATTGACCCTTGGACGAAGGTGGAACAAACCCAATCTCCAAGTCAAGAGGTAATCCATGGCCACCTTCAACCTTCCACAAGCGTAAAGCGTCGGCAACAAGTCTTCCTTGCTCGTGAGTAGTCCAGCCGACGATCTTTCCGTCCAATTGAACACAACACAATTCGGGGCCTGCAGCGAAAGAATGCGCAGGGGAAACACCTAGCTTGGCCAAAGCTAAAGGAACTTGAGACACGTCAGAAGCCTCGGTCGCGATTTTACACTTGTGTGACAAGTGATTCAACAAACCACATGGAGAACCATCGGGAGTATGCACGGGACATAAGAAGCCCCAAGACTCTGGCAACAATTTTCTCACAGTGGTAGTCTTCAACTCGGCGAAGAAAGAACCTCTGTGGACCATTCTGAAATGGGCAATGAAACGATGAAAGTTAATCTTCTCTGCGACCACAGTGTAACCCGAGACTTGTTGCAAGTCCAATCCAGACTGTGACACCAAGTTACCTGTGGACAAGAAATATTGCAATTTCTGACCAATGTTCTCGTTCACTCTGCTGAAAACACGAGACATGTATTTACTATCAGAGAAGTTCACTCTGCTGCCTCTGTTGATATCAGATGCAATTTGCAATTTGATGTTCTGCAAGTATTCGTCAATTTTTTCCTTGATGATCATTCCGTATAAGAATCCACCCAACAAAACCTCCTGGTGCTGGGTTGCATCTGGATTGTCTGGGGCACAGTCACCCGCCACAAGGGTGTATAACTTTCTGATCATGAACAAAATCATTCTAAACTTGTCCATGTTGTCAGTCAAGTGCACGAGCACGATACGTTGCAACACCTCTTTACCAACATCAATATCAGACACATCTGGGGTTGCACCGAAGACAACACGGAACTTATCACCCAAATAGGCCAATGTCTCGTTCTTGGAGTGGAGATTGTACTTCTTGTAAGTACGCAAAAGCAATTCCAAACGATCAGTCAAGAAAGAGTTTGAGGTATCAGCAGCAGCTATCCCGTCAAAGATATCACGGTCACTGGTCTCGACCAAAGCCTTCAAGATCATGACTGCAGGAACCAAATACTCATTTTTTTTCCACGAAAATCTAAAAGTCACATTGCCGTCTTTCAAGTAGTGCAAGACGTTGGTTTGCGATGTCTGATCGGGGCGAACACATCTGATCTGAACACCAAACTTGGTGTAGGCAGCGCCTCTATTGCCGAAAGAAGGACGGATCAACGCCATAGGATGGTTTCTTCTTTGGACAATCAACATACGAATCAATTTCTCGATACCGTTGACAATGAAGTATCCACCAAGCTCGTCAGATTCTTCTTTGGCATCCACAAGTTGGTTGGGCGACATCTTCTCCAAGTGACATCTGTTGGACTTTATCATCACAGGCACGTTACCACCGTCACGCACTTCCGAAATCTCTGGACCATCGTTCACGCTCCACGAAACCTTCATGATAAGTTTGGAGCGATACGACGACATTCTCTCTCTACATTCGGAAGGATAGGTTCTTCTGTTGACGGAAAGTTTGTCCGTATGAGGCACAGCAGGCTTAGCCAACTGCACCGAGTCAACTCTAATGCTCAACTTGTTGCCCAACCTTTCGGGGTCGTTGGAGTCAAAAATTGTCTTGGAGCCGATGTCCTTGACACCAACGTTCAAAAGGCCTCCATCGGGTCCCTCCGTCAACGCATTGAAAGAGCCAATATGAGGAGCGACCGCCTCAGTGAGTAGTGGATAAGCAGACTTATCCTTGGGTGGGTTTTGAAAACGCTGCTCGCGCTCAAGCGTCCTAAATTGGGCACCCATGGTGATACTTGTAGGATGAGAAGGCCTTGATCAATGAAGGATTTTTGATAAATTTTTGTGATGAGGTCACGTGCACAGAAAGTGCGACAGTGTGCAGAGGAGCGGGAGGACAAGCCGACATAGGAATATTGCCTGGAGGCTGTCTCAGACACTGGGCTGAATTGTGACCTGCTAGTGTTCTTATTTTCATGCCTAGCTTTTGATGGCTTTATTGCCCTGTACCACTTAATACTGGCCTCTCAAAGTTTTTGTTCCCTTCATTTTTTCTGGCGGATATCAGTTATGAGCACCTATAGTCCAATCGGAAATACCCTTTTATGCAAAAAGTCAGATTGTAACATCTTGTGTGAGAGCGTGGTCCTTAAGTCCATACAAATGGAGCCGAATTAACAATCTTGTAGCAGTCATTTATATTCGTGCCTCAAATTTTCATGTTCGTGGTGTAGTTCAATCTCGTCAAATCTGGATGCACTAGTCTTTACTTCGCGACGCGCCCCGTGACAATCCTAGTGTTCTGTAATATGTTTCCTAGATACCTAGGAAGAAACCAATTATATCAACCTATGATGCTTAAAGTTACAATTAACCTTATTTCATATTTCGCTCGGAGACGACTCCTCGCTTGATAAAGATATCGAAATATTTCGCTCTATACACATCTCGAAAGCGCCCCTGGCCCAAGCCCAAAATCCAATGTGCCAGATAAAATGAATCCAATGATTTCGGAGCCTTGAATTCCCACTCTTGCGATAAAAGCTTTTGTCCGGTCTTGGACATTCTCATGATTTGCGAACCAAGAGGGTCTCAAACTATTGTTGGGTGCGAAAAATAAGCCTTTTAGTGCGAGGTGTCCGCGGGCCTGCGATGACCACGATGAGAGACAAACTCAAACATGGCCAAGTCCAGATTTGAATACGTGAAGCAGTTTGAAAGGGAAAACTTTCTCCTTCCTCAGACACACATAGTTATACGAGTCGATGGTAAAGGATTTCACAAATTCTCCGAGGCGTATGGTTTCGAAAAACCGAATGACGCCCGGGCTTTGGCGGTGATGAACCGAACGGCTCAAACAATGATGGAGCAATTCCCCGATATAGTTATGTCTTATGGAGACTCTGATGAATACCTGTTTCTTCTAAGAAAAGACTGTGAACTTTTCGAGCGGCGGGAGATGAAGTTGATCTCCACGTTCGCCTCGTTCATGTCTGTGAACTATGTCATGCATTGGAACGCTGAGTTTTCTGACAATCAAATTCGAAAAGAGCGTCTTCCAACTTTCGACGCCCGGGCAGTTGTGTACCCCAATTCTGGGATAGTACGGGACTACTTCAGCTGGCGCCAAGTGGACTGTCACATCAACAATTTGTACAACACTGCCTTCTGGGGCTTGATTCAAAAGTGCAATATGACGAGGCAAGACGCCGAGAACAAGTTGAAGGGCACATTGTCGAAGGACAAGAATGAGATCTTGTTCACAAAATGTGGCATCAATTACAACAATGAGCCCGAGATGTATAAAAAGGGTACCGTGATTGTCCGGGAGTATGAGAACTGGAAGCACGAGGAGAGAGATATGAGTAGCAGACAAAAACAGCGAAATGAAAAAATGCGAAAGAACGCAGCTATCGTTGTTTCTCACGTTGATATAATCAACGATGACTTCTGGATCAAGAGGCCTTGGGTGTTGGCCTGAAGTCAGCTTCCAATGCATGCGCACTGCGGTGGAGAGCAAGTCGGGTAGCAATGGGCCCGGGGAGGCCGGTGTTTGTAGAATATACTAGTGACATAAGTTATAGCTAATGTAATTATTTACTCATCACCTCTAAGATTAGTTAATGCCTCTGCTCTCGAAAGCCTTTTTGACGTGCTCGGAAACGACATCGACCGGTTCATCGCACTTGACCCTCACGACTTTGTCCTGTTGGTCGAAGTGGTCCACGACAGGCATCGAGGTTTCGATGAAGACACGGAATCTCTTTTTAATACTTTCGATGTTGTCGTCGGTTCTGCCACTTGTTTTACCTCTTTCCAAAAGTCTTTCGAGCATGACCAGCTCAGGGCATTCGAAAAAGAGGGAGAAGGCCGATTTCACGATTTCCTTTTCGAAGGTCAAGGCTTGATCCATCTTTCTGGGAAATCCATCGACTAAGAAGCGCTTGTCTCCCTTTTTGACGTGAGAAGAAATTGCGTCTTTGAGCAAAGCAACGGTAACCTCTTGGGGCACGATGGTTCCTTCCTTGATACACTGTGCGATCAATTCTCCGTATTTGGAGCCTTGTCTCTGCTGTTCAGCTCTCAACAAGTCACCAGCAGACAAGTGAACAAATCCTTTTTCTTCAACAAGCTTGCCACATTGTGTTCCCTTTCCCGAACCAGGTCCTCCGAGAACGAAAACCACCTTCACATCTTCGGGGGAAAATGCGGCAGTAGACTCCTTTTCCTTGATGGAGTCTGGGGCTTTGCTCTGATGGTATTTGTTTATCATGTAGCCACCGACAGACATGGCGGCGATGATTCCAAACACCAGCGTGGGAGTCACATATGGAGCCTGTGAATTTTGCTTCGCCTTGGGCTCTTGACGATTGTCCGTGGAATTAAAACGGGCATGGACCCATGGTGAGGTTCTGGCAATTCTTCCAAAGTTTTTAGAAAGCGAAGATGTCAATTTTACTTTTGAAAGCATTTTGTCTAGCTAATGTCACCGACTGGACGTAAGAGCGACAAAGTCAAAGTCGAAGATGTGGCTTGATATCGTACAGTACAGACTCACTGCGAAACTGCTGCACTAACAAGGAAAGAAAATGAGTCTTTTCAAGTACGAAAGGTCGAAATAAGGTGGATGGGCAGTTCACGAAAGTGCTTGAAGGCCCTGTTTATTCTATTCTTCGGGGATTTCGAATTACACGAAGATTGCTGCATTTATATAAACTTTATGGGGAAATTCTGATACATCATTATGATTGCTGTCTGATTCCATTTCTCTGTCTTCTAGGAACGGAAATGCGAAAAGGAAATAGGACATGTAATTGCGCAGGAAAAATAATTCTTGACTCCTCCTTTAAAAATACTCCAAACTGGTATTTGAAGCTATTTTTTTGCTTTCATATTCCTGACTTCAAAAGAAACAGTGAAGAACGCTTCATGGATGGGAATAAGCTTAGTGGCTGTAAACGGGGTAGTTGGAAGGTGGACCAAAATACTGGTGTGCGGCGGTGTCCATTGAATCTGGCGCGAATGCCAATCTTGCGAATTGGCCATACGAGTTGCAGTACTTCTGAGGTCACCCGGCGTACATCAAGGCTACAGTACTTTTCTTGTTCGGAGCTACTCAAACTGACGACACAAGTTCTTTTCTTTTTTTATCGGTATTACATCGTTGTGTGGATTGCTGCCTCGAAATCAAACTTGCTTGTAGTTGCAAGCTGCTTTCATATACTATTCTCCGCACCAGCATCAAGACATGTATTTCTTCAAGACCTCGTCGTGCACCCGGTAGTATCTCCCATTGAGCTCTTTGGCCCAGCCTCTCACCGCCAAATTGGTGTACACAGTGGCTGGGATCTCTGGAGGCAACAACTGCCCATTTTTGTGCAACTCCATGAACTTCTGCAAGCTTTTTTCGGACATGTTCTTCCCAAACTTCTCACGGATGTCCTTTTGCATGTTAGTGGCGACGACGCCCGGAGCTACCGAGATGGCTGATATGTCAAGATTCTCCTCGCCAAGGGTGGAGATGAAATGGTTCAAGGCTGCTTTGGATGCGCCGTATGCAGCCCACCCATAGTATGGGCTAGTGGATGCGCCCGACAGAACCGCAACGACCCTGCCGTGCGATTTCTTCAAGTGAGGAAGGGCAGCCTGGACCAACTCAACGACACTGAAAAAGTTGATGTCGAAAAGCTTGCGCCACTTCGCAACGTCCAGGTTCTCAATGGAGTCCACGGGGTCCAAGATGCCGGCGTTTGCAATCACAGAATCTATCGAGCCAAAGGTCTCCAATGCTAGTTGCACAGCCTTATCGGCAGTCTCCGGCTGCGAAACATCCGCCACGAGGATTTTCACCCTGTCACCGTATTGTGCCACGAGGTTCTCGAGAGCAGCTTGAGATCTTGCTACTGCTACAAGTTTGTGGTCCGGGGACTGCGCGAGATAGAACTCGGCAATAGAGGCCCCAATGCCTGGAGGGTTAGTATAGTAAGAAAGCAACGGCGAGCACGGCTCCACATACCTCTTGAGGCCCCTGTGAGAATCATTGTATGAGCCATAGTGTCAATTGTTTCAGAGGACAGTGTTCTATTTGGCACGGGGCTCACAGATATGGGGTAGACAAATACGCTGGACATGTGAGGCCACGGCCCCAATCCCGTGGGTGCAGGTCGCAGCACAAAGGAATTGGGCATGGAAGACCTCAGGCATACTACTGGAAGTTTGTGGAATTCACCACGCGCGGACGGAAAGCAAAAACAAACGGCCTCCCCGGAAGCAGGGCCCGAGGATGTTTGTAATGTTTATTTTTGAATATTTCAGAAGTCCACTTCTGAATATGAATCGCAAATTGCCATTTGAAGAGACGCGTAGGCAAGATTCCGGGCTCTCCACCAGTTCGCGGAGCGGGCCCGTCGTGCAGAAACCGCGCGGCCGATAGTGACTTGATATCGATACACAAGATACTGAAAACGCCCAGTACGCTACGGCCCAACCGCCTCCATGAACATAAACCCCGAGTCCGCAAAGGAGATCCCTTGCAAAAACGTGCTCATATACGGCTATTGCAAGTTCGAAAACAAGGGCTGTGTCTTCTCCCACCCATTGCCGGAGAACGCCCAGTCCCCAGAGTCGACCAACGTGCCCCCAACGCCGGCTCTGAAATTGGCAAACGCCGCTGAAAACAGCAGTCCCGCTGCCTACGGCGCTGCACTCCTGAAAGTGGCTCTGCTGGACATTGCGTCGCCATCGCCCGCTTCCAAAAAGGCAGTTGCCACCCCGACAGACTCGAAGCGGAAATTCAACATGAACACCCCCTCGTTCCAGCCTTCGGTTCTGAGCATGACAAGCAAGTTTGCTGCGTTGTCCCCCAAAGTGAAGGAGATTCCCATATTTGTACCTTCGAGTGCAGAGCCCTCGAGCACTGCGCATTCCACCGCAAACCACGTCACGGAGCCGCCTTCCGCAGCTCACAACTCTTTTTCTGCACGTAAATTCAACACCTCCACTCCGTCGTTCACCCCATCGAGTCCCTTTGAGGGGGCGTTTTCCTTCGCGTCTTCGAACCAGGGCAATGCAGACGGCTTTGCATCACATTACGGCCAGTTGAGCTCTTCAAACACAACGCTGGCGTTTGTCGCCTCTTCACAAGTATCACAGCAGGCGGCCCAGCCCAAGCAACAAAACCCGTATTTGAACGCGCCGGTGCCAACCGTGGCTGCGTCTTCTGCAAACTCCATCAGTACGTCGGACTACCTCTTCCATAGCCAGGGAACGCAATCCTTTCCGTTGAACCATCATTTATACGCCCCAGCCCCACCTCCCAGACTTGTGGCTCCATTGAAGTCTTACGAGACCAATGTGAATTCCATGTTCATTCCAAACAACCTCCGAGAAACACTCACGAAGAAAAACGAGGCCACATTGCAAACAATGCCTCAACTGTCTCTTCCCGAGCACGTCGGCGTCTACCACTCATTGGTGCCCATTGATGCTTCTTTTGAACAGCCCTCGAATGTTTACGATCTTCCGTCATACATGTACAAAGTGTTATCCAATAGCGATGGGCTTCCCTATGCGCTAAGGCGCATAGATCAAGGCCACAAGCTTCGGGTCCTCAACGAAATGCCATTTGCGAACGTGAAAAAGTGGAAAGCATTGAAGTCCCCCAATGTCGCCAGACTCAACGACGCATTCACTTCTATTAGCCTCAGCACGAATGGAGAGCCTTCTTTGTTTTTTGCCTATGACTATTACCCGCTCGCAAGCACGCTACAGGAACATCATATCACCAGAAGATTGGGCGGCAAACTAGAACCCATCACCGAAGAACTCTTATGGACATACCTCGTCCAGCTTACGGGCGCTCTTTTATGCATCCACGAAGCTGGCTTACACGCTGGCTCTTCGTTGGCCTTGAGTAAAGTTTTGGTCACCAATAAGAACAGAGTCAGATTGAGTGCTGTGGGTGTTGACGACATACTAGAATACGAGTCTTTCGAAGAACTAAAACAACAATTGGGGGAAGAAAACATGTTACGGAAACTACAACAGGATGATGTGGTCTGTTTGGGTAAATTGATGACTGACTTAGCCAGCACAGTTTTACCAGCCAGTCTAAGAAGCCTTCCCGTCAACACGTTGTTGGAGCATTTACAGAAGTCATCTATAATGACTTTGAGCCCTGAGATGTCAAATGCTTTGAGTGCACTCCACTGCGCTGACGAATGGTTTGATTTGGGCGAATTTTACGCAACTCACCTTTCCAGAGCATCAATCAAAGTTCTTAATGGGTTTCAAGACCTGTCGGATTTTTTTGAGGGACAGCTTCTGTCAGAAGTTGAGAATGGTCGTCTCTTCAGGCTTTTAGCCAAAATTAATGTGGTGCTTGATCGACCGGAAAATGAAGGCGATGCAATTGGAAGCACGTTCGTCATCAAACTGTTTCGAGATTATTTGTTTCACACAGTGGATGAAAGCGGCAAGCCTGCCGTAGATTTATCCAAAATTCTTGTCAATTTGAATAAATTGGATGTTGGAGTTGACGAGAAGATATTATTAATTTCAAGGGAAGAAGATAGTTGCATTATCGTCAGCTACAAGGAGGTAAAGGATACCCTTGACCTGAATTTCCGCAGTTTGATCAGATGATGTCGCATAATATTGCACAGTGGAGTGAGTAACCAGACTGGTGACTAAAATAAAACACCTTTTCCAGAAGTTACGAATGCGCAGTCATAGGTGGCATGATTGCGGCGACCGGGATTCGAGAAGCCGCAGTGCCGCATTTTTCTTCTATGGGATGACTGAGGCGGGTGGCGCCATGGCAACCGCACCCACTTGTTGATCATCTGCAGTGGGTGACTTGATTAGAATTTTTTTGCATTAAGCTTATTCTCAATATCAGGGGAGATAGCATATTACTTAATAACTAGAAATTTAGAAAAAGAAAATTAATAAAAGAATGAATAAAAGGAGTCAAAACACTGTGTTCTATCTCGGTAATTGATTTACTAGCGATCCCGGGGCGTTTGGGCGTACAAGTGCGGCGGCCGCAACAGATTCAGCAAGATCACGTGACGCGCACAAAGTAATGACTAACTCCCGCATGGGTGGGTGATCAATGAGTAATCTATTGACGCAAGTCTGGAAGGCTCGCGCGATATATTATGGCTATTGGACCCCAGCCACGGCCGACGATTTTATTCTCTCCAACCAACCTTCATCCATTACATCGAAACATCCAACACATTTACCGCACAATTTCATCAGTTTCTTCTTGATTTATACATCACTTCGGCAGATTCTCTGCTTGGAAACTCATCATTTTTGTTGTCATTTATTTTTATTATTAGGTCGGTTTAGGTTAAGGAATAACCTGGTATTGGATTACATTTTGGAATAGTTTTAATATCCATCATTTCGAAACTCAAAAAGATATACGTGCTGGTCATTCATCTTCTTGCTGTTGACTATCATCATTTTCATTTTTAATTCAAAGCTCTCTTCAGTTGACAATGTCTGGTTCCATTTAAGCCTCGGGCTTGTCGGAAAGAAATTAAAGAGCGAATAAATAAAACAAAAAACCATTATTTTTTTTAAGAGAATACTTCTGGGACTAGTTACTTTGCTTGCACGAGAATGCTGACCCCTGACAATTCTATTTCACCAAAGCAGCTCATTGACCTGCCTGCTAGAGATCAAGGCACGCCACATACTCCTGCGGAAAACTATTTGCCCAACAACTTGAAGTATTACAATGAGCATTTGAGCGAGTCGCAATTTAACTCAATCTTGATAAATTGTGCATTAAGGTTGCTTAAACTCAGCTACCCAAAAGAAGAGGACTTTGAGGAGCACAAATTGAGGTTTTTTATTGTCGAGCTTTTGAGAAGATCGAAGACAACTACCCAGTCACTACAGATCTGTTGCTACTATCTCTTTAAAATCATCAATAAACCCCAAAGACCAGTCCAGCTTTGCCCCAAAAAGTTGTTTTTGGGAATGCTTATCTTAGCCTCAAAGTTCAACCAAGATCACAACTACTCTTTTAAGACGTGGTTGAAAATTTGCGGTTGTAAGCAAGATGATGATTCGTCTAGTCTTAATCTCAAGAGATTAAAATATTCTGAAAACCATTGTCTTCTGCTCCTCAATTACGAGCTTTACATTAACAACGTCAAGTATGAAAATTGGTGCAACGTACTTTTGATTTTTGGTTACGAATTCATCTCCTTGCATCACGTCGGTTTAGGCGTACTTACTTGGTGTACCACAAACGAAAACGCACAGAAATTGTGTCGTTGGAAAAGGTTCTTAGAACGTATGGATGATAATCTGTTACGTGAAATCAAAGTGCAGTTTAAACAGTACTATGCCAATCACATCGGCACTAAGGTTGTCACGACTCCGCTTCCAGAGGTGAATCTGCTTTTCAAAAAGCGTTCGCTCGATGCAGAAGCTACTCCCCATAAAAGAGTTTGCATTTAGTTCATTCAATATAAAAACATATGATTCAAAATAAAAGTAGATTGCAGTTCGGAGACATGACTAGTTTACGAACCAGCCTCTACTTGATTAAACAAAAGGAAACAGCAATTGGATTTTCTGGAATGTAGCGTACATCATGTAGCTCAGAGCTACTTCCTAGTCAGCAGCTAGAAAGGCGTGGAACGAATGGTATTGAATTGCATGGTCATGCTCAGGCAGATGCGCTTACTACCGGAATCGCACCATTCAGTGAGCCATTCAACTTCACACTCACATTCTCCACTGCGTTCGTTGTTTCGGACACGACATCCTCGGCCTTTTCCTCAGCGTTTGTGATTGACTCCTGAACGTAGCTCTGAGTGGTCTCCTTCAACGGCTGAATGTAATCGGAGTTGACGTTCTTTAACAAGGCCACACCGGTGTTGACAGACGCAGATGCCACTTTGACGTAGTAGTTCTTGTCGGCAGTTGAGTCAAATTCCCTATTGTAGGTAGATAAAACAACGCTTGTGACTTCGCTAGACTTGGAGCTGATCAAGTCCCTAGATCTCTCGTACGTATCGTTGACAATTTCCATTGATTTGGCTAACTCAGTCTCGGCACTAGTTTTGGATTCATCGGTGGTCTTCTTGCTTTTTGGTAACACTTTGTCCAAGGCAGAAGATGCAAAGTCATTGACTGGCTTCAAATACGCAGACACAGTCTCCTCACCTTTCTTCTTGTATTCAACAACCACACACAGAGCGTTTTCGGCGTAGGCAGTGGCTTGTTTCTTATATGGGGAAACAAGGGTCTTTACTTTAGACACGAAAGCAAAAAATGCTTGAGCCCCTTTTGCCCGGTAGGTACGGGCCACCTCGCCTACCCTTTCTTTGAAAGTCACCAATCTCTTTTCAATCTTTTTGTAAGATTCTGAGACGAGAACAGCATCGATATTACAAAGCACCACCGCATCGAATTTAGCATCACTGGTCTTCAAGAAGTCCCTTACAAGGGGAGACTTGGCTACCACATTCATTTGTATGGAGTTGATGAGAGCAACCAAGTAATTTGCTAAGACAGCAAAATATCTGTAAGACAAAACGTATGACTTGGCCGACTGGACGAAGCTATAGGAGCCAAGATGGCCTAAAGATTTTGAGGTAAAAGTCTTGGACATTGTTGTTGTTGTTCGTTCTTTAGACCAAAAAAGAAAGGGAGTAGTGAACAACCAAAATGTGAAGGAAGATTAGAACCGATTCGAGATTAACCTGGACAGAAATGTGGGAGGGCACCGATGCAGTCAGCTACCACGGGAAATGAATCGATAAAACACAGAATCTGGAAGCCTGAAACAAGCGTTTGGAAGGATTGCTGCTTTTAATATTAAGGGATGGAAATTAAGCATCGAGCCACAATAGCACATGCTAATCATAGATACGATAGATGTTGCTGCAGACAGCTCGGCATCATGCACATAGCCACGGGAAGGTCAGGGCAAATTGCTGTTTTATTAGGCTTTCGCATGTGTATGCAGGACACAGCACTATCGCAAGGGAAGGATTAGCTTCCTCCCACGGCTGTGCTCTGATGCCGATCTCGCAAGATCCGGATCCCGCTTGAGGGAAGACCACAGAGTATTCGTAAACGATTATTAGTGGTTTAGTCCGGCATATATACTCTCTTGTCCATCTGTGTCGGTTAGCCTGGTGTGTTTCCGAATCGGCCTACCACATTAAGTAGCTTACTTGGGAGTGGTACATACTGAAGTGGGTGTCTCGGCTACACATCATGTATTATACTATGGAGATATATCGTGCGGGCGAATAAATACATTCTTTGTTTTCAAAACCGCAAGACTGATATTAGTACAGTATTTTTAAGGGGACGATGCGATGCCTAGGCCTGCAAGGTTTTTTTTTTTTTACAATTCTTCGCTTTTGTTTGCCTCTGGATCTTGGCCAGTTGGATTAAGGTTTGGGTGGACTATTGCATCCTTCCGCCGCGAAACAATCTGGGACGCGACCGAGGCAGTGTGAAATTTGCTGTACATGTCTTTCCCAATTTGGATGTGTGGTGGTGATTTTTGGGGGAGAGTCTGTCTGAATTTGTGTTGTGGCATTCAATGAAAACAGCCAATATACGTGGTCGAAATGTCCGTCCCAAAATGGTGGACCTGGGGGAGGCGGTCTTCGATTATTACTTCTAATGGATCCGTACAATAAATGGTGCATTAGAATCATCGCTAAAAATAGAATACCTTTCATCGGAAATTCGCTTTCGTCTTCCAAACTTCAGCTTTTACAATTATCGTGTTCAAAAGTTCTTTGCAGAATTGACTACTCGTGGACCAGACGAAAAAGTCCGACCAAATTGGCCCTTTGCCTGAAACGCATGCATGTATCACCCCAAAGAAAGGAGGACTTAAGAGCACTTAGAATAATCCAACGATCGGCATGTTAAAATAATCTGGCTCATTTGATCAGCAGAAACGAGTGTTGTTTTCATAGTGTCGTCTTTATATTCATATTGTCGTCTTTATATTCATATTGTGTATTTTGTAGGAGGACCCCTTCAGACGAAACACCTGAATGTGAGATAAGAACGCTACTGCATAATCTGCGATGCCAATCAGATAAAAATGACATATGTATCGCTGAGTTCGCTTTTTCAATTTGGAATATGACGGCTGCACTAACTAGCTAGAATTACCCCGCAAGTGAGAGTGCTGACTTTGCTCAGTCTCCCCTTCGCCATGTCATCCCCGAAATGATCGAGCAGGACTCGAGCAAAACTTCAAAAAATTCATGCTCTCGCACTTCCGCAGACCTTAGGTTTTGCGTGCGCTAACTTCGGACGGAGTATGAAATCGAACTACCTAATTTTTCGGGCTAGAAATCCGTCTATACACTCTTTCGGATTCCTTCAGCAGAATCTACTGCTGCTTACACTCGGGAGGATTCTCCTTTGGGCCGGTCTCGTTGATGTCATCATCATCATCATCGTCATCATCATTCTCGTCTTCGCTGTCGAACTCTTCCTCATCTTCCTCGAAATCATCAGGATAGCCGATTCCAACAGCATCTCCAGTGAACCAGTCAATGGCACGTGGGATTAATCTGTCCTTGATTTCTTCTCCCAACTGGTAGTCCAACTCCAATCTCTCTTCCAAGTCAGCGTCTTCGTCGTTCTCGTCATCTTCTTGGTCCTCCTCATCAGAGTCCGCACTTGGTGGCTTTGGTGGATCGAAGAAATTAAAGAAAGACTCGCTTGGGGTCAACTTCTCGATGGTTCTGGTTTGCTTGGTGTTCTTGTTTCTTTGCTTTCTCCTCTCAATGTTGATTGTGACGTTGTTTTCCTTGGACTTCCAGTTGATCTCGCACCCGTCGGCGTGGTCGTAGACAAAGTCTCCGGAGTATCCCAACTCGGCCTGGTAGTGGTACGTCTTGGTCAAGACCTGGTTGCTCAAGTAAGGGTTTTGGTTGAACTCAAAAATCAACTCGAAGCCAGGGGTCTGCAAGTACTCCATGCGAATATCTCTCAAGTACTGCAAGACCTCGCTGTCTCTTTCGGTGATGGTCTCACTCACAGTGTTCAAGTTTTCCAAAGCCGTCAACCAGAAATTAGGCACGCCGCTGATCTCCTCATCGTCACCTTCGGCATCAGATTGGTCGTCGGCATCTTGATCCTCGGGATCTTTGTGTTCGGCCTCGATCTCTTCGCCCACCTCGATCTCAGCGGCAGTAGGCTCCTGCTCACCATTGATGATGGCCATTCTCTTCTCGTACAAAGGCTCGTACTTCTTGAAGTACTTTTTCTCCAACTCCAACAACTCTTTCTGGAACTCGGCCTCCATTTTCATTTGCAGCTGCTGGATAGCTTTCAAGCCCAATACTCTCTTTTTGACCTGCTTGGGCAACTGCTCGATGTAGCCACTTTGCTGGCCCACCAAGGTGCCCAACTTTCCCTGGATCATCGACAAAAGTGCAGGATTATTGGCCAACTGTTTGCTTAATGCATTTTCCTCTTCTTCGTTGATTGTGGATACTGTGGGCTGCTGCTTAAGGTATGAGTTGGCGACGCTTGAAGGCGTGTTCTGTGGTGTGGGTGCCTTGGAGATGTCGCTTGATTTTCTGATGGGCTCCGACATTATACAAATAAAATATCACAAGGCCGATTTTTTCTCGGGTTCCAGGGAAGCAGAAGGAACTGGTGTATATGTTTTTTTTTTTCTTTCTCAGATGTATCTGGCTTTTTTTCTCGTTTTCCTTGAGGCTGATGACGCTGCGGAGTGTCTGTCACGTGGACGCGCCTATCAGTAGGGGCACATGGGGCGTTCCCCGAGTATTGTTCCGACATACGGAGCTCGCCGCGAGGACCTGTGGCTGTATTGATCCTGCTAATCAGAAATGCAAATGGTGATTCCGAAAAACTTTCTAATTATCCCAAATCACCACATGTAGAGGAACAAAATAATTTGGGATTTAAAACAAACTAATAAAAACCCCAACACCCTTAGGAGAGCAGGATCGGTATAAAGCAATCAAATTGAATAAATCAACGGGTTGGTAGGGTGAGACGTGGAATAAATCCCAGAAACACATGAGTAGCTTAAGAGAAATAGAACAAGGCGCGGGCCGCCAAATGTCGTGCTAGACCTCAATAGTAATCGCTTCCTCGAGGTCAAGGGCACTTTCTTGAATTTCATCGTTGTGGCCGTCTAAGTAGCTCTCGATATCTTCAATGCGCTTCTCCCACTCCTCGATGCGAGCTAGCTTCGACTCAATCTCCTGGATCTCGTTGTCGATGGTTTTCAAGTTTTCTTCAGATGTCAAATCGTGAAATTCCCACCCATCTGCATTCTTTCCTTTCTTGATCTCCAAAACGTAGTCATGGTACTTCATCAACAATGGCCTATGCGAAAATGTGATGAACGCGATCTTTTTCTTTTGTAAGAGCTCAAAAAGATAATCCTCAACATCGGTACTCACTGCGTTGGTTGACTCATCCAAAACAACAAACTTGGGGTTCTTGAAGAGCACACGAGCAATGCTCATTCTCTGTTTTTCTCCTCCACTGAAGACATCCTTCCAGTCTTTTTTCACATTGAAATTCCCTTCTCTTGTCAACAAATAATCCAACTTCACTTCCCGCAATATGTGATACAAATGGTCATCATTGTATCCTTTAGCAACCATATCATCATAGGACGACGGATATATGATCTGATCCCGCAAGTTTCCGTTCGTAAAGTAAGTCTTCTGAGGCAAAAAGAATATGTCATCTTCACTTGGCTTCGACAACAAACCGTGATACAAAGGCCACAATCCAGCCATGATTCTCCCAATAGATGTCTTGCCACAACCATTATGCCCCAAAATTAAGAGCGTGTTATTTTTCAGTAGCTGGAAGTTTAGTTTGTCAACCAATATCTCTCCGTCCGAACCTTCTTTGCTTGGGATTATTACCGGAATATTTTCAAAGCGAACACCTCCGACATAATTGCTTTGAATTGTGCCATGTATGTCACTAGGCCCATACTTGGAACGATAACTGTAGGTGGGAGAATGAGTCATGTGTAAATTGGTGAGAAGACTGAATACCCGATCAGTGTATCCAGTGAGGTCTGAGATATCTTTGAGAGAATACATCAATCTCGAGCCAGCATCAGCCAAAGAGAGCAACAACCTCTTGTTAATAATGAACTGGCGCATATTCTGGTTTTCATCAACTGCTTTTTTCGTTGATTTGAGACTGGGCGCTGTCTCCCCTTCGTCAATATGCTGAGTTGAAGTGCTAGGCCATAAATCCTCCAAGAACACTGGTAGTCCCGCAAAAACATACCCCCAGGCCGACCATGTGTACTTGAGCACGTAATCTTCCAATGCCGAGTATTTGAAGGATATGTTGATTTCTTTGGAAACATGCAGCATCAAACCTTCGAAACTCTCACGCAATTTGGCTTTCTCGATTAAGGAGCCCTTATAAAAGGCAACCTCTTCTGAATTTGTGATGAGATTCAAGTGCTGATTGTAGTACGCTCCTTCAAGATGGGTTCTCCGTGAGGACAACTTACCAAACGAGGGGGTGAAGCGCTTTAGGACGAACGCGGTTAAAAAATAGTTGGCAAAAATACCAACAATAGCACCAGTCCCTAGAGTATCCCTCAAGTATATCGAGAAGAAAACCAAGTCTATGAAGGGCTTTCCCATACTAGAGAAAAGGCCGCAGATCGAGTCACAGAATTTGGTCACATCATTAGTTATGTACTGATCAATATTTTCAATGTCAGACAGATTTAACAGTATCTTGTAGTATGTCATGACCTTGTCCAAATACATGTCGTGGATGTAACGGATCAAATTGGTTCTGAAGCCCAAAGAGAGCCTGTTTGTTAAGTATTTGATGGCAGCATTCGTATAGGAAGCTGGGAATGCAATCAAGATCCAATATATCAAGTCTCGCACAAATTTTTTGCCGTTTGCGGAAATCAAGTTTTTCACAATCTGTCCGTCGAGCTTGGCAATTAGTAGCGAGAGCCATGTTCGAAGAATAAGAAAAAAACACTGCGAGAAGAGCAAAGACGAGTTTTTGCTATAGAGCCTTGGAATGAGAATTCGCCATATGATGACGATTTGATTGAGAAACGTCGAGTTCAATATGTTTCTTTGCAGCTTTAGCGTCTGCTCGATGTGGAAGTTTTTATATAGGTACTTGTCTGCAGCGTAGCGGTCTAAGTTAGGCTTGGGAATGACAACTTTTGTGGTCAGAGATTTACCGCAAGGTAGGAAAATCTGCCTCGAACCGTTTTTTAGAACCGTTGAGCTTTGCCTTGTCAATATTGGTCTTGGAGAGTTTTTCTTCAGCCAGTACTCCTTCCACGCAAGGATTAAAGATCTTAATGTGAAAAAAGTCCCGATACCAAAGGTGCCTATAATTGTAGTAAAGAAGAGCACAACGGGGCGACTCTGGTAGTTGATGGAAACTCTGCTATCTGTATAAACAAGAACAAATTCCTTAAGGATGGTGACCATTTTCCGCACGTCATCCTTGGTGTATGCCGAAAAACGGGAGATATGCACCATTTCTCGTATTTTTGGTATCTATTTTCGCTAGTGAAGGGAATGTGGAATTGGAGTGTGGAGGGTATTCCCCACAATTGGGCCGAGGCATGCTGACTATGGGTGCGGCACGACACACCGCCAATCAGCCGACTAAAATCCATGCAGTATGTGAATATTTGCCTTGTTATCAAGCGCATTGGCATATCTGAACTTGCAAGCTTCAGCATAAGAAATAATTATAATAGTCGAAAGGAGTCTTCAACTTGGCAAACGAGTGCTCTTATGATTTAGTCAGTCGCTTGACAGAACAGGCGAGTAGTATGATTTCACCAATTTTCCAAAACATGCGCGATGTCGATATATGGTACTTCTGAGCTTGAATCTTAGATGTATATAAGATACCTCAAGAATTTGAGCGTCACGACTCAAATTTGTCTGTATCATGGATTGTAGGATATGTAATGATGGATTGTTGGAATGAAATGCGAGGTACTGCGAAACGCCTTCCTATTACTTGCCAAACAATTTAAACACGCACATTTGGGGAAGTGCATTCGAAGAAGTGCAAGTTCGAACATTGTTTTTGCATTGTTTATGACAGCTAGCATAAGATCCGGCTAGTAAGAATGCAAACTAAATGAGCTTTTATTTCCAAAAGATTCAATATGTACACAATGGCATGGTGTTTTTCTGATCAACGGCTTCTATTGTATTGATCGATCATACGGTTTTCAATCAGTCACGTTAAACCCGCGGACTCTTGTCAATGTATACTGATCACATTGGGCAAGTACTTTAGTAAGCCAACACATATATCATCAAAACCAGCTATACAATCAGCGTGCAGGGCTTTAATGCCATTTCCATGCCGGGTGCACTAGTTTTGTGGATGAGTCTCGCTGCTTCACTAGACAAACAAATTCACCAGGCAAGTCTAGAGTCATGGACACTTCTCATATTCCCAACTACTTACGCTTCATCTTGCCGGAGACGCATTCTTTAAACATAGCGAATTCTTTTTGACACGCATCTTTTGCTATATTGTTATACGACTTGAAGACACAGTCCCCGTAAATTGCTCCCAAGTATGAGCACTGAGCACTAGCTTCCATAAGTCTGGCGGCAGGTCTAATTTTTGTCATATGGCGTTTGGTTGAAGCTGGTTCTCATCAAGGCTAGTACTTTTTTACCGTTGGACTGCCCGAAGATCGCGCGAAACCATGCAATCCGCAGAACGCAAACGAGCTTCAGAAGCCGCCAACTTTTTTCTTCCTCGTGGTTGCAAAGTACCAGAAGCTTTGTATTTTTTCCCGCATAGATTGACTTGCGGTAGTGGCCATGGAACAAGCAGCCACGTGATGGGGAGCAGTAAGTCTATTAAATGCGTATCTATGAATCTGGTTGACCAGCCTATGTGAACCTCTTTTCGACCGTGTGGAGCAACTTCATTGATTGCTCCATGAACAGCAACATCAAAATAGAGTGAGGGCCGATTCTAAAGAGCTGAGCCCAGAAGCCTTTGTATAGTGCAGTGGGCCCCTCTGTCTTTATTGTCTTGATAAAACAGTCGATAGGGCCAGTATACAAGTTTCCCTTCTGATTGTACACTCTGGTCAACACCACATCCCATGGGTTCATCACAATAGCGACACCGAGACCTGTCATTGAAGAAGAAACGAGATGCAAGCCAACTGAGCCATCAGTCATCAAGTCGTGCTTCAAGATGTAGTTTTTGGTGAAGTTGTAGACAGGCAATTGAGCCGCAGAGCCCGCTCCAGTTCTCAAAAGCGCAGCGTCTGTACCACGGAACCACCCTTTGATTCCTTCGTTTGCGTAGATGGTTTTTAAGCCATCAAAAAGGCCCCGGTAGTACGTTTGCTGACCCACGCTGCCAGAAGCCCCGGCCTTGTTGAAAGACTGCATTCTTGTCTTGATGAGGAAAAACGGATTCGAGATGACAGCACCCGCCCACCCGGAGACAATACCAGACATCACATTCACGAAAAGATTCTGTGGAATACGAGATGCGTCTTCTGAGAACTGGTCCGGAAGCAACACTTTGGTCATGTAGTATCTGGTTGGTTCGTAAAGCCCGAGTCTGCATCCATTGAGTGCTATCTGATATACGTATCCACATATCAACCCCTGTTGCAAGCCGCGCAAGCCCTCGTTTTTATAGATGACAAGTGATGCTTGCAACGGATTTTTGTACAATCTGGGTGCATCACTTTTCAACGAGAGCTCGCCCTGAAGCTGCATTCTTGTCTTGATAAGCTCGATCGGGTTAGTGAACGTGACGGCTCCACATGCCGCAATACTGCCGGCAATGAACCCACCGAGAAGGGACACCTCCTGGGCCAGATTTTTTTTTTGTTCTGTTTTCTCAACCATTGATTTCCCTTCACGCTATTCCAGATGTATTAGATTCGTGGGTGAAAAATCTCGCCGATACCGGCGCGGTTTCGATGCCGGTGCGAAATTCGATGGTGCGCGGAGCCATTTGGTAGATGTACAACGAGAGACTGAAGGACTGAAGGTGGAGTTCAACGGATTGGTGAGGAATCCTGCCCAAACCATTGGCTATATAAAACATTTTTCCTTGCTTTGAAACGTGTGATTCCGTTATATTCGAACTTATAACTGGCGTTCGAAGGGTGGCGGCCACGCTGCGTCAGAACAGTCCTGGGCGTGCTTCTCATGTTTCGAATCCATCCCATATCAAAACCTTGTGAGGCTCGCGTTTGAGGAATGAAGTTTCAAAATTCCGGCTTGATCGTAGCAAAAATTACATACTCAATTCAATTGGCGCAGTACTGGGAAATTTTGAAATTTCTGGAAATATTACAGTGAAGACCGGAAGCCCATACTGTTTCGTCCCAGTACACTTTCCTCAGCAGATCTGCTTCATTGATGCTATATTTTTTTATTGTTCCAAAGTAGGCTGAACCACTGAATTGATTTTACATACATCCTAATGCATCGGATGCAGGCCAATTTCGGAATCGACTCGGCAGACCCCTTTGATTGCATCTTATCAGGCATACAATCCAGAAGCGTTGATTCTCGTATTTGCGGGGCGACATGAAACATTAAATCTGCTTCAGGCGAGAGCTGCCGTGGTTGTTTCAACCACTAGATATGAAACAGCGTCAATGCTAAAGCATTTGGGTCTTAAATCCACGTAAACTGCTAACTTCGGGAAGGAGCTTTGCTCTTTACCGAAAAAAGTTGGCTTGTTCAAGTGATGCGGCGCTCGAGTCATTTTCGACGCCCGTCGGACACGTTAGTGTGAATGGCGCACCCCAAAAAAAATATGGGGCCAGTCGATTTGTGTACATGCACCTGTATCATTTATTCTTGTATCGGCATCGTTTGATGGGGCTCAAAACAGGGTAGATTCCCGTCTGATTCGTACTGGACAAACCTTGCAATAACAGAAACCAACACCTGTACTTGGATCCTGTGCTGATGTCATCGTCTTCATCATGCGTCATTTTTCTCTGTGCATGTAACCTGCGCAAGGCCGCTGCTTCTAAAAATACCACACCTCATACTCAATAGGATTGGACAGGGGCGGTTAAATCTATAATTAAGTACGATTCTTGAGCTACAACATGGTTCAAAAAAAGAGCTAACTGTCTCCGTATATATAAAGACGCGAATCACGTTTTGCTCGTGTGTAGTTTTCAGTACGTGTAGAAAGACTCGGGCATCTTGATTTCTCCCAGACCTCTCGTTTTCAAAAATACGCGATACGTTTGTAAGAAGGCTTTGAATTTCTCCTTCTTCGCGAAAACTGAAAACGATTGTCGGTTTGATTGAGTGGAAGTGCAAAAAGAGACTGAAGCTCGTGCCCTTTGTGTCCATCTGTGTCAACTGAAACACCTGTCATATCCTAGAAAGAGCATTCCCTTTTCTTTTACAGCTTAGTGTTGGCTCTTGTATATTAGCACAAGATCTCGGGTTTTCCAACGCAAAAACCCAGATCAATAGGTAAGAATAATTTTCCCTTCGACGTTTCCCAACCCCGGAATTCTAGTCTTTCGAACCAACGAGATCTGAAAATCTGGTGCATTTCTATTCTTGAAAATTCCTAGGACCAGAAATTATACTAGCATTAGTGAGCCGCCTCGACTCCTACACATTTTGTGCATCGCGGTGACTGAGGCGCTGTTTTTTTTTGTCCTCCCTCGCGTGGCTCTGTTCGATCCTCTCCACTTTCTCGAGCCACCTACATCCAGGCACTTGCCAGTTTCTGCATCGGAAAATTTCCATATTCCACCCATATTTTAGAAAAAAGGCTTCTTTGTTTTTCCTGAGCTCCACTAGGCCGAAATAGAAAGCCTCGTTTTGAAACTCATTTGAAACTCATTTGAAACCACGAGCTGATTTTATTTCATCGTGCGCCATTGATTGATCTTCAACCTGATTATTCCAGAAAAACACAAAGTACTCCAGAATGGCACAAAACGGAAGATTAGTGAACAAGGTGTTCAATCAAGATTTTGTCATAGATAAAAGGTTCAAAATAACCAAGGAGCTAGGCCACGGAGCATATGGCATTGTCTGCTCAGCCCAATACGACGACGGGTCCGGTTCTCCTGGCGGCAACAATGTGGCCATCAAGAAAATCACTAACATCTTCTCCAAGAAGATTCTTTGCAAAAGGGCTTTGCGGGAAGTCAAGCTTTTACAATTCTTTCGAGGCCATAAAAATATCACCTGTTTGTACGATCTAGACATCGTCATGGATCCCGTTACAGGTGTATTCAACGATATATATCTTTACGAGGAACTCATGGAGTGTGACATGCATCAGATCATTCGCCTGGGACAGCCTCTCACTGACCTGCACTATCAGCTGTTCATTTACCAGATTCTTTGTGGTTTGAAGTACATACACAGTGCTGATGTTCTTCACCGGGATTTGAAACCAGGAAACTTGCTTGTGAATGTGGAGTGCGATTTGAAAATATGTGATTTTGGATTGGCACGTGGCTTCTCGGAAGATGTTGAGCAGAATTCGGGATTCATGACCGAATATGTCGCCACAAGATGGTACAGGGCCCCGGAAATCATGCTCAGCTTCTCCAACTATACAAAGGCTATAGACATATGGTCTGTGGGCTGTATATTGGGAGAGCTTCTTGGTGGTAAACCTCTTTTCCGAGGGAAGGACTATGTCGATCAATTGAATCAGATTTTGATGGTTTTGGGAACTCCAAAAGAGTCAGCATTGACGAAAATTGGCTCTCCACGTGCCCAGAACTATGTCCGGTCGCTACCTATCATGAGAAAGATTCACTATAGAGAAATTCTTCCGAACGCTAATCCGTTGGCTCTCGACTTGTTGGAAAGGATGCTTGCGTTTGATCCACACGAGAGAATCACGGTAGAAGAAGCACTCAATCATCCATATTTAGCCGTATGGCACGATCCTCAAGATGAGCCCGAGAGCAAGATAAAGTTTGACTTCAAGACTTTCGAAACGGTTGACGATATGGAATCCATGAAGCAGTTGATAATCGAAGAGGTGAAAAGTTTTCGGGAGTTTGTGAGAAAGCCCATTCAGGAACAAAAACAAATACAGCTTCAAATTCAAGAAAAGCAGCAACAACAGCAACAAAGAGAGGCAGACCAGGAGCAACTTCGAAAGAAGTTGGAGCGAGAAAGGCAGCAGCAGCAGCAGCAGCAGCAGCAATATATCCAGCACAGAGAACAACAGATCCAAGATCAGCATCAGCATCAACAGCAACAGTTTCAAACACAACAAGACCACCAGCGGTTTGAGACAAGTTCCAAAAGCATTCCCGGGGGCGAATTTAGTGATCAGTTCGGTGGAATCATGACTTCAAATGCATCTGTATTGAATAATACTGGTCTTCTTACAGACCCCTCTCAATTACGCAACGAAGACAATTTGCAACATTATGATGCTATGCCAAAGCCTCAAGAGTTTGAAGAGTTCTCATTACTAGCGAGAAATGAAGATCCTAATCTTTTACTAGAAGAGGAGCTAGGCTTCGGTATGGACGGAAGCGCATTCCATAATTAGAATTTAGAAAGATCGATTGTTGTGGAATATAGAAATCATTGAGCTGGAAATAATTGTGATATTTATTGAGTTGTAGTAAAATGTAACATACGCTGTGTCAATCTTTTAAAGGCCTAGCCTATACTTGAAAATGTCACCACTCTTTCCGTATATCCAAAAGTCTTTTGAGTCACAGTGAAATCCTGATATGTGCCCGTTCTTCATCAAACAAGACAAATCCATGGTTAGCAAAGGAACTTTGATAGAAGGGAGGTCTTTATCGTTCACAATTCCGTGAAGTATGCAAGGATACTTTGCTTTGAGCTCTCGTTTCTGCTTTGTGTAATGCTTTTTGAGTCGCATCTCATACAAGGATTTGTAAAGGGAGAAGACTATCTGAAGTTTCTCCTCTGAATTGCCTGGGGAATTTATTGGACTTGCATTGGAGCTTAATAAATTGTTGATACCCAATTTACTGAAGGAAGTATGAAGTTGCAAGTCTTCGGATTGATTGAGCGATCGGCCCCGGTTGTGTTGACGAACAGCGTTTGGAGAGGGGTTTGGTTTGCCCCGCGAAGAGACAGAATGTAATTGGGACGTCAGAGCAGAATCTGCATTGTGAGAATGTCTTCGTGCACTTGTCGTGAAATGGCTCTTTTTTATTCTGGGAAGTGCTTTGTTGTTGAATTCCCAAAAGTTGACCGCACCGTCACTACCACAAGATATCAAATTATAGGTTCCGGTATTCAGAGAATTCTGCGGGCTGAGATATTGATCTTTGGACACAAAACACACTTTCTGAACAGTGTTTGCATGACCCTTCAATCTACTTACAATCGCAATGTCTTTGATCGAAGGTGCATAGTATGTTTCAGGACATTCAGCCGTCGGAATTTCCAACGAGTTTGAACCAGTAGCAAACCCAAGAAACGAGGCCAGCAGATGAAGATTTGAGCTTGAGCTGTTGATTGTTCCGCTCCGGGATCTGCCCCCTTTGTTCAGAGTAGGGTCAGTCTTCTTGCGTAAAAGTACATTGATGTTATAGTAGCTCATCTTGAAGATTTCCACTAGATCACCTTTCCCACATGATACAAAAAACTTGTAGTCAGGCGAAAAGTCTATGTCTCTCACGCCTTCTTGGAAATAGTTCGACACAATGTCCGTCAAAATGGGCAGGTTATAGAAATTGTCAGAGTTCCCATAGTTCTTGCCATACGTGGCTATGAGATCAACAAAGCGCACAAGCCCATCTTCAGAAGCAAGGGCCAAAATCATAGGATTGTGAGAGTTTTCCACCAGGCTTTCATAAGGAATGGTAGTTGCAATGGAGGTGATTGGCTTGTGGCTGATTTTAAAGTGTCCAATGAGGTATGATGGAGATGTGTCATCAACTTGCGATGTATCCTTTTTGTCCCAGCCGCTCAAGTCAAAAAGTTTGAAGTAAGTGACAAAGCGGTCACTGCCAACAACTTCCTTGACGTATACGCCCTCGGATTTGGGAGGAGCACTGGGATCCACGATGACCACCTCACCTGTCGCATATCCCGCAATAATAAGGAGTCCATAGGTAGGGTGGCCCAAAGCACAGAGGGAAGTAACTGACTTGATGCTCAGAGAGCCCTGTATTCCGATGGGGCCATTGTTGCCTAGGTCATTGAAGTGGCGGAAGGTTAGAGAAGTGAGATTGATCATGAAAAGATCACCGTTGCTAAGACCTAGGACGACAAGCATTTCACTAGCAATTGTGATCATCGACGTGACCATCAGCTGGCTGTTTAGTTGAATCCGCAAGACCGGGCCCTCAGTCACCCTCTTGTACAGCTCTGGCAGGGACTGCACCAGGGTGGAACTGCCATTTGGAGAATGAGACGTGGGAACAACGGGCGCCGGTGGCTGCGGGTATATCTGGCTTGTGGACTGGCTTGTGTTTGTGCAAGCGTAGTTGTGGTTCTGGTCTATAGCAAATACATTGACAACATTAATATGCGCACTGACCAAGAGTTTACTTGTACCCGAAGATGATAGACGCGAAAAATAGGACTTTTTGTCAAAGTCAATGAGCGACGAGACAATCGCTGGATCTCGCAGGTGCCTCCTTGGGGTACCCTTGAAAGGAGCAGGAATATGTCCGTCGTTGGCTGGATCTGATGTCAAAGCATGCCAGTGGGCCGGCTGCGTGGTGTCTGATGCCCCAATACGTAGCAACCTGTTGATGCTATTAGTTACCTTATTGAACGGATTCCGAAATTCGGGCGTTTGGGGAATCGAGTCCGCATGGTTGTGTAGCGTGATCATCGAAGATAGACAGCCGGGATTAAGATGGACGAAATGGTACGGGTCACGCAAGAGCGGATTAACGTTGGCGCCCACGTGCTTGGCGCCATCCTGCTTTTGGTCCCCGCCTTCGGAAACCAAGTTTGAGAAGATATTCGCATAATGAAGCGGCATGGGAACGTAGGTGGTGGACTCGATATTTCTATGGATATCCAGCTGGTACGGCGGCCGCGAAACATGCAAGTAAGTGTGGTCAAGATGCGCTTTGGCGGAAACCGACGCGTCGACGCCTGTGAGCGGCCAGTTGAAACTTTCAATGGCGTTTAGCCGAGTTGGACACAAACTATTGTCGAGGGAAAAATGCAAGTTATCGTCCAAGATTGGAAGACCGGGGCATACCGAGGTGAGAAACACGGCCAACGGAGTGGCCTTTTCCATAGAAGGCGGGATTTCGGTCATGGTGATATGTGGTTATGTTAAGTGTGCTGATTCGGTCGATATTTGTGAAAGTTTTTTGGCCCCAGGCTAGATATCAAATGTCTTTTGAATGACTGTCTATGAATGACTGTCTATGAATGACTGTCTATGAATGACTGTCTATGAATGACTGTCTATGAATGGCGCAATGAGTGGGGGAGGGGGGGGAGGGGGAGCTGAGTAGAAGCCGGCAACAGCGGTTGCGATAGGATCACTGGTGTTTTATTGATTTCGGGGTTATACGAAATTTCAAAAAATCGCTTTTAAGTACTGGCAAAAGCTTCCTATGTATGTAGGTTAAGGCTATTCCTCCGCGTATGCGACAGATGACGAGGAAATAGGTTTGGGCTCGCTTAGGCCGCGGGATCTCAGTTTGGCTCTACGCAGAACGCGGGGCTTCAGCCCAAAAAAGGAGGAGGCTACAGAGAAAAAAAGAAAAAGCAGACCACTTCGAATCGGGTCTTCACTTCTGGGTTTCCTGGTGGTTAGAATCTCTTGCTATCCCGTTTTTTTCTGCGGGTATGAACCAAGCCCTGCGCCATTGCCACAGTCGCTCATATTGGGCTCCTGCATGGGGTGCTCCGCTCGCCCAATCCATGCTTGCATTATCAGGATGGTCACGTGCGAGGGAGTACTCTGCGCACTCCCACGACATGACTGCACGCCTCGAGATGGCTACCGTCTTCATTTAATTTCACTAGGCTTTTCCTCATGCCCAGTGAAAATGTCTGCACCCCAAAACAGCCAGGTGTGTGGTTTTGTTAAGTATACTCGCCGATCATTGCCGCTTTTCATATTGTGACCCGGTGTTTATCCAAAAAAAAAAAAATGACAAGGAAAAGTGGGAAGGTAGAGTGGGACATGGGCGTGAGAAAGCACTGCCCCTAACTACTCATCCCCTGCCCCCATATCCGAAGATCTTCACGAATCCAGCCGCCAGGCTGTTTTGTCGGATTTAACGTTTTCTAGAAGCCAAACCAAAATTCTGCCTTTGGCCTTGTGGCCTCATATGCCACTTTGCGTCAAAATAGACAGGAGTGGGCGTGCGGCCGAAACCCTCACACTTCTGTACTACTAAATGCCTTAGGGATTATGATCTGTTAAGCTCTCATCTAATTCTCAGACGAATACACCGGTTTGGTCCTCGGCTTCGTCCAATTTGGCTTCCGCTCGATGTGCTCACCAAGTCCTCCCCATCCAATACATGCATATAAGCGCAAGCTGTTTTCCCCGCGCTCCTGGACAGTGCGACATTTGTCGGCGGCAAGGATCGTCACCCGCGGAAAAATTTTACCGCACTCTCCTTCAGAAACCCCCTTAACTCAAGCCCTAAGTGTCCTCAGTCAGACCCCAAAGTCATAAGCAACACCCATTTTTCTCCTCACATACCATCATTTCTGGCGTCAAACTATACACTGACACCATTATTGAGGACCGATCCATCTGGCCTAAGGGACTTTTGCTCCAGGCTATTTTTGTTGTGTTGTTCCCAGCGCTGTCCTACCCGCGGTGAACGACATTTTTATTTTGTCGTCGTCGCGCTCACACCAAAACACACCCGCGACTGCACTATTGAGGTGCATAACTAAACCTCACATCGGTCCCTATTTCTCCGCGCAAGGCCTGCTAATTTTTGGCAGGAAAGAACACATACTGTCAATTGGTGCCTCGGCACTTCAAAAATGGCAGTTCTTACTTCCAAGGCCGCAGGTGCTGGGAAGGCCGCCGCCGGTGCGAGGTTCCGTCAGCGAAAAATCTCTGTGAAGATATCCTTGCCCATCTATAATGCTAGCGAGATATCCGGTACCGACCAGGATCTTGAGCCTTCCCAGCTTCACCACCTAAATGCTTCTGCACAACAGTCCCGCGACCTACATACCGTGGAAACAGGTGTCGACAAGAATGAAGAGGACGAGGTTCATTTGCAGCAAGTCATTAACGCGGCTCAGCGTGTTTTATTAGGCTCAAACAACGAGTCTGATAAAGGAAAGGAGCTCTCGTCGGTATATATTCCAACTCCAGATGCTTCGAAGACTTGGCCAGACGCGAAAAAATATTACTCCGATGAAGCGTTCATTGAGCCCGAATCATACATAAAATTCAGTGCGACAGTGGAGGACACGCTTGGTATCGAGTACAACATGGATGAAGAGGACGAAGCATTCTTTAACGAAGCTTTCGCAAGCGATACTGACAAGTCGGGTGCAAAACAAGAACTGAAAAAGACCAACGAACTTGCAAAGCCATCGCTTGAAGCAGGCAGTAATCGAAGCTGTACCATGCTTGAGTTCGAAGCTATCTGCGACAAATTCGAAAAGAAGATTGAAGAACGTCAACCATTTTTGTCAATGGACCCGACCAACATTCTTTCCTATAAAGAGCTATCTTCTTTGATCATCGAAGAGTTCAATTCGAGTGCTACCTCCGATTTCTCCATTGCTCAAACAGGTTTGGATCAAAAATACATATCAACCTCGACAATCAAGGAAAAGCTTTCCAAGGAGTTGGGATTCGCACCTTTTGTGACGACATTTGACAAGAATCAGCAATCAACACTTGGTATCCGCTCCATTCCGAAGTTATTGAAACTCTTCGGAGAACCAATTTACAATCATTGGAGAAAAAGAAAAATTGCCCGCAAAGGCAAATCTATTACTCCAACACTCAAATTTGAGGATCCTAATGCCAATGAGAAAGATAACGATAATGATCCGTACGTATGTTTCCGCAGGCGTGAGTTTAGGCAGGCAAGAAAGACTCGGAGAGCTGATAACTTGGGCGCAGAAAGAATCAGAATGCTACAAAAATCGTTGAAACGTGCAAGAGAGATAATCTTCTCTGTTTGTAAAAGGGAAATTCTCAAGCTCGAAAACTGGGAGGCTGATCATGAAATATTCAGACTCCGGACGGAGGCCAAAGGCGTTAAGCGCTTAGTGGGAATCAAGGGTGATGATCACTTGTTCTATCCACATAAGCGGAAGAAGATTATCAAGATTGAGCCGGAAGAAGAGGAACAGATAGAAGCCCCAAAGTTTAAAAAAGAAAAGAAGAAGCAGCAAGACACTGTACCGTCTTTTACTCAATCAAAGGAATCTGGGAATTTCAATGGCCAAAGTCAACCGGAAGCCTCTTCAACGCAGCCGTATGTTAAGCTTCCTCCCTCCAAAATTCCCGATATGGACTTGGTTACTGTATCGTTTGTGATAAATGAGAAAACCGAGGCCATAAAGCGAGCTGTCCTGGAAAAGTTGAAGAAACGAAAAGAGTCTGACAAAGGGTTTGTCAATATCACTTACGATCCTCATCAGCCATTTTTCAATATCTCTACCAACAGGGAAAATAAGCAGCTAGAGCTCAGTCACATCCCATACTCTTCGATTGCTGCAAGCCATTATCACCAATTTAACACCACCAATGTCATCGATGATCAGGTTGTGAAGGCTTTGGAAGATGGGTCCAAAGCTTTTCCAGGAGTGAAGTCTTTTAGTGGTGCAAGCGGTGAGCTTGTGCCGTCTAGGAATTTCCCGCACCTACATTCTTTACTCACGAAACACTTGAACCTGAAACTCGATGAATCATCCAGCTATATCGCTCAGCTTCTTTCAAACGTGGAGAACAATGATTTCAGTTCTTACACCAAAGGATTCAAGAAGCTGATGGATGATGAAAGCGATACCATGGATGACACTTCTGAACCAATTTTCAGATTACGAAAGCGACTCGGCAGAGCCAACAGAACATTTATTGATAGACGTGGGCTCGTTGCGAGACCCGATGATGCTATTGACGAATGGCTAAACTTCTCAGACAGCGACGAGGAACCGAATGCCAATCTGATAGATAAATCATCAGAATTCGCCGAGAGACTGAAACTGAAGGATGCATACCACAACAAGAAAGATGCGGTATTGCGCTTGGATTCTCGATGGAAATTTGATGAAGACTATCCGGATTATGATAGAGGCATTCGTGACCCATTCAGTTTGAATCCTTCAAAGCTAAACTCAATTAGTGATGATACTCAATCAATTCGATTTGGGTCCATGCTTCTTTCCAAGTCTTACGACTTGTTAAGAGAAAGCGCACACCAAAGGCAAGCGCTAATTCAGCAGGCCAAAATCCGAGCATTGCAACAACAGCAATTGCAGAGAAGTCACCCCCATGGAGCATCACTGTCAACTTCAAATGTTCCACAACCACAAGGGAAAGGGACGTCCAATGCCGGGACAGGTATGCGATCTATAAATGGAAGCGCTGGAGCAGGGCTCTCTGCCAATAGTCCATATCGGAAAACACTGTCCCAAGGTTCGTACACTGCTAATATCAACAAAGTGGGGAACAGCGCAGGTCGAACACAACCATATACTGCACAGCAATTACTGGCTATGCAGCAGTATAAACAGCAACAGAACCAACAAATGCAGAGTCAAGGCACTCTCACTCAGAAGAGGACCACACCAGCTATAGTTCATCGAGCAAACGCTGTTTCGGCAACTCCAAAGATTGCAGGAGACGCCAAAAAATTGCATCCTGACCGCCTCTAGATGAGGACGGATTATGTACCATAGCAAATAGATACGATATAGAACAATGGTTTGTAGCGCGTGCCTAACCGCAGCCGAGTCTAATGAGTGTACGAAACGTCGGGATCATACTACTCTCCCCGGAGCAGGCGGAAGATACGTTCAACTCTACAAGCTTGAATATCAACACAAAGAATTTTGTCACAGCGGAAAACCTTCAAGCATGTCGAAGGTGATTGTTTTTGGCTCTCACGGCAAAGTCGGACAGAATCTCATCAAATTGCTCGCGCTATCAGACAAATATCAGGCCACTGCCGTGATCAGAAGTCCAACACAGGCAAGCACCCTTAGAAATCTTGATGAAGCCACTGCAAACTTAAACACTTCCCAGCTTGATATGGGATCCAGTTCTGTTGATGATCTCACAAAAGCTATTCGTGGTCACAATGCTGTGATTTTGACTGTTGGATCTGCAGGGAAAGATTTACTAAAGGTAGATTTGGATGGAGTGGTCAAGACGTTTGAAGCATCAGTTCAGGCAAACGTGAGAAGGTTGATTTTGGTGAGTGCTGTTTATGCACACGATCGCGTATTTGGGGCAGCTACGCCTCTTAGGGATTATTACATCTCAAAGCATTACGCAGACAGGATCTTGAAAAACGAGTTCAGGGATGCCTTGGATTTTACCATATTGAAACCTTCCCGTTTGACAGACGGTGAAGGCACAGGCAGAATCCGGATTCTAACCGGTGAACAGGACGTAGGTCTGGTGGATAGAAAAGATGTTGCACGAGCAATTTTTGAGATTTTGGACGAGAAGAGTACCTTTGGTAAGGAATACGATTTTACGTCCGGCGACCTCGATATCTCCGACAGGAGGACCTGGGCGTAAAGGTCCTGCAAGAACAATGCAAGCACTACTTGCTTGATACTATAACCGTTTGAATATTGTGGTCCGTATCTTGATACAGTGACTTCCTCAATTATCTATGAACTCTATAATAATACTAAAACAATCCTTCAATCTCGCCTTCGTCGTTCACCTCAACATTCATGTACCCTGCGTGGGTAGGCAAGCCGGGAATCGTCATGATTTCGGCCGCCAAAGCATACAAGTAACCAGCACCAGCGCTACATCTCACTTCTCTGATAGGAACAGTGAACCCGGTAGGAACACCCTTCAAGCTGGGATCGTGAGACAACGAGTACTGCGTCTTCGCGATACAAATTGGTAACTTGTCATATCCCTGGCGAGTGTAAGTTTCGATTTGCTTCTTGGCCAAGGGAGACAAGTCGATGTTAGCTGCTCCGTACATCTTGGAAGCAATAGCAGTCAACTTGTCCTCGACGGAGTCTTCAACATTGTACAAGAAGGTTTGCTCGGTATTCTTGGCTTGAAGGACGGCCTTGGAGACCGCCTCGGCCAACTGCAACGATCCAGATCCTCCCTGGGCCCAGTGATTCGATGGCACGGCAAAATCAGCACCAGCCTTGAGCGCCTCCTCTTGAATCACACGGAGCTCGTTCTTGGTGTCGGTCTCAAACTCGTTGATGGCAACAACCACAGGAACATTGTACTGCTTGATGTTGGCAATCTGCTTAGCCATGTTGGCACAGCCTGTGCGCAAGTAGTCCAAGTTCTCAGTGGTATATTCCGCAGGCAATTCCTGCCCAGGCTTGACGTCAGGAGCTCCACCGTGGAGCTTCAAGGCACGAGAGGTGGCCACGAGCACAACAGTGTCAGGCGACATTCCCGACGCACGGCACTTGATGTTGAAGAAACGCTCACCTCCCATGGTGAAGTCAAACCCAGCTTCAGTGATCACGAAACCCTTCTTTCCGTTGTTTGTAGCGTTGGAAGGAGAGGTCAACTTCAAGGCCAAACGGTCGGCGATCACCGACGACGCGCCGATCGAGATGTTGGCAAAAGGCCCAGCGTGCACAAAGACAGGTGTTCCTTCAAGCGTTTGCATCATGTTTGGCTTGATGGCGTCCTTTAAGAGAGCAGTGATCGCACCCGCACAGCCGACATCCTCGGCAGTGATAGCAACGCCTGTGTCCTTCTGGGTGCCAACAACGAGGCGGCCGACTCTCTCTCTCAAGTCCTTGAGGGAAGTGGACAAGGCCAAAATAGCCATGATCTCAGATGCAACGGTGATGTCGAACCCGGAAACACGGGGTGGGTATTTCGAGGCCTCGTTCTTGCCTTGGCCAAGAGTGATTTCACGAACGAAACGGTCGTTGCAGTCAACAACACGCTTGATGGTGATGGACTCTGGGTCGATGTTGAGCATGGCAAACTTCTCGATCTCGTCCTTCGTCAACTCATCTGGGTTGGTCTTCGAGATCCCCAACTTTTCCAAGCGGGCAATCATTTGGCGCGTGAACTTGCGCACACCCTTCTTGGAAGGCACCAATCTTTTGTAGAATCCGCTGACCGTCTTACTCGTGTGCTCGTGGAACATTCTCGTGTCCACCGCAGCACACAACAAGTTTTGGGCGGCAGAAATGGCATGGATATCACCAGTCAAGTGCATGTTGAACTCGTCCATGGGAATGACCTGGGCGTAGCCTCCACCGGCAGCACCTCCTTTAACACCAAAGGTGGGCCCCATGGATGGCTGACGTACATTGGCAATGGAGTTGAAGCCCAAATGCGCCCCGAGGGCCTGTGTCAAGCCAATGGTGGTGGTCGATTTTCCCTCTCCCAAAGGCGTGGGCGTGATACCAGCAACCAAAACGAAGTGACCGCGGTCCGCCTTCGAGCCTTCCAGGTCCTCGTCTAAGCGCTCAATAACAAGATGCGGGTCGACCTTGGCCTTGTAGTGACCATAAGGCTCGAGCTCACGCTCCAAAAGACCGAGTTCCTGTGCAACCTTGGTGATCTTCTTGGGCTTTTGGGCACGGGAAATGGCAATGTCCAGGGGCACGGGGGTCAAGGGCTTGAGAGGCAATGGCTTGAACCTGTGGTCGTGCGCCTTCTTGTAAGAATGGATGGCGGCGTCGTAGACGTTGGAGCAAAGCATGGCAACAGTCATGGGCCCGACTCCACCGGGGACAGGCGTGATGAACGAGGCCTTGCCGACAACATCGTCATAGTCCACGTCACCAACAAGCTTTCTGCCGTTCTTAGCCGTGGGGTCCTCCTTGTAGTTGATTCCGACATCCACCACAACGGCACCCTCCTTCACCCAGTCACCTTTCACAAACTCCGGGATTCCCACCGCAGCAATGACAATGTCTGCGTTGCGAAGAATCGAGGGCAAGTCCATGGTGTGGCGGTGGCATATAGTGACGGTACAATCCTCGTTCCTCAACATGGCGGCAACAGGCGTACCCACAATATCCGAGCGGCCAATGACCACCGCGTTTTTTCCACGCAACTGGATGCCGGTGGTCTTGATCAACTCCATGATACCGTTGGGCGTGCAGGGCTTGAACATGGGGTTTCCGCCTCTTTTGGAGAGCTCGCCGGCGTTGTAGCGGTCGAAGCCATCGACGTCTTTTTCCGTGGAGACAGAGTTGGTAACCAAGGTCTCGTCAATATGCTTGGGCAATGGAAGCTGGATCAAGATTCCATGGACCTTGGGGTCTTTGTTCAAGCGGTCCACCTCCTCGAGCAAGGCCTCTTCGCTCAAGTCGGCATCGAACTTCACCAAGTTCGATTTGATGTTGGCAGACTTGGCAGCCTTAAGTTTCGATCTGACATACGCAGACGAGTCTGGTCTGTCGCCAACCTGGATGATTGTGAGCTGTGGCTTATAACGGAGCTGGTCAAAGTCAACCTCCGTGTTGGACAAGGGCAAGTCCAAAGCAGGAAACTGGGCCTTGTTGTACTCAACGACTTTTTGAGCAATTTGCTGTTTGATGGTCTTGGCCAATTTGGTGCCGGAAACGACGGTGGCATCGAGAAGGCGAGTCTTCGTATGGAATCTCTTGATAGCGGCCTGGTAGGCCCTCGCGCTTCTGAGCATTTTGTGGTTGCAAGAATACTAGCAGACAAAATGAAACGGAGAGGAAAACTGGGAGCTTTTCTGCAAAGCTTGTTTGTGCAATTGGTGCTTGGCGTTGGCTCTGATTTGACAGCTCACGAAATTAGCACGTACTGTGGAAAATGAGGCCCGGCTGCTGGTGGCCTGGGCATATGCCGGATGTCGATGAGTTGCACGTTTGCTTGTGAACGTGAAAAATTTGCCCACCGGAAAAAATTTGACTGGCTGGAAATGAGTCACACTATTTCCGCGGGGCAAATGCCCTAGGCTTGCTGTGGCCTACAGCTGCAGGTGGGTCCCCGGGGTGGAAACAAGCCGAAAAAAGCACAATGCCTATTCTTGGAGCGAAGTCTCGCTGAGATCAATTGCTGCAAAATCAGAGCCTTTCACGGCACGGACGATTGCCCAACACGGTCAGAGATAACGTTGCATATGCTTCTTCTGACTCGGACCGGAGCCAGTCGAAATCGCAGTCAGAGGCGCGCTGGGCCGGGTGTGCGCCTGACTGCGCGCGCTAATAATAATGAGCCTCGGACTTGCGGCCGCTGGCCGGAGTGATACACCAGGATACCCAGGAAACTGATATCCAGTGTTGAAATGTAACAAAAGCTATAATACCAGTGTCGAAAATGACACGCCCTTAGACTTCGTACTCTTATATTTTGCTTAAATCTCTTTGGTTGACCCCCGCACAAGTGCTGATAAAGGACTTGTATGCTGATGTCTCTGGACTGAAAGTCAGAAAAAGGCTAGACCGATCCTTGAATGGAGCAGTGATATTCGACCAGTCCAGTCGCAAACTCGCAGTAAAGTACACCAACGCTGCTACGTCCCTACATGGGCATTGGGACCCCCCTTGGGAGAGTCGGTGTGAACGAATACTTTATTGCATCTCACTCAGTGAGACATGCTTTGGGGCACACCACTCACTCCATGTCATGTAGTGCATCCTTATCAGGTTCAAGCAAGTCTTTTTTGCTCGTCTTCGATCGGAGTTGGCTCAACATAGCCTGCGCCCTGAGCATAACAACATCGTATTGCTCGGATTTCTCCACGGCCTTTTCCCGGTCCACCAAATTCTTCCGCGTAGTCATTCTTCTTCGCAATGATTTGACACTTTCGTACTCATTCGATGACTTCTCTCTCCTGATGGTCAAATCCTCATCTGTATCAATAAAATTCTCTATCGAGTAAGAATATAGTGATTTCAGACCAACGTACGATTGTCCTTTGTGACCGCGCCGTCCTTTATGATCAGCTAGTATGGGTGATTGGTATTTCAACCTGCGGAGCAACTCATCGATAGACTCAGGACTTCGGTTCTCCTTTCCATTTGCACTAATTGAGTACCCCTCTCCATCATCCTCCTCATCACCATCCTCCTCATCCTCGTCATTGAACGCAGTGCCACCTTCTTTGGTCTTATCGCGCAAAATCTCACCGTCAGTGCTGCCGTTATGTCCACCTGTTTTGACCTTCATTTCATGCTTGTTCTTACTCTTCTTATCCTTAAGAGCATTTTCCTTCCTTTGAATCATTTGCTTTTTTCTTTCGTATACCCTCTCGTCTTCTTCTTTCTGCACATTCTCAGCGTGCATCTTTTTGAACTCTGACACAAAATTGAGAAATTTGCTGAAAAACGAGTTTTTACTGTTTGAATCGGATGAGTTTTCGCCAAAGTAGTCCATCACTTCGCAATATAAAGTAATAGTGCGCTCCTTTCTTGAGTCCACAACAAACGCCTTTTGCTTTGCTTGTTCAAGAGGTGCTCTGATTTTCTCCAATATGACATCTTCAGGATGGAAGGTATCTCTCGCACTCAAGTTGCCTTTAGTCATGGATGTGGCAACATTCAAAATGTTTCGTTTGAACTCTTCGCAGTCTGTCTCCAACTGTTCAACGGAAATTCTCTGCGTATGATTGAGTATGCTTAGCTCATCCACAAACAAGCCATACTCCGGGAAGTAATTACGCACGATCTTTTCAATATAGTGCAAGAACGTCATGGAATTTGAATCATCTTTCATGAATCTTAATCTCTGCAATATATCAAGTTTGAAACCCATGGCTTGCTTCGAGGAATCATTCATGAAATTTCCAACCGATCGTATCAAAGCCAAAACTTGCTTTAGACTGTGGCTTTCTTGAATACAATTGGCGCCTCGGTAAATCAAATCTAATTTCTGAAGCAAGTCACTCGAATCTTTTTTAAACGAATGTAAGACCAACAAAGCGCGAGATCGAGATTTCCAGTAGTTTCTCATGTTGAAGATTTCGAGAAAGATTCGGTCCGCACGTTCCAAATTCTCTGGAGACTTAGGTGGTGTATTTTCTGGTCCCGTGTACCCATTCGAATAAGGTAGAAATGCTCTGGTAACAGAGTCAGACATTTCATTCAATGCATCGCTGTTGAAAAACTCCAATACGCTAACATTCTCTGTGATTGATTTGTCACAACTGTAGATTTTTTGCATCAATTCTTCAACTGTCAAATTCCCAAACATATGCAAATTTATACCAAATTGCTGGGCTAAATCAATGGGTAGTAAAGTAATTTTTTTGGGCTTTGTGGGGGAAACAGATAATTTGGTCTTCACTTTGACCACAGAGTTCTTTGCAACAAAAGCTTTTTCCAACTCTCGTAGCACACCCTTCAGTTGTAACTCACTTATTATTTCCTTATGAGGAATACCACTCCAAAAGGTTTTGTCAATGTTTTCAATTTTACTCCAGTGCATCTGCTTGAGTTTTGTCTTTGGTTTTATTGATTGGTCAGATGCTTTTGGTAGAGCCACCTCCTTCACCTGAATTTCTGCACCGCCTTTTACATCATGGTTGGTTGGCAGCATGGCTCCTTGGGCTTCTAAAGGGGTCTCTTGAAGTCTGTCCAGAGGTGGTAGTGGTGGTGGTGGTGGTGGTGGTGGCGGTTGCGATGGCGTTGAACCGCCCAGATTTCCTCCATTCGTTGAGAAAATACCTGGCAACGGTGGTGGTGGAGGTGGAGGCGCTGAGGATCCTTTTTTATCGTCATTGCTCTTTGCAAAATGAGCTGGTAAAGGTGGAGGTGGAGGCGGTGAAGATGTTGTGCCATTTTTATTATCATTGCTTATGGTGAGATGAGCTGGTAAAGGTGGTGGGGGAGGCGGTGCCAGTAGTCCTAAATGATTTTGCAAACTTTGTTCAAGCATGGGGGGTGAAGGTGGCAGCTTTATGTGTGTTGCCTCATCAATAGAATTTTTGCCTTGTGATAACATGGGCGGTAATGGAGGAGGAGGTGGTGGTGGTTGTGGGGAATGATTTTGTAACAAAGCGTTTGAATCGCCAACTTCATATTTGTTCTGTGAAAAAGAACTTGGGAGCGGCGGTGGTATTGGGGGATCGAGCAAAGACGTTGACTCTCTTATGACTACTGGAGCAGTCTCATCTTGAAGAGTCAAGTTCATCTCGGGCAGGAGCTCGGCCTGCTGAACTGACATTGAGATTTGAGTACATTTTGGATTTCTCAGCATGGAAGAATACAGTTCAATAGTGGCTGTGGAGCCACTGTATAGATCGATTTCTGCAATTTTTGGTATTGGTTCATGCGAGACGTACCGCTGGGAGTTCAGGTTGGCGTCAACAATTTCCACGTTCAGTGATATAACACAGCTTTTCCTTTCGTCGTGTTGAGTAGCAAAAGATTCAGTCAATCTTGCTTTACTTGTATCAAAAGATTGCTCGATTTCTTGTGTGTTTAAGGATTTCGATCCACAGCCTTCGAGAATCGTCAGTGAGCTTTTCAACTCTAATTCATCCATCAACAATGGCTTTACCGAACTATCGGGTCTTGAATACCCTTCATTGATGGAATTAAGCCTTGGCTCATGAGCGCCCAGCTTGGAGAAATGATTTTGGTGCGACACTTTCTCTTTGTTTATGAATTTAGGCTGTTTGAAATTCAAGCTTTTTTCAAGAAGTTCTTTCTCTTTCCTCAAGCATTGAATCTCTGTCCTGAGATTCTTGACAACATCCAGTTCGCTTTTAGCTCGATCACTTGAAAAGGTCTGCTCATATTTTTGTCCATTTTGGTTGGATGGACTTTCCTGGCTCGCTTTAAGATCTTCAACCATTTGTCGTAATCTTATGGTCTCCATGACGGCTCTTCTTGCTATCTCATCCGTTTCCATTCGATCCATGAGCCGTTCAACAGACATACATAAGACGGAGTCAGCATCAAAATGGACGTTGTTATCGGACAATGTATGCGCAAGAATGGCCTCGAGTAAAGTGAATACTTTTTGCGCTTTTCCTGATTTTTTGCAGTCTAATTGGGCTAATCTTTTGATAATCGAGTCCAAATCAACTGAGTCCACGGGTTGACTTTGATTTTTGTGGGGGGTATGATCATCAAATCCTAGTTTAAGCTTCGAATAAACATCGCCCAAAGTATGCCTCTCTTCCTCATCTTCGAAGTCCTTCAATTGATTTCCACTCAAAAATTTCGAGTAGTCTTCATTTTCAAATACTTCGTATTCCAGGATCTGTTGATCGATATTTTCGTCTTTCATGGCCCCAAGCTTGTCAAAAATGACAGGTAATCTTGACTCTTCTAGCTCCTTTCGCATAGAAGCTCTGTCATTCACGCCGTCCGCCTGTTGAATCAATATATTGATGAGAATTAAGGTAGTGAGCACGTAGTTCTTAAAATGTTGCTCGTTACCAGTTCTCTGGTTGCCTGTTAAGTTGAAATGCTGATCAATGGCAGTTTCAAAAACATTTAACCAGGGCTGAAATTTGACAAAATCGCCCACCGAGTCCTGTAGAGCAGTGAAGCCCTCCATTATATGAGGGAAATAATTGAACAATGAACGGTGGACCAAGTATACCAACAACTCCGTGACCAACAACCTCGTTGTTGAGCTAGGAGAGAGTAGGGAATACATGATCGAGCTAATCACCAAAAGGTCGGATTTCAGAAAAGAAGACTTGGAAGCAGTGGAGTTTCCATCTTCACTCACAAAAGCAGACGAGCCTTCTTCGCCTGTGTCTCTTCGATCAGTCGACAAAAGCATCTTGAGGCAATGGCAAATGTGCTGCTCTTTGATGATATCATCATTCGATTTGATACTCCTCTTATTAATCCGATGCAATATCACAGAAAGGGCAGTCTCTCCCTGTGCATCCTGAAACTCATAGAGCCATTTTTTGCTTCCTTTGCAGTCCAATTTCTTGACCAACTTGCGGAATTCCTTGGAGCTGAGTTTATTTGCCATTATTCGCGACACAAACCAACTAGGGGAGCCCTCTTTGATTCTAAACTTTTTCGAGAGTGTGCTGAGGGTTCCGGAATCATTTTGGTCCAATGTGGACGGAATGCTGTTATCGCGACTGAAAGACATGGATCTCGTTATCTTCGAAGATAACTTTGTGCTCAAATCTGATGGTCTTGTTTCCTGTGATGAAAACTTTGGACTGGAAGATACCCTGAGTATAGGCAGGGCACGTGAGAGCTGAGAGGTCAAGTTCTGCAAATCAAAGTCGACGTTGGTTTCATTCTCACTGAGTAGAAGCTCCCATTTTCTCTTTGTAGAAATATTTTGGAACGACTGCTGTGGAAAGACGCGCGTGGAGAGCAACCGTTGAAAGAGTGCGTCGACGACTTGCACTTCAGGCATTGAATTTATGTTCAGGGTAACAGCTTCGAAAGACTGTAGGCTGATGTTCGAGCTGAGGTTCCGTTTTGGTGGGACGAAAACCGGACTAGATTGCAATTCCTTCATCAGTCTCGCATTTTTTGCTTTTGCGCTCTCTTCAGGCACATTCGCATAGTAATTTGGATGCGGCGGACCCATTGAGCCCACCTCAAGCGGTAGAAGGGGATTATCTGCCGCAAGTGTCAGAGCACTCGCGTAAGTTTCGTTGGCCAAGCTCTCGCGGCTGTGAGACATGCCATGCAGATTGCCGACGGCGGCGCGAGGTGTCTTGGGGTCCAAAGAGCTGAAACTTCCGGTGCTATCATTGGCTGGTGTTCCATAGATAGAATTCTCTGCTGGGCTTTGTAACTGGGCTTCGGACAGGTTCTCAGAATGTAGATTTAGGCGGTGGAGCGGATTCACCTTGAGTATTTGTGACTGGATCATTGCTTCTCGTGCTGTCTGTTCTTCTGAGCTCATAGACGGTCTATTTGGGGAAGAATGTGCGGACATCGAGCCGGATCCAGATACAAGGGAAACGAAAGAGGGGCCCCGCCGCGGTAGCTTTTTCACCCGAGTTGGCTCTGCTAGGTCTGTCACAGACTCATACCCAATGGCCTGGAATTGATCTGTTTGTGGTACGAAGGTAGAATTGGAAGGGGTATTGGGTGTTTTCGGTTCGCCGTGGTCGGAGTTTGGCTCATCAGAAATGCTTCTCGATGCCTTGCCCGTCATTTTACCTAGACCTTTGGAGATGAAATTCCCATACCTTGACTTTGTGTCTGAGCCCGGGGTATGGGCAGGTTTGCTTGCCATGTTATGCGGGGAGAAAGCTGGTGTTTTCCGAAATAAAAGTCTGGTTGAACAATACTAAACGAGGCTTGTGAGATCACTTGTGTACAATAATGAGGGTTGCGAGAAACGAGCATTTGATCTGATGCCCCGCGTCTCGAGGCTGGGGCCATCTGAGGAATGATACATGAATATAGGGCCAAAGCTTGGGGAAAAATTTGGGAGCCTGCAGCATTACGAAAGTTAGGTCCGGGAAAGTTAGGCAGGGTTTCCTTTTCGCTTTTTATCTCGTGTTATTTCTCCCTCCGTTTCGCTCTTAACTGTATTCCTCTCCTCGACTTGCATACTGGTGCTCGGTAGAGCCGAATTTCAATTTCCCAGTCTCTGGCACCTCCGCGCACTCTGCAAACGAAGCGCGGGACTGGTGTCCAGTTTCTTACTGAAGCCCAGCTGGCCTCGGTTGTGCCGCACCTAGCCTCTTCACGACACAACAAAAGAATCTGTTTATCGGCTTGCATCTTGTTGTCGACTATCCATCCAGGCACACGTATCCGCTCGCAGCCGTTAGTAGGATGATTTTTTGTGGTTAATGTTTGGTATTCAGTATTTAGTATTTACTAATCAGTATTTGGTATTCAGTGTTGAGTATTTACTAATCAGTATTTGGTACTCAGCATTTGATAGCCAGCGTTCAGTACGCACTAATTAGTTCTAGTATTTAGTTTTAGTATTTTTTGTACTGTGTCGTGGAGACATTTTTGTTTCGCGTGGCGATTAAAGCTTCCGGCCCTAGTCGGGGCGCGCGGAGCAAAAGAACACGAACAAAACAAGCAGGCAGTAGTGTGCGCGAAGCAAGTGCCTCAGACTCGCGAACGAAGTTGCAAGCAAAGGGCCGCTGCAAGCAAATATGTGGGTATCAGGCATCAGACAGCCTCTGGCAAGATATTCGTTTCTTCGTTGACCATATAAAAATTCAAATTTCTCCTGAATCTCGCCCGGCCTCCAGGCATTTCGTCATGTTTACGATCTTTCTTTCAATCACGGAACCAAATTACGTTCTCGGGGGCTGGTTCCTAGGGCCCGCACCATCGCGTGTGCCGCGTCTGCCCTGGGGCTAGCGCCAGGCGTGTTTCTGTCGCGTTATACCGCGCTGCCCCAATCGCAATTTTTATCTGGTCCCTTTTCTGGCCCTATCTCCGGCCCCAAAATAGCTTGATTCCCGAGAGTTCCTTTCAGTGGATCGAATCTGCCAAACACTTACCCGTTTTTTCTGCTGACTTGCTCGACACAGTAATCAAACACGATGTCTTCTTACAAGTCTAGAAAACCGCAGCCAAAACAGCGGCTGATCTCTAGTTTTTTCTTTCCATCAGCCTCTGCCTCTGCTTCCGGGCCCCCCTCGGTTTCTACGAAGGAAACAACAGCGGCAAAGAAAACAACCACAACTCCAGAAAGAACGGTCAGGGCCCTCAGAACCCAGAGCAATCTCGTGCAGAGAACCCAAAGCCGCTCGTCTTTCGAGGAACCTGCCAGCTCAGATACATCCTTTGTTTCTCCTGATGTGGATAATTTTCGCAACCCGCTTCTAAAGAATTTGTCCGGGAGATCCGCGGGTCTGCCCACTAAAAGCCAAGCTTCAGACACTCAGGTCTCTAGCCTCTTTGTCGCTTCCGAGGGGGAAGACGAAAAAGAAAATACCAGGCCTGTTCGAAAAGATCACAAAGAAAATCTACTCGATTCCAAGCCCGATTTGAAACGAGCCGCCTCGAGCTTCTTAGATGGCCTCAGTGCAAATCCCAAAAAGCTCCGCAGAAAACAGCCCGCAAAACAAAGCACGCCTCCCGCTCTGAAAAGGGGCGGTATTTCTTTGAGTGGTGAGCAGCTAGAAATCATCAACGCTGTGGTGAAACGGGGTGAAAACGTGTTTTTCACTGGATCTGCGGGTACAGGTAAATCCGTTGTTTTGCGGAGTCTAGTTTCCGAACTCTATCATAAGTATGGGCAAAATTTTGTCGGCGTGACTGCGTCTACGGGGTTGGCGGCAGTCAATATCAGCGGACAGACTATCCATAAGTATTTAAGCATTGGTCTAGGTACGGGAAGCCCAAGTGACTTGATAAAAAGTATCAAGAAAAAGCCTCTCGCTAGAAAAAGATGGATGTCTCTCAAGGTCTTACTTATCGATGAAGTCCTGATGATCGACGGAAGATTGTTTACCAAACTCGATGAAATTGCCAAAGTCATCAGAGGCAGTCGGGCCCCTTTCGGTGGCATCCAAATTGTATGCTCGGGTGATTTTTATCAGCTTCCACCGGTGGACAGAGAAGGCAAAAGTCAGTATTGCTTCAACAGTCCGTCTTGGAAGAAAGCCATTACTCACACCATTATTTTGAAGAAGGTTTTTCGTCAAGAAGGAGATAATCAACTCATTGACATGCTCAATGCGCTAAGAGAAGGATCTTTCACTCCAGAGCTGTTGCAGATGTTTCGACTGTTGACAAGAAAGGTGGAATATAGCGATGGAATAGAGCCCACCGAATTGTTTCCCACAAGAGAAGAAGTGAAAAGGGCTAACGAATCTAGATTGTCGAGGTTGCAAGGCGATTCCTTCACTTTCGTTGCGAAGGATAGTGATAACAGTCCTCAGGTTAAAAGATTGTTCGAGAATTTGATGTGTGAAGAAAAACTAACTTTGAAAATCGGGTCCCAAGTCATGTATTTGAAGAATCATCCGGACAATATTGTCGTAAATGGTTCAATTGGAAAGGTAATTGGGTTTTTACCAGAATCTGTGTTCGCTGGATTTTTCGCGGCGTTTCACCCTGAAGACTTCATCAATCCTACGAGTGAATTTATTCTGATGATCGAGATTCTTTATAGTTCGATTGGCGTGGATGAGCTTCCTCTGGAACAAAAACTTGCTTTTGAATCACTACCTGATCGCTGGAGACTAAAACTAGCACCCTTGATTCGGGAACTCTTTCGCGTGTCCAAGGGTCTGGGGCTAATGCCTGTGGTGTTATTCACAACAAATAAGGATTCCACGATGATCCTTGTCAGAAGAGAGGAGTTTACGGTGGATCAAGGTAAAGCTTTTGTATCATATGGCGCAACCCAGAATTCATTAGTGAGAGAACAAATTCCGTTGGTTTTGTCTTGGGCAATTTCGATCCACAAATCGCAGGGTCAGTCTATAGATCGTCTACGTGTCGATCTCAGACATACATTTGAAAAAGGCCAGATTTACGTTGCGCTCTCAAGAGCGACCAACAAAGAGCAGCTCGAAGTTTATAACTTCGATCATCGGCGAATCACCGTGTCCAAAGAAGTGCAAGATTTTTACAAGTCTTTGAAAGGCTTTGGTGTGTGAAATATATAAAGGGGTCTTGACTATGGCTATCTCGGAATTTCCTATTTCTCTAAGTCTTGACATGAAGCCAATTGTTTAATTTGCTGTCTGGGTCAGGACACGAGTCTTGATCATTTATTTTTGCATTCAAAGATTTTAAACTTGTCACTACTGGTGATGAAAAAAATTGTTTGGGGGGTAAAAGCTTTAGGAATTGCAGCATTTACTGTGTAATTCACTTAGAAATTGAATCAAATGAATCAAAAAGCTCTCGTCCAAAATATGTCGCGGAGCAAGAATATCGGAGACATTACGATATTACACCTGGAAGCTTTACTATCTATCAATGCCTCAAGTGCAGTATTTCTTTAAGCAATGAACTCGAAGAAAAAGCTACTACATTTCTAATTTTTTGAAAGAAAGATACTCAGGATTATCTTTCTAGAAGAGAGTCCTAAACTGTTGACAATTTGGGCGCGCAGGGCATACGCCATATTCCGATCACGTGCTGTCTTACCCCGATAGTCTTGAGCCGTATTTCAGTAGCATTCCGCGATGTAGCCTCTACCCCAGACTTACCTCAAAAATGGCGAAGTCAGAGAGAAAACATTGCTCAACATCGTATGTTCCAATGCATTGGTAGACATTAATCTCATCATAGATACTAACTGAAACAGCTGTTTGAATTGTCGAATAAAAAAAGTGAGTTCTCGTTATACAGATATATTTCACCTATTTCCCTTTACTAACACAACAGAGAAAATGTGATAGAGAGCAAGTATGTCGCCATTGCTCAGAGCTTGGTCTCCAATGTGAGAGGGCAAGTAAAGATAAGCGAACCCAGCGGCTCACTTCAGGTGAGCTACAGCAGCTACAAGATGTTTCTGCTAGTATGGAGTCTACCTTGGCTAGAATATACGAACTCACACAAGATGGCAATACTAAATCTGCCCTTGATCAGATTAAAGAAATTTTGATGAACTCTGGCCAGACGCAAAGACAGACAAAGCCAAGGAAAAGAATCCCTGTTTCTATAGATGCATCCGATGGTGGGGTTTACTCTGTATTTGGTCCCACCTCTGCGTTTCTCAATCTTGTTGACAATTCCGAACGTTCCGTTCCTACGCAGCTATTTAATAATGGGCTAATGAACACAAATCAGCTTGTAAGCTGCCTTGAAAGCTTTTTCACTTGGATGTATCCAGATGTCACCCTTTTCATACATCGAGAAAGTTTCTTAGATGAATTTCTAACTCCTAACAGCAGTCATGGGTATTGCTCTGAGGAATTAGTGTATGCTATTGCTGCTTTAGGAGCAAGGTGCTCTTCTTCAAGAGAATTGCGAGGGCTAGCCCAAAACTTTTTTGAAACTGCACGCCACAAAATCTTGACAACTCGAATTTGCATTCCCCAGATCAATACTTTACAAGCACTCCTTTGTTTATCGTTATATGAGCTTGGGGAAGGAAACGCTTCGGCAAGCTGGATGCTTTCGGGTATGGCCATTCGTATGGGATACGACATGGGATTTCAACTCGATCCTAAAGACTGGTCTCTTGAGCCTTCTTCTGCCAGTGGTCCACAGCAAGCTTTGATCAGGGATATCAATGTGATGGTCCGTTCAAGAATCTATTGGGGATGCTATATAATGGATCATTTTGTGAGTTTGATTATGGGGCGGCCGGTAACGGTGAGAAAGACCGAAGCCAGTATTCCAACAAGTGAAGTGCTACCGAATGCAAGCAACATCGATGGTTTCGTATTTCAGCCCAACCCATCTCCTCAAAGCGTGCGAAACTTGGATGCATTTCAGACAATAGAACCGCTTTGTTTGCTAAGTGAGTGTATTGGATCCCTTCTCACGGCCATATACACAGGTGAATCTACAGACGAGACTTTATCTTACCTTAATAAGATGAAGTTGGCGAACTATAATGGATCTTTAGCAAATTGGCGACGAAAGCTACCTGTCTCTTTAAGATGGACAGAAGTATCTATGAAGAAGCAAGATTACAATCCCACTGTTGCAAACTATCGGCTATTCTATTACGTTGTCTTGATCTGTCTCAATAGACCGTTCTTGAATGTGCAAACTGGTGTTTTCCTTGATCAGTCTCCTCAGGAACTTTTAGATACCGCCATTGCGGAGCTTTCGGTTTTTCTTGGTAAGTTCAATGAATCAGGGTCACCTCCTTCTATTTTGATAGTTTACTCATCGATTCTTGGCTTGAGTGTCGCATTAATGCAAATACAGGGTATCTCAGAATCCGATCAAATTGGGGAAAGTGACATCCAAAAATTGAAGACGTGCTATACCACGGTCTCTAATGCCTGTGCACATTGGAAATTGGCTGCGAAATCGTTGATCTTTGTCAAGAAAAAAGTGAAGGAAATCAATCATCCCAAATTGTCAGAGGTTTTTGGATCCGTCAAAGATATTATTGAGACAAAACTCTCAGAAAGTGACCTTTCAGGCCTCATGGACCATGGCATCGAAATGCCACACTGGACAAATCAGGATAACCTATTCGCAAATTTTTTTGACTTCCTAGATCACACGTAACGGCCGTCAATCACATAAAATTGACAATCGAAAGCCTCTTAGACATACACGGACTTATTCACATCCCGAAATGTTCATTTGCAAAAGTATATCCGCAACGTTCTTTTTATTGCAAACTTGAAATGAATTATCTTCGTGCTCCTCACCATGTGACCTGCTCACGTGGTTGCCGCTTCGCCGCTGGCTGAAGTCGCGCTTTTTTTCAGATAGATCTAATTCCTACGTAGGTTTCGTTTAGTTACATTACAGCCTTTTTTACTGGAAGAAATGACTTTGCAAGAGCCGGGAGACCTCGGATATAATGACTTTCATGTTTCGCTTTTCTATTTGGCGAGCATTGACTCAAATCATGTTCAGGATGCTAATGTCACTATTGCTTTAAAAAATCTTGCTAAGAAGAATGCAGTGACCAAAGAGAAACGTCTTAGCGAATTTCTTAAAATGCTTGAGAATTCTGCCTTCGATGTCAAAGATTACCACATTTTAGTATGCTGGCTTCAATTGTATCCTCGACTCGCTATAGACTCTCAGAAGTCAGTAAGGCATCTTTCTCATCAAATTTTGTCAACATACATGGACAAATACGGGGTAAAAGAGTTCAGCAAGTACTTGAAGACTGCCATGCCCATTTGGCTTCAGGGTCTATTCGATGACAAATCAATAGCGAAATCGGTCAAGTCAGATCTACTCAAATGTTTTGCAGGTGATGAGACGAAGGCGAATTATAAGGTTTGGGTCGTTTTCCATGAGCAAATAATTAACTATTGTCACACAGTCCTCATCCATGAAACGGCTTCAAGTATCACTGACGAAAGGTCCGAGACTTCTGATGAAGTGAGTTTAAAATATGAACGAGCTGAGAATATTGCAATATTGATGCTCTTGCAAACAATTCGCCTTGCAAATGGACAAGAATACTTCATAAGTGATTCGGCCTCAAGCCAAATCAATGAAATCTTGACACTGAATCAATTCTGGGAAAACCTCGGTTCATGCTCTGCGAAGGAAAATTTGAATGCGGGCCTTTTCAGATCATTTTTGGCGTTGATCACCGAAATATTTTCTTTGACTGATGAGGGCAATCTCAAACCTGTCACATTCAATTTGAAAGAGTTGAAGTCCATATTCAAAACCACGTCTAAGAAGATCATCAAAAACGTCAAGTTGAGTCCTTCTTCAGACGCATCCACGGTTTTTGTCTATTCCTCAGTCATTATTAATCTTGTCAATGCACTCAACTCGCTCACTTTGTTCACGAAGCAAAACCAGATTAAGATTAAAAGAAACTTTTGGCAGTATGGTGGGCTGAAAAGCTACTCTCGTTTGAAGGACCTTTTGAGAATTGGACCCTGTAGCTCAGATCCAGCATACTATGATGCATTGCATACATTTTTTACTGCTTTGGAAGAGTCATTCATACCCCCTGAGGAAGATTTTCCATTCGTTGATTTTTCAAGCATCAAGGATGCCAAAAACATCATCCTAAAAATTCTTTTGCCTCACTTTCAGAATCTCAGAGGCCTTAATGCTGTTTCTTTTAAGTATAGAGGAATGCAGTGTATTACCCATATTCTCAAGCTTTTTGCTAGACATGTTGATAACAATAAAGCTCTTGAAGATATAGCTCAAGTTTTGTTTATCACCTTCCTCGATGGTATTTCGGTTCCTTGTTTTAGGAAGGATGAAGTGAGGATCAGAGAGTGTAGTAACAGTCATTTGGCGGCACTTTTTGTTTCCTTCCTCAAACATAAGCAGGAAGATCTTACACAGGGGATTTTGGCCAGACTAGGTCAAGATAATCCACAAATCCCAAAAGTGACATTCAATGGAGATTTTGTGCAGATGTGTACGAACTTTTATGAAATACTAGAGGAAGTATCTGCTGAACGTGGAGAACAATTTTTGCAAGCAATAATTGAGAATCTCGAAGAAACATATGATACTAGCTCGCTTGAACAAGGTTTGAATATTTTGTTCAACTCTATTTCAAGAACAAGACAAAGTGCCATTGTCACCAATTGGGCAGTTTCAAGTATTCCCGCTTTTATCTCAAGCGAGCTTGTTGATTGCCCTCTCAATTTTTTAAAAAAATTTCTTGAACTTCATATCAACATAGACTATGGGCAGATGATCAACGACTTCTTCATGAAAATTTCTGTTGAATGCCTGACATGTCTCACTTCATTATTTGGCATTTTGAGTGGGTTTGATGAGTCTAAAAGGGTATTACTGAGCACCTCAACTCCTGATGCATATGAATACCTTCTTTACATTTCTCAAAACAAAGAAAGGCTGGATAAAGAAAATGATATGGTCTTAGCATTCATTGAGAACGCGGACATATACGCAAATCTATTGGGGTCGACTGAGGGCCTTGCAAGACAGGATACCTTGATTTTAAGTATTGTGACACAAAAAAGTTGCGCAGGGATGAACAGCTTAAAGTGTCCATCGACTGAATCTCTTATTCCCTGCGCTTTGGAACTTGTTCATAAAGAACACTCAAAGAAATTCTTGGAGGATTTTGCGGAACAGGGCATAGTGAAAAGTAAAATTTACGAGAAAATGCTAACATTGAGACCGGATCACGATTTTCAAGCCTTGATTGATCTCTTGGCTAGAAAAAGAGAATTGATACCCTTGGAAATGATAGAGAATGAAATCAATCAAGCATTAGATACAGTTGATATTGTTTCCCTTTCGATTTCTAATCCCTTATTGCAAAATATCAATCTTATCAAACAGCCGGCAAGCACGAGATTATCGCCCTTTTTATTGACCGTTGCAGCATTCTTGAAGAGCCTTTCACAGGTTGTTGTACCGGATAATAATATTCAAACTCTCACAAGTATATGTGCTGAATACGTGAGCGACTACGATTTCTTGAATCCAAAACACGAAGAAGAAAATATAGAGAAATCGTGCAATGCTTTCGGATATGTGGGTGTGACAGCCATTCAATGTGACGGTGTGAGTATAGCACAAGCCTTTAATGGCACCAGCGAAACTTTGATTGGCAATTTGTTCAACAAAATCACTGGGAAAGGACTTTTCTCTGCAAAACAGTACTACATTTCTAGGGTATTGGTTCGTGCTTTAAATCCAATTTTTGAAAGTATGTCACTCTCTGACTTTGACAAGATCGAATTTTCATACGCGACTCTCGGTAGCAATCCTCTCAAGCTTGCCACCTTGCTTTGCTCCGCAATGAAATTTGTTGGAGTATCTTCAAAGCTTGACAGGATTAGAAATTTTGTTTTCGCGGAGATTCTTAGTGTTCGATCTACCGCAGACATTTGCGAAGCGGGCCTTGTGTGGATTTCTCTCGCAAACACTTTTATTGATGTCCCTGCTAGATATGATATCTTGCCCAATCACAAATTGGGAATGCTTGTCAATCATCTTTCTAGTTGGTTGGAAAGCGATATTGCCTTTGATAACCTGTTCGTCATCATGAGGGCTTTACTTGCTTCGTTCTTCTCGCTGTTTATTCCAGTTTTAGGAGACAATGTTCCTGGTAAGACATGGGAAGTAGCAATTGACCTATGCTTGAACAATCTTGGAATGGCTCAATCGGACACTGATCTGGCAGCATTAGAATATTCCTCTCTGAAGTTGTTTCTTGTCTTGTCGAAGTTTATTGGCTCAAATGGAAGCGAAGATTGGGAGCAAAGCAGAATATCTATCGAGGAAGAAATTTTAGGTTTGACCATTGCGAAACAAATTGGAAAGACTGAGTTCAGGCCACATCATCAACCGTCCATTCTCGTATACGACTTATACGAGAGAGTTTTGCTGAAGGCTAATATTTCAAAAGAGATTCTTTCAGAGAATGTGGATAAACTTTACCAAATGCTTGCATCTTCTGTCATTCTAGGTGCGCAGAAAGTTGCTTGCTCGCTACTCCAGAGCCACATCTATGAAAGTCAGCAAGATGTGATTTTGGAAGTTCAAATGAGGGTCTCCAATATATCAGGTGAAAGTGGGCCCATTGAAGACTTGGCTAAATTTAATCCTATTTTGCTTCATGCAATTTCCGACCAGGCCTTCAATTTGGACGATGCCTTGGAAAGAAGAAATTATCATGATATATTCAAGTATTTGTGGAGCTGGGTACTCGTGTTTGATCATTTCAAAGAGTCAACATACTCCATGAAGGCCGCGTATATTAATAAGTTGAGGGAGAATAACAGTATCCGACTCTTGCTTAATACTGCATTTGATTCTCTTCCGTTGTCAGAACAGGCTTTTCTTAATCGGCTTGTTCTTGAGCCAATTGAAAAACTTGAGAAAGCGAAGCCAGCCCAAAGTCTCATTCAAAAATATGATATTGATCAAAGTCTTGGGGGAAATGAAGTGAAAGAAGATGTTTACTTCTTGCTTGCCCACTTATGTTACCAGACATTTCAATTCTTGGGATCATTTGCGCTGCAGTGGTTTAATGAAATACGAGATGTACAATTGAAGCAGCAAGTCGAAAGATTTTCAATTCGTTTTGTGTCTCCTATTCTCATTTCAGAGATATTGGAGGACGTCGAGAAGGCTAAAGACAAATTGACCAAAACTGACGATACGCTTACCATCAAAGTCAACAAGGTGACGAATGAGGTAAAATCTATTTATGTAATCGACGAGCAAACTATGGAAATGGTGATCCGAATTCCTGAGCGATTCCCTCTTTCAAACGTTTCTGTCGAAGGACCTACTCGCTTGGGTGTGAAGGAAAACCAATGGAAAGCGTGGTTGTTGGCATCTCAGAGGGTGATCACTCTCACGAATGGTTCCATCTTCGATTGCATCGAACTTTTCAACAAAAACGTCAATTTGCACTTTTCTGGTTTTGAGGAATGTGCAATTTGTTACTCAATCTTACATCAGGATCATTCATTGCCTTCAAAGAACTGCCCTACTTGTCTGAACAAGTTTCACGCAGCCTGTCTTTATAAATGGTTCAAGAGTTCTGGAAGCAGTACATGCCCCTTGTGCAGATCAGCATTCAATTTCAACACAGGAAGGTCATAATCAAAAATTCAAAAGCCATTGTTACCTTTGAAAGTTCCCTTAATATCAGAACTACTGCGGCCCAAGTTTCCTACAGCCCGAGCTGCTGGTGTGCCCCTAGCTGGCTGATTTCTAGCCCATGGGGCGCCTGTCATAGCAATATTATTACTTGTTGTCTTCATGCCTTGTAGTCCATTAATCATACCAGGAAATTTTCCATCTTTCTTACTTGCGCTTTTTTCGAGTTCATCTACAGATTTCACTGGAAGTGATTTTGTGGTCGATGCATCCACCCATGGATATAAACCCTTTCCAAACCAAAAATGTTGCACCACGGGGTACTTACCAAAAACTTCGACTTCATACATCTTCAAAAGACCTGATTGAACCTTACTCCAGCGAGTCACAGACTTATGTATATCGTAAAGCACGGGCGAGTGCTCGTGAAATGGGCCCAGCTTGAGCTTGAATATGAATGCTATTGCATTCACATATAAGTTGGATAGCTTGTAAGAGCTGATTGTATGCGGTGATAAGATTTGCAGTACTGGTGGTGCATACTGGAACGACTCTTTGACATTCTTCCCGCTACGAAAGTTGAACTCTGCCGCCCCAAGAACGTAGATAAAATGGAAGTGGTCATCGAGACCCCACACTCCGTGAGATCCCGCAGGCTCAAGACTGTAGTCTAGAATCAAGCGACGTACCAAATCGTAGTATCTACTGAAAACTGCAAGAACATCTTCACCAGTTGTGTCTTTGTTAAGGATTCCATTCTCGAAAAGCCCCCCAATGAAGGCTATGAAAGATAATTCATGGCCAGAACCGTAGTCGAGTCTCATTTTTGAGCCGAAAGCATTTACCAAATAATGATTGAGCTCAATAAGATAGTTCTCATCTTTACTTAGCTTGCGTAACAAGGATAGAGACTGAGAATCAACTTTTGTGTGCCAGTCTCTACATGCCATGTTACCAAATCTTCGTGGCCCTTTCAAAGGAGGGGTTTCATCCACAAGCTTATCTAAATTATCAATGATTTCGACAAGATTTGCGACGTTATCCTTTGGTGTGTAAGCTTTGCCACCTTTTTGGTCTTCCACATCAGGATATTCCAAGTTTGAGTTTCTTGTGACGATTGCGGACTTAAGTTGGCCCTGAGGGACTTCAACGGCTGTGACCTTCTCTAGGAGAAATGAAATCACATGGTGCAACTTCTGTGATGCAAGAGAAGAGCGGAAAAGAGCCACGTCGGATTCTTCATATATTCTTTTGGTGGGCTCGCTAAATTTCTCTTGTATCATTTGTATCTATAGCTGGACTAGATATGATCATACGAATTGATGTATATACATGCATTATGCAGGTGTATATATACACGTGACCCATATCGGGGGACTGGGGCAGCATATTGTCTCCTCCGGGAAACCTGCTTGTAAGAACAAAGTCACCAAGGATAATTGGTTTCGAGTCTGATTTTCACTGGGGAGCTTTCGGGAGAAAATTCCATCTCCTTTCGATGTCGCTTTGTTGGACTCGGTGTTTCAGCAAGACACGGCCTTCCATTCTCAACAGTTTTCGGTGCGGGGAGAATTGCGCCAAATCCGAACGAGTCTTTTTTTTTGTGGTAAAAATCATTCCCTCTTTTGGTTTCCTCTTGATCCGTACTGACAAACAATGGCTCATCGAGCGACGTGCCATTTCGCCTCAATTGGAGAAATGAGGTGAGCGTCGACTGTCCTGGAAGTAGTTCTGACTTTCGCCCCTGGCGCCGCCGAGGCGATTTTTTCGTTAAATTGCTCTTGCTAGGAGACAATTCTAATATAGGTTTTCTTGTCTGCTCTAAAAAAACATCCATTCCGCCGGCCATCTGCTTCTTCATCTGACATGGCTCGAGTTTGACTTCATCCACTAATAAAGAATCCTTCAGTTTTAACTCCAAATCAGGACTTTTCTTTGGCAGCGACGACTGAGAAAAGATCATGTAATTTTCCCCCTTGGTGGCCAGCTCTCGCAGTAAGAGACTGTCTAGCGTTGTTTTTTGTTGGAATTGCTTCTTCTTTTTCGCCGGAGACTTCCGCTGTGCTTGGTAGTTGAATTTCTTTACAAATTCCGGTGAAACGAATTTGACACTCTCTAGTGGAACTGTTAAATTTATCGACTTGTCATCATCCTCTTCTGGCTCTGCTGTATTGGCCTCAGTGGCTCCTTCATTTGGGACAGAATCATCAGCCCTTTCACTTTCAACCTCGAGTTCAAGTGTGAGATCTTTGCGCGTGTAGTACACGAATTCATTGAGCTTCACTCTGTTAAATTTCAACACGGCCATCGAGACCCCCTCAAAATCTTTGATCCTTGCAAATTGAATGTAGTTCCAAAATATCTTATTGCGTAATAACTTGAGTACAAAAGCCTTCAAGTTATATTTCCGTTCCCTCGGTAGTGCTGTCTTTTCAAAGTGTAATTCTAAGTATTGTTCAAAGAATTCAACACCATTCTTGATCGTCAGCTTTCCGATTACTGTCGACGACACTACATTGTTGTACCTCATGACCTCAGAGTCAATTTTGACTCCCGACAAATCCTCAGCGACGATGCTTGCTTCGGCAAAAGAAGTTGAGTGAGGGGTGAACTTGAAAACCCTGGTATTTACCAATGGAAAAAAATAAAGCATTGCAAAGTAGTCATCGATCTGTATAGTTCCCTCGAATTTTGTAACTCTTCCAAAGACTTGACTGGCTTTTTCTTTCAAGAATTGGTTCAAGAACGAATTGAAAGCAATCAAACTCAAATGTCTGTCACCCACTTCCTTTCTTCCAAAGTAAGGGTCAAGCAGAATTTTACTACCTTTTTCTGGCAAAACGAACGTGTCAACAAATAATTTTGTCAAGTCCACGAACGATCCAAAATCTTGGGCGGTTGCCCTAGCCTTTTTTTGGAGCATTGTGGTGCCGCATAATGCGAGTTCCTTTGCCCGAGTTATCCCGATGCTTTCGGCACCACGAGAGTAATCACCACCTCTCAAAACCGCTATGAACACCAAATGATTTCGCTCGAGGTTAGTTTGTTTTGTGACATGGCTCATGTGAACTGGTGTCACATAATAGTCGGTTGGACTATTGACAGGCTCTTTATTGTCAGTATAGTACTTAACTCTTGTGAACCAGCGTAACACGCCTGTCGCTCCAAAAACCAAAGTATCTGAGTCGTCAGAAATGACGTAGTCGACCACACCAAGTCTCTGATTCCACGCACATTGAGCTTCGGCCTCGGCGGGTGCTTGTTCCCAGTTGATGCGATTTCTTGAAAGAATATCCTTCAAAGTCTCAACCAATCGCAGACGTTCCGAAAACTTTGACCTATGTAGTTTCAAGAAGCTTTCCAATTGTTCGTCGTATGATTCAGAGCCAGGTGTTTGAGGAATATTTCCGTGTCGTAATTTCCGTGGCTTATGGGCTCCGTCGAAAACTACCACGAAGGATACATTGGTCTGTGCTAGATACCAAAGTTTTGCCATGAAATTGCGGATATCATAGCTTTCTTTCACGGGATCATGCTCTTCCACATTTGAAACCAGCGACCAGAACATAAACATATATGCATCTATGGCGAGACGAGGAGGTCTGCCATTCTTTTGAATAAATCGGCTTAGGAAGACAGGAAACGAGACTCTGTCATCCAGAGGCAATATTTCCCAAAGGTTGTCGATTCCCATACCATTATTGTGTGACACAAGTACGTGGTTGGAATCAGGTACCTGCGAATTTTTTAAACTGATTTGCCTCCTGTTGACTGCGCATCCAAGGAATTCCGCTAGGCGACAGAGTGATTAGAAAGACAAAAAAAGCAGTTCGGTTCTAGAAAAACTCAAAGCCTAGATTTATGATTACCCAATGGAATGAAATTGGGAACGATAAATAATTTCAATGGGATTTGGATTTATGCCTTTACTTTTTATGAATTTATTTGAGAGTTGAGCTGAAAATGTTGTTAAAATTTGAAAATTACTCCTCTACTTTTTTACAAATTTGATGCACTTATAAAAGTATCTGAGCTTCATCTTTATCTTGGAAACATACATGGGAGGACAATGATTTACACAGTTTTAGCTCAAGCTTTAATCCAATGCTTTATCTCGAATACAGAATGTGGTTCTTTAGAATCATAATTTCTGGAATGATATGTCGCAAACAGCCAGGACAGCTCGTGAGGAAAATGGGGCCAGCTGAATTAGCGATGATGCCAGTTTGGAGCAGATCAGGAGGCTGAGATCATGATAATATGCTGGCTGCTGCTTTAGAGTCTTTGTCAGGTATGTGTTTCAGTGTCTAGTATTGTAGAGAGCCATAGCCCGGGTGGTCTTCGCTTTTTGGAAGACCATATTGCCGGAGCGCCGAAAAGTGCAAATCAATAATGCTTCATAACTCCTTTTCTATGACATGGAAATCACCATCTACTGCTTTGAAATTACACGCAATAGAGCTCCAAAAAAGTGACATGAATAAGTAGCAACCTAGTACCGCCCTTATCAGACAATATAGTCCATACTTTCTTGTGATGCGAGACGAAAGTTCATCGCGCGTCTTTTGATCCATTTTCTCCGACAACTTCATACATATCGCCTCAAAAAGTCAATCAGATTATAGAGAAAGACCAGTCAAATCGTGCTTACCCCACAAGTATGCAAAACGAGAAGTCGCATGGGACAGGAACTAAGCCGCGCTGGCATATAACGTCATTTGCAGTTTGTTCAAATCCAGCCACCGACGCAGACGCATATATTGCAGATTTCCGAGGCCCGATGTCCCCAGAGCTTCAAAACATAATCCAGCTGATTTAAAATTTAAGAAGACACTACTTTTGATCCTAGACCTACCTTACTCAATGACTCTTGTGAACGAAAGATCTATTGGGCTGCTTGTGTGCGGGGGTTTCCAGGGAACTTCTGTTACTAAACAGGCCTACGACTTGATCGTGAAATACAACATTTCCACTATGATTCTACTGAAAAAAAATGCGCATTCAGTGTCTCAAATGTCTAAGCTTGTACGTGATCTCCAATACATTGCGTACAACGAAGCAGGATATGAGTATCCCTTGGCATTTGCAATTGACGAGGAAGGCGGTATGATGAACTCTTTATTCGACTCCGACTCTCTATCCCAGTTTCCAGGTGCGATGGCACTAGGGGCTACTGGAGACCCGGAGTTGGTTTATGAAGTTCTGCGTGCTTTGGCCATTGAGCTTCGGCATATCGGCTTCCTGATAATTTTGGGCCCCGTGCTTGACGTTGTCATTAAGCTTTCTCATCAGCTAGTATCTGTAAGGTCTTTTGGAACAACAATCGAGGAAGTCGTCAAATATGGAAGATCTTGCGCAAGAGGCTTGAGGGATGGGGGCTTGATAACAGTGGGTAAGCATTTTCCTGGAATAGGATCCGCCCGAGTAGACTCCTTACTCGAGCTTCCAATGATGACCGATTCTTTAGATCAGATTCGGAGATTCAATCTGGTTCCGTTTGCGGAGTTGATTCGTGAGGGTTTGCTAGACGGGATAAGTGCGGCTGGATGTGGTGTACCGACCATTTCACCGGACGAAACACATGCATGTTTGCTGCCGGTATTATTGACTAAACTTCTTCGGGAAGACTTAGGATTCGAAGGGTTTGTTATAAGTGAGTGCTTGGAAATGGATGCTTTATACCACTCGATCGGTTTGGGTCAAGGCGTGGTACTTGCGCTATACGCTGGTTGTGACTTAGTCATGGTCTGCCATGACTTGAAACTACAAGTTGAAGCTATTGAATCGATAAAAATAGCTCTTGATAATGGCTCGCTAGACGAGCTGATTGTCAATAACTCCTTGACTAGATTGGAAAAAGTGCGAAAGAAATTACCATCCTGGCAAGAGATTTTTCCGGGTGGTTCTAAAGTGGATCTGATGCTCTTCAAGGATGCTCACCTGAGCCTATGGCATGAACATCAAAAACTCATGGAAAAAGCATACGGAAAGAGCATCACTCTTGTCAGAGACTTCGAAGGCGTGCTTCCTCTTTCACAGTACGTTGGCAAGGATCCGCGTGATAGTATCTTGATTTTGACGCCTTTACTCAAACCCATCTATTCCAATCCAGGAGAAGGAATGGACCAAAAAAATGAGCTTTATCAGGGAGAAGAAGTTTTCAGGGAATTCGGCTCTCTCTTGTCCCTGCATCCGAAGAATATGCAAAAGGATATTAATGTGCTTCATACGACATACACCGCCAACGGTCTTACAGCTTTGCATGAGCAATTGATTGACTACTCAAAGGCAGTCATCGTAATAACATCAGAAGCACAGAGAAACATGTATCAAATCGGCATTGTTAAGTACATTTCCATGCTTTGTGGAGCAACCCCTCTGTCACTATCGCGGGCGAATGGTAGAGTGCAGCTTGAAAAGCCGTTGGTTATTGTTGCCACACTGTCGCCTTACGATTTTTTCTACAACAAGTGCATCGGATCAGTTTATTTATGTTGCTTTGACTATACAAAACAAGCATTGAAGGAATTGGCAAATGTTTTGATGGGGGAGAAAGTGGCTGAAGGATGTATACCGGGAGAAAAGAGATTCGCCGCTGAGAAATCAAAGAAAAGGCGCTTGCTGAGTTTACTCACACCAAATCCCGAGAAGATTCAGGTCAAAGTGAGGAAGTCGATCCCACCCAAGAGAATTTGGCTAGTGGATGAAATGAATGTTGCGAGAGATTGGAAAGGTCTACTAAAATTGTGCAAAAACAATAGTCGGACTCTAAGCCTGGACACATTTCTCAGAAAGTTTTTCCAGCTTCTACACATCAGTCAACCGCATCAGAAGCACTTCGTTGTGAGAAATTCATCTCTTAACATAATCTATGGGCTAGTAATGACCTGGGTTGATGTTCTGAAATCTGATGATAAGCTTGGAAAAATATTTTTCATTTTGGTCGACAGGTCCAAAAGGTTGCAGCTGATAGGTAAGTGCCTTCACATACGTGCCCTAAGGTATCTTATCGACGAGGAACTATGCACAAAGATACGGCTTGGAAGTCTGTTTCCTCTCTTGGAGTTTTTGGGTGACAATGCATTTGCTGACGACGGGAAACTAACTTCTTTCTTCAACAATGCAGGCTGGGCAATAAGCGAGTCAACGTTTCTGAGAAAGGAGTACGTGATGGTGTTGCAAAACTTGACAGAATGGAGTGTTCCTACAAAAATATTTCGAGAGCTCACCATTGTTGGAATCAGATTCGACGTCTGCTTACAGCCAACAAGATTGCAAGAATTTTTAGACCGTGTTGCCGGGAACAGAAAAAGCCAGCAAATATATCAAGCTTTCATTGAAGCATTGTTCCGAATGGATCCATCTAATGCACAGGAGACTAAGATTATTGTTGCTTTGGAGCCTACAAATCTCACCGTTATTGGTAGCATCATTGTGTTCAGCAGTAAGAGTTGGCTATCAGGGTTTTTTCCTGCAGTGGAATCCGAAGTCAGCCTGAACGAGAAAGCGACATTTCGGGGAGGGATTGTGAGCCCGTTGGTTGATCTGTCATATTCAAACTTGACTGAAATTTTCAAGTACGGGCTTATTTGCTCTGCAGTCACGAGCCTCAGGACCAATTTTTCAGAAGCAGCTATTGACGACCAGAAAAACAAGTGCTTTCTAATTGACTACGCTGACGAGAATTCCTATGCCGGGTACCAAGATCTAGGATTCGAAAAATGGCGTTCATACCGAGCTTTCTATGACGAATTTTCTCGTAAGGAAGCTTTAGTGGAGGAACCTCAGAAGACACTCTAGAGTCTTTGTTGCCGAGAGGGAGAGCCCCACACATATGCGCGTGATGTCACATAAAAAGATTTTTTTTTGTGGAAGCTGCCGCACTACCCCGGATTTCCTGTTTAGGAAATTTCCCTTGGTCCGAAGCTCGGCACTGCAAGTGGCCGGAGAAAGAGAAGCAGGGACGAGAAGAGACGAGACGAGATGAGAAGAGACGAGCAGAGACAATCTAGAAAAAACACTAACAATGGCTTCTACTAACCAATGAAGTGCTTTATGAACATGTAAGGAACTTCCAAAGTTTCGTCCTAGTAGTGAGCTGCAAGAGTGAGCACTACTAGCTCGCACGACAAAAATAAAATTCTGCAGGAGTGGACGACACGGTAAACTTAGTAAAGTAATGCGGTGCCTTTTCGAGACCCATGTCATTCACCGCTTGTGAGGACCCGTCCCGGGGCTTATCGGTGGTCTGTCAAATGCTTTCATCCATGAGTAGAGCACCCCGGGGGTTGCCGGGTCAAAGCACACCACAGGATGAAAATCGGCCGTCTCAGTTGTGTGCATGATTACCCCAAGATTTGTCCTGCGGTTGACTGGTTTTAAGGTGCACCCGGTTTCTCCCGTTGCACCCGACCTCCTCGCAGGTGCATTTCTCCTCTTTCCCGGGGTCACAGATTCTAGCCTTCCTATAGCCCGGGCTTGCGATGATGAACGCAGTAGACAATATAAATAGCACCGAAATCCCCATGTGTTCCAGAAATTATCATATTCATTAACATATTCAGTACTCAAAAATGGTACCCCCCACAGCCGTTGAATCTTCTTTAAACTTCGCTGGACACTCGTCCATTAAAGCCATCGAGGACCCTTTGGTGGAGCAATTGTCTCTCCAAAAGGATGTCGTCATCAGACACAATGCCCCACCACCTACATTATACGAAGATGGGTTGTTGGAAAAAGGAACCACTATTTCCTCCACCGGTGCCTTGATGGCCTACTCTGGTGAGAAAACTGGCAGATCGCCAAAGGATAAGAGAATTGTTGACGAGTCTACTTCATCCCACAACATCTGGTGGGGTCCAGTTAACAAGCAAGTCGATATGTTGACTTGGAAAATCTCGAGATCCAGAGCTTTGGACTATTTGAGAACTAGAGAGAAGTTGTTTGTCGTGGACGCTTACGCCGGATGGGACCCACGTTACAGAATCAAGGTCAGAATTGTGTGTGCTAGAGCCTACCACGCTTTATTCATGACGAATATGTTGATCAGACCTACGCCAGAAGAGCTTGCTGACTTCGGCGAGCCTGACTTCACTATTTACAACGCTGGTCAATTCCCGGCAAACATTCACACAAAGGGCATGACTTCAGCGACCTCGGTCGAGATCAACTTCAAGGACATGGAGATGGTCATTTTGGGTACTGAGTACGCAGGCGAGATGAAGAAGGGAATCTTCACTGTCATGTTCTACTTGATGCCAATCAAGCACCAAGTTTTGACTTTGCACTCGTCTTGTAACCAGGGCAATGAGAAGGGAGATGTTACATTGTTCTTTGGCTTGTCCGGTACCGGTAAGACCACGTTGTCTGCTGACCCAAACAGAAAGTTGATTGGTGATGATGAGCACTGCTGGTCAGACAATGGAGTCTTCAACATCGAGGGTGGCTGTTACGCTAAGTGTTTAGACTTGTCTGCGGAGAAGGAGCCTGAGATCTTCAACTCCATCAAGTTCGGTGCCATTTTGGAAAACGTTGTTTACGACAAGGAGACCAAGGTTGTGGACTACGAGAACTCTTCGATCACTGAGAACACCAGATGCGCCTACCCAATCGACTACATTCCATCCGCCAAGATCCCATGTTTGGCCGATGTGCACCCAACCAACATTATCTTATTGACATGTGATGCCAGTGGAGTCTTGCCACCAGTTTCTAAATTGTCCAACGCCCAGGTCATGTACCACTTTATCTCTGGTTACACCTCCAAAATGGCTGGAACTGAGGAGGGTGTCACGGAGCCACAAGCTACTTTCTCAGCTTGTTTTGGTCAGCCGTTCTTGGTCTTGCACCCAATGAAGTACGCTCAGCAATTGTCTGACAAGATCTCCAAGTACAACGCCAATGCATGGTTGTTGAACACCGGATGGGTTGGTGCCTCTGCTGCCACTGGCGGAAAGAGATGCTCCTTGAAATACACCAGAGCAATCTTGGATGCTATTCACGATGGCTCTTTGTCGCAAGTTGAGTACGAGAACTTCCCAACTTTCAACTTGCAGATTCCAAAGAGCTGTAACGGAGTGCCATCCGAAATCTTGAACCCTACCAAGGCATGGACCACAGGTGACGCTGCTTTTGAGAAGGAAATCAAGTCCTTGGCCGGTAAGTTCGCCGAGAACTTCGAGAAGTATGCTGACCAAGCCACATCTGAAGTGAAGGCTGTTGGCCCAGAAGCTTAAAGATTCAAAATTCATATAACCTAGCACTAAACATAGTTTTACAATATTTAACACGACTCATTTTTTACAAAGAAAGGACTAACGAAGGAGAAAAATAAATAAAGCTTAGTCAGTCGCAACACCCTCAAGTTGAAAGCTTATGGGGAGCGTTAAGAGCTTGTGGGGAATTTGAAGACCTACATGAAAGGTAATTCTGGGAGAAAAAAACAGTTCCACATTCGCGACTCAATACAGGCTGAGGGTATTTTTCATCCTGCTGTTCAATTCTTTGCGGGGTATATCGGGATTTTCTCGTATCGTTAGAATTAGAACGGTTTCAAATTGTAACTGGCTATTTTGGTCGTGATTTACTATAGAGAGACATCAATTTTAACCATAAGATATTTGTGGTCTAAACGCGTTTTTATATTAGCAGATAAAATAAGAGGCCATATAATCTAAATAATTCTCAGTTGCCTAGGGTGACATCATTTGTACATTTGTTGATGTTTGATCACCTTGAAACTCAGTGATGCAATCCAGTTTACAAGAGAGTAAAATGGGAATGACGGGCTTTGAGCGCGTTTTAAAAATCGTTGGTAGAGACTCACAAGTATTGAAGTATTTTTCTTTGAATTTGAGTCTTTTACTCGTTATTAATTTGCCAACAAAACTGAACCTGGGACCGTGAGTGACACTTCTCGGTGTCTGAATCTCCAAGTGTATTAGATGTTAAATTTCCAAAAGTAGTATTGGTTTAGATGGTCAGCCAATTCTTGGCTTATACATTCCAAAGAGGTTGCTTACTTAGTTTCTTTTAACAAAATTCTTAAAAAACAAAAGCTAGTTTATGTTGCAAGAGGTATCACTCGCGCAGTTGTTCGACCTATCGAGTACTATTGAAAAAGGGACGCGCACATTTCCATTCAGACCTCGGGAACACAACATGAGTGGGCCTACTCTAACTTACATGAAAAACCACTCTTACCAATGACTCATTATCATTTGGGAGGAGCAAAGCAGCTGTCATTTCAACTCGACAAGACTATAAAAATAAACGTTCTTCGTCGAGCCGTCCAAGGTTGGAGACAAATCAACAATGTCTTGCAAGATGGTGCGAATGTTGAGCTGGCCTAGAATTGCGAGTGTAATGTCCATTCTTTGATTTACATGATAGTAGTCTAGTCGTTAGATTATCTTAGAGCTCCCGACAGAAAGCCATGAAAAATGCTACGTATATGAATTGTCATTTCTCGACGCTCGATTCTAAGTCTTCAAAAAACCCATTCATCTTCGCCTGCACATATCGCACTCTGCTTTTCCAAACAAAATTCGCTACCGGGAAACACTTCAGTCTCATCTTCTTGAGCATCTTTAGTTTTGCCCACCGCTGTTTTTCTTTCTTGCAGAAATGTCAACCCACGACACTATGCTAACGTGGTCGCTGGAAGCTTTCTTGGAATGTTACAATTCTATCAAGTTACATGGCACAGTATCAGTAAGTGACCGCAAAGCATTGAAGAATGACTTGCGTAACATTCTACTTGTCCCTGCTAGGAACGAAAAAAGCAGGTCTGCACTTGCTGCAGGTGAGAAAGGGAAAACAGTGGCTTTTCAAAATGGTCAGGAATATACACTCAACGCGGCGTTCGTCACGACAGCTAGCAACTTGGCGTCAGAATTAAATTTGGACGAGCTTTCATCAGCCGAGTTACTCCAAGAAGTTTCTGCCACAAATTTTGCTCAAGGCTCAAGCCCCGTCGAGGCTGGAATTTTGGGTTTTTACCAACGCTATAGTTATATTCTCAACATCCTTGGGTTTCTAGTATCCGAGAAACAATTGGATCTGATTTATGAGGGCAGCATTTCTGAGATCTTGCCCCAGATCCTTCAAAGTTTCAAACAGATTTACTCTTTGGTATCTCTTCAAAATGACTTCATAGACAAAGAGAACGCCACCGGGGATGTTAACAGCTTACCGTTCGTGAATAAGATCACATATGCGAAGGAGCAGCTTTTCGAGTTGCATGATCTCTTGGCCCAGCTTCTTTACTCTTTATTTGACAATTACATTGACGTGTTTGGAACTTATGAGTCTTACCAGTCAATTTTAACACATATCAACGAGACCGTGAAGTCCAACTCGGACTCTCTTCTTTTACACTACTTTCCTGCATTAATGAGGATAATCACTTGTTTGCTGGAAATCAAGGATGTTGATGTTCACAAGTTCCATCTGAGCTTTGTGTCTATTCTAACCTCAGATTTCTCGAAAGTCAGCTTGAATGATGAGATTGATACGTCTAAGTCTTCCTTGAGGCCACACGAGCTTTTATTACAATTGATTTTTTACATATCTCTTGTTCCATGGTGTAAACAATCTGCTGCAAGAACTCAAAAGTTTGATTTTCAGAATGATATCTTAAAATACACGGAATGGCTCATCAATTACGGAACGATGGAACAGCTTCTTTGTTATTCTGCCGAGTCTGCCAACATTATTACTGAGGTAACATTTGATCAAAGCAAACTTTTTGATTTCAGACCCCTTCTTCAGAAGTCTTTTCCACGGTTGACCCCTATTCTCTTCACATATTCTCGGAATGAGGAGTTGCAGCACGTCGCCAGAACAAGATCAGGGTACTCAAACTTGCTCAGATTATGCGACACCCTGTCTCTTTCACTCTCGCCCAATATGCGTGAGGCGCTTTTGGCGCCAATTTTTCATACTTTCTTTTGCGATTTCGTGAATCATTCTGCAATTGTTTTGACATCTCTCCGCGATAATGAGGAAGATTTTTTGCTATCATCAATCAACAGAAAACAACTTGAATCGGACCCATCATTCGGAGACTATGAGAAAATCCACGGCGAAAGTGGAGCTAGCAAGAACTCCACAAATTCAAAAAGTGATTACGGAATAGATTTAGACGAGCTTGCAACGAGGGCAGAACTAGAGAGATTCTATTTAGCATTTGCTTACACATACAGCAACAGACCATCTATCTGCGAAGCATTCTGGGCGCACGATAATGGCAATGTTGTTGGGTTTATCAGCTGGGGTTTGTCAAACAACACATCACCTCTTATCACAGCTACATTCTGCTTACTTTTGGGTAGTTTGACATACAGTGGTCAGAATTCGAGCGATAAAGTCTGGGAGATTTTGTGCAATAGTGGACTCTTGAAAAAGAAGGATTATTCTCAAATTTCAGTTGATTCGATTATCAGCTCTTTATCTTACTACATCAATGCTCTCGAGGAAAGCGTTTTACAAAATCTTCGTGATCAAGGAAAACTCAATCAGGAAAAACATGAAACCATTTTTTCAAGTGGGGCTCCACAATCCGAATTGGATAAAACGCCCGTTCAATTATCAGAAGACTCGGTTGTCTTCATCGCGGGATTCATGATGCTAATCTCAATGGTCGTTGAAAACTTGTCATCCGTTGCTTTCAAAAAGGCTGCGTTTCTGCACTTCTATCCAATCATTTCATCCTTCTTAAAGCTTGATAATATTGTGACATCAGCAAAACATTCACAACCCCAGGGGGAGTTGTGCATGGCATTTTTGAATGACGAGAACAGAACAGCTCTTGTCAATTTGGTATTGAACCTACTCACGAAGTTTGCAAAGAGTGCTGAGGCTGAGGTGAAATGCAAAATTTGGGTCCTTCTTGACAAGTGGATCTCTCATTCGGTTATTGAAAATGAGTCCATGAATCCTACTTGCATTAGCGAAGACACACCGTCAAGATTGACATTCTCAACTTCAACATCCGGGAAAAACGATATACAGAAATTGAAAGCCTTGCATAAAGGTACGTCCATGAAAAGAGGATTTGATGTCAATCTCACAAAAATTTCGGAGGTTTTAAATTTTGTCAAACTCATGGAAAATCTCTTAGAGAAAGAAGAAAAAATTGATGAATATCCTACTTTCAGAATCCCCTTTCCAGCAGATTTGGGTCATAAAAATCGTCAAAAAAGCTCAATTGGTATTTGGCCTTATATCGAATATTTGATAAGCGAGGTCTTTGGCAGGTCATCAGGCCTTGATTCTAAGAAGATGAAGTTTGACTTACAAAATCTGATACTCAAGATAATTGTGTCTTCTTTGCGGGAAGTCGATTGGAACTTTTTCGACAAAGCTGCCCAAGACATTTTGCCAGACTTTGCACAACACAAAGATCGGTTTGCGATATCCTTGCTCTCATCTGGCGAGACAAACATCTTGTCATTGAACAATTTCACTCGACTTCATCATTCGTTCGCCATCATCAATTATTTATTCGAAAATCATGCCAGTGCGACTTTATTTCAAATAATTAATACGGGATCCGAAGAGATAACTACCAATTTGAATTATGGTTCTTTGGTAGGTCTTGCATTAGAGACCTTGAAACTTCTTCTCAAGTTGCAAACGTCATTTATTGATAAATTGAGTATTTTGAAGAATTTTGATGGTCTTCAACCAAATCAAGGCTCTTCAAATGGATATGGCACTTCTATGAGCTTGATGTTATCCTTTTCGCAATTGGAGTATAACAACATATACTACCCAGATACTTTGGGTACGAAAGGGGTAAGCAACTTCTATGAAATGCTTTTGTATCATATCACCAGTGTTGTGAATGTCGCATTATATGTGGGAAACTCTGAAGAATTGCTCGTAAATTTGAGTATTGAGATCTTGAGTCTCATTTCGCGGTCGCCTATTTTTGTTTCCGGAACAAGGAAATCTTTATTGCAACAGAATAGACTCTTGAACATTTTCCAAAGTATTGATGAGTCGAAAAAAATCAAATTCGCATTTATTCAGCAATTGGAGGCTTCTACATTGTTCTTGAAGCCAAAGCTAAAGATTTTGAACTTTTTGATTGAAAACTTGCCGCTGACGAATGAGATCACTATTTCACACTTTCTAATTGGGTTTGATATTAAAGCAGATAAATTGTTAATCCGAAATTCTTCAAACTCTGATTTGTTGCTCCGCAGTTTGGTCGAAATGTTGTTGGAAACACTTCCTTTGATTTCTGATGTTGATTATAGTCAGGGGTATCAAAATCAGATTACATTAGGACCAGCAACATTGTCATCGCTTATCATGAAGATTTTGGTCCGCTTATGTCAAAATTCTAACTCATCCAAAATTACGCTACAATACTTGAGACAACATGACCTTTTTGTCAAGATTGTAAACACACAGCCGAAAATTGATGATTTGACTATATGGCACAAGTTCAGATTTAATGGCGATGTTCAAGATGCAATTCAAAACTCCTTTTTAGGCGATGACGGATGCCGTGATACTTTCTTCGAGTTTGTCTGCTTCAGAAACTCGGTTTTACAATATCTTTCACTCGAACTTCATGATGTTGGGTCGCGGAGCCGCAAAGATTATTACATCGGTTTGCTTCTTGATGGCTCAGAATTCCTCGATGGGACAGCCAGGATCTTGAACTTTTTGGATGTTTTGCACTATCAGTTTTACAACACTGGAGATTATAATATTACTCCATTTGAGAAAACTTTCAACTTACAGCCTCTTGCACTCGAAGTAGAAGCGAGATCTAGCGCGCATGAAAAAGTTACTTTGTTGAATAAGGTTACCAACTTGAGATGTAAAATTGCAAACAACAGCTTGTCAGGCCGAGACGCTATGTCAGAATTCAAAATGCAGGCCAACAAAGAGGCATCAGAGCTAGAAATCACGTTGAATAATGCTTGTTTCGTGCAAAGAATGAAAGCGGCCCACTCGAAAACTTTACATGCATGGGTGCAAATTGTGCAAGTTCTCACAACCGATGAGGTCACCAAAAAAACGAACTTCATACCTCAGGTGCTCCAGGTTGTACTTCCCAAGATTAATCACGATTTCCATGAACAGGATGTTCTGTTTGCCGAGGAGTTGATCTCGTTGTGTCTTTTCCTCTTTGATTTGCTCGACGAGAATTCGCAGACCAAGTTGTTGAAAGCTGACCAAACCAGCTTGCAAGGTCTTTTCGCGCTTTTCAAAACATGCGTCAATGGGCTTCTTTGTTCACACTCATCGGCTGGACTTAGGTCAGATTTGTACTTGTTGATCAACAAATTTATACACAAGGGATTGGAGACAGAAGAATTATTGAATGAAATAATTGTTGTCTTGAGGTCTGTTGATAGCAAGTTTTTTGATGTCGTGTGCAATGACTCGGTTTATTCTGAGGGGGTTTCTCGCATCACGTCCTTAATACTTTTGGAATCGCTCGTTCATTTGTCCCAAAAAGAAAACTCAAGTTTCTTCATGACTGCCTTGACAAAGAATAACACTTTGTCATTGCTAGTGAGATCCTTGAAGCGGGCAGATGATGTTCTTGCTGCGTGTGGGGAAGCTGCATCCAGTAAGCGTGATTCAGGTATGAACTTGGAGACACTCTTTTACGAGCTCACTGCGTTGAAGACCACCCTATTTACGTTCATTAGACTCGGGCAATCAAGGTCTGGTGCATCAAAATTAGTGGAAAACGGTATCTTTGCGACGCTTCGGAGACTCAAGTTCTTAGCAATTGACGCGGACTTGGGACTAGACTTTCTTGTTCAAGAAAGTGAAGAGAGTATTGGTCATGACACCATAATTAAACTAGCATTGGACGTGCCGTTGACCATTCGCGAGAAAAATCGCCAGGGTGGGGAACACATGAAAACACTTTCGTTATACGAGGTTTTGACCCCCATCTTTCAACTTGTTGCTACGATTGTTTTATCATTGGGGCCCTCTTTCGAACTAGGCATTATTCAAGTCGAAGAGTTGATGAAACACTCTCATTCTATTGTTGTCGGGGTCATGAAGAGAGATTCGTTGATTGAAAGTAAGCGCATCGACCCCGTATCAGACGCTCGTGAGGAGGAAATGCGCCTGGACATGCTGCAGCTTGTAAATCTCATAACGTTGATTTACACGGTACTTTCTGGCACAAAAGGTGGGGAAACATGACGGTCTGGGGCGCCGCGGACAGTTCGCACGGGTTCGTAACCATATCAGTCACAAAAAGAAATATACATAGTAAAAGTTTTCGTAAAATTGATTTATGAATGCACGATTACTTCTTTTCTTCGATTTTTTTTTTTTGGGCCCAATAGGATCAAGTACCTGAAACTAGCGCTTTTATAATTTTGAGTCTGGCACGGCATTAGCACGTATCCGAGTCTGAAAATTGTGCTTGCGAGTAGAACTGAAAGTCTAGCATATTTCTTGGCTCGCGTTGCTTAAAAAGAGTGGGCCGAGGTGTGCCTTAGAGCACACCACCATTCATGCAGGAATGGCCCCAAGCCGTAACAGCGATGACGTACTGCACATTGGGCACAATTCATACTATTATGGACAAACTCGCATATGGAAAGTCAAAATTTTCTTTCGTACATATTTTGTCCTGGTTCGGGTATAAAGGTCACATGATGGCCATAAAAGGCCAGAATTTCCTGAAATTTGCTCCACCAAAATATTTTCGTTTGAGTCATCGGAGTCTAATTTTTCCAAATTACACTATCGACCTCTTTCACCACGCGCTTCCCTCCCCCAACTTTCAACTCTACGCGCTCTAGTTGCATAATCTACTGCTGGCACTGGAATAATTAACCTATTTCGGGCAACAGTCATTTGACGTTATCAAGTCGAGAGATAGCAAATAATAGTGCAATAGCAATTTAAAGATCACACAGCTTCTCTGCTAAAAAAGATAAACACTCGTTTTCGTTGAGGAAATATTCTAATTTGCACTCACTTTTTTTGTGCTAACAGTTCTTGTCACCATGTCGCAGGATAAAGAAAAGGAATTGCAAAACTCCTCGCTCAAAGTGAGCGAGACTTATGGTGCAGAGGATGATGCACAGGATATTCAATCTAGTGTATCCTCCAACGAGAAACCCAACTCTTTCGGCCAAACTAAAAGATCTTTGGAGAGCAGACACATTAATCTTATTGCGATTGGCGGAAGTATTGGTACGGGGTTGTTTATCACCATTGGTTCCCAAGGATTGGTTAATGCTGGACCATTGGGTCTTTTATTATCCTACTCCTTCTGGACTGGCGTCATCTTGATGTTGACAGTTTCTGTAGGAGAAATGGTCTGTTACTTGCCCGTGGACTCCCCATTTTTGTCCATGGCCGGTAGAGTGGTGGACCCTGCGTTTGAATGTGCTGCGTCTGTGAACTTCTGGTTAATGCAAAGTTTGTACATCCCCTTTGAAATCGTTGCGGTCAATGGTATGGTACATTTCTGGAGAGATGACTATTCGCCTGCTATCACACTTTGTATCCAGATTGCCATCTATGCTGCGATTAACATCTTTGCAGTGAGACTTTATGGTGAGACTGAGTTCTGGTTATCTCTTGGAAAATTGATTTTGTGTATTGGGCTCTTGTTCTTCACGCTCATCACCATGTGCGGTGGAAACCCAGAGCATGACGCTTTTGGCTTCAGATACTGGCACGCTGAAGGAGGGCCAATTGCCGAGCACATCACCACTGGCTCGCTAGGTCGTTTCCAAGGTTTTTTGGCTGGTTTATTCTCAGCAAGTTTTACTGTGGTGTCTTCAGAGTATCTCTCCATGACTGCCGGTGAAGCAAAAAACCCCAGGAAAAACATGGCTACTGCTTTCAGAACCGTCTTGTACCGTTTAGTGATTTTCTTCATTGGTGGAGCTTTGTCTGTCAGTATTTTGATTGCTTACAACGACCCAACATATTTGGAGTTGACTAAGGATTCTTCGAATGCTGCTGCTTCCCCTTACGTCGTTGCTATGCAAAACTTGAACATCAAGGTACTTCCAGATATTGTGAATGCGGTTATTTTGTCTTCGGCTTTTTCTGCTGGTAACTCATACACCTACTGCTCCTCAAGAGCTTTGTACGCGCTTTCGGTTAAAGGATTCGTACCAAGCTTCTTCAGAAAGTGTACCAAGAATGGTGTACCACTTTACTGTATCGCAGTTTCAGTGGCCTTTTCCTTCTTATCCTTGTTACAGTTGAGTGACTCGAGTCTGAGTGTGTTGAACTACATGGTGTCGTTGTGTACTGGCTCACAATTGCTCAACTATTTCTTCATGGGGATAACTTACTTGCACTTTTACAGAGCTTGCAAGGTGCAGGGTATTGACAGAGCACAATTCACTTATACATCATGGTTCCAGCCTTATACTGCGTTGGTGGCAACCTTCTTTTTGATGTTGGTGGTTGGAATCTTGGGTTATACTGTTTTCATCCCAGGAATGTGGTCCGTCAACGAGTTTTTGTATAACTACGTTATGATCTTCGTTTCGCTTGCTGTGTACATCTTTTGGAAAGTCAGCAAGAGAACGAAGTACATCAAGCCTGAGGATGCTGATCTTCAGACTGGGCTTCTCGAAATCGAGGAGCACGAGTATCGCTACTACGCCGAGATGGAGGCCGAAGGCAAAACAGAGACTCGCTGGAGTAAGGCTATGGGGTGGATTCTCTAGAGTTTCCTTTTTTTTTCAATTCGAACAATCTCCTTTTTTAGAAACGTTCATTCGCATTCATTTCTTATTCCATTTGATTTTATTTTCTTATATACCACTATCGAAACAATTTGAAACATCTCAGGCTTCAAGATTGGTCTTATTAGTAATGTATGTGCTGTATTGTCCACAATAAGAGAGGCTCCCATGTGCGAACGTGCTTAATCTATACATTTGTCTGAGCAAAGACTCTCCAATTGACCGAAAAGCCACTTACTCTGGAAGCTTGTTAAGCCAGAGGTCTTTGCTCTTAACCTCATGTTGCGGTCATCCGTGATTAAAATGCAATACCTGAAAAGCTTGGCACTCTTGCTGTCCAAAGTAAGAGGTTTGGGTCCATGGATTTTGACGTTCAAGCCTTTGAAGAGTCTTTTGCTAATTTCATCATGTTCGTTAACCACATTCAACATTGTCAGATCCACGTTACTCATCCAGTTGGCATTGTTCTCAAACTCCGCGGTCTCATTTATATCGCTTGCGACTGTACCATCAAATCTCAAAGGTAAAATATCTTTAGCATAATAAAGTTCACGAATGATAATGACAGACCTTGTTGCTGCATCTGCAATTGTAGCTTCTGCTGACTTTCTCAAAGATCTCAACTCTTGAAAAACAATTAAGGGGATCAGAACCTTTATAACTTTGCTGCGAACACATTTAAAAATTTTACCGCAATGCTTCAACCAAATATTCGTATCTAAGGTGATGTAGGTAAGACCAGTATCCATACGATCACCTAAGTCACCCTCAAACTGAAGGTCAGCTCTGTTCATTGGTGACAAATATTGCGGGTTAATTGAGCTATAAAACTCGTCAAAATTGCCAGGTTCGTTTCCATGAATAAGCACATTTTCGGGATCATCATGATGATGCAAAGAAGTATGTAAATCATTGCTTAATGCACGTGTGCGCGAGTGCTGATTTGAATCAGAGGGATCCTCTTCCATTTCAGAATGTGAATATCCCTCCATATCTTCATCAACTTGTCTTCGCTCGACGTAAAAACCATCACCATGATGGGGCAGTAGTTCCTCGTAATCAAATCCGAACCATTGCTCGTCCTTCTCTTGAGAATTGAGTGTTGTTGCTTCGGCAATGTCCACAATATTTTCGGGTGATATAGGGGTAATGAAATCATTTTGAGTAAGCCTCCCGTCGGAATAAAAAACATCACGAATAAATTGAAAAATCTCGGCAGCGTTTTCTGGAGCAGCAGATCTTACCAAGTCGTTACTTTCAGTTTCCTTGTAAATTTGCCGGTCAAATTTGAAGCCATCTGCAGTTCGTACGAGACCGAAATCAAACCCATCCGCCAAATATCTTGCCAAGAGAATTATTCTAACAAGCCTTTTGTCATTATCAAGCTCTTGATTGTCCTTCTTTTTCGATCTTTCTTGCAGCTCTTGATTTGCAATGTTTATGGATGGAGACGTTCCACAATGGGGGATGTCAAACAAGTCGTGATTGAGTATTCCTGCCGACTCAAGGTCACTATAATCTTGCTTTGGACTAATGACGTCGAACCATAGAGATCCCCAACATTTCCAAACTTCGGGTAGGAATTCCAGCTGATTGAAATATTCGATGTAGTCTGAGTGATGTACGAGGTACTCGCGACATATTGTGTTCAATTCGGAATTGTTCGTGGCAACTGCCACCAATGTATTGAGGTAGTTTATGAGTGCTTCCCAAGGGAAGAATTTGCGGAAAAGCCAAAGAAACATATTCCTGGAAGTAGGGATTATTTTGGAAGCCTCGCCGACGGCAATGAGGAAATAAAGCCATACTATGACATGGCACGTGGAAGCCTGTTTTGGGCCAATGAGATAATAGTTGAGGATTCTAAAAGACAATTCCAAAACAGATTTGTTGATATGCGAAAGACACAAAAACCAATCAATAGCAGAAAGTTCAGAGGCTAGAAGAAGCTGACTATCGGTACCGGATATATTTGCGTTGAGAAGTGGGGGAATTCCGCCCGAACCATCCTCAGGTATGCTTTGTGACTTTGATCTCTTCTTTCTTTCCTTCTTGTCTTTCCTTTCTCTCAAAGCTTCAGGAAGCTGAAATAGTTTTGCAAATGGATTTCTTGGATCACCGAACCCGATAAGATGATTGATATTGGAAATTGCAAACAGAGCGCCTTTATTGAACCAAAAGTTCATTTTCTCGATAGAATCTAACGAGTTTGAATTTTGATCATGGTCCTGCTGCTGCTGCTGCTGCTGAAGAAACAGATTGAATGGGTCCGCACCAAATCTAGTCTGCAATCCACCAGGGAGGCAGAATGTTCTCGTGAAGAAGTTGTAACCCTGGGAGTCGCATCCGAATGTGATTCCATACCTGGTGACCAAATCTATACCGTACTGCAATTGAGCATCGTGGATGTTTTCCATCGGCAGGGAACCACCAGAGCTGGGTGAGAGTCTGTTCTGGCCGGGGTAGATACTCATGAGGACCTTGTGGATTTTGATGAAGTCGATGATGGGGAGTTCAAGGAGGGAGAGGATATTCCGCTGGGTGCAAATGTTCTCAACGACCAATCTGAGGTACTGCTGCGTTGGGACAAAGGGATCGCGGCAGTTGACGGATTTGCCGATGTTTACGAGCGCGTCCAAGTTGTCCTGCTGGACGGTGCACATGTGGTAATATATTTTCCCGTGCCCGTACATGGTTTTCATCGAGACCGCATACCAGTACTCGGCGCTGATTTTCCAGTCGATGAATCTGGAGGAGTATAGGGCGATGGCCATCCTGGACAAGTCGCCCAACTTCTCGCACCACCATCCCTCCATCTCCAAGGCCGGGTCGGTCAAGTTGGACACCACGCTGAAGCAATAGGCGATAAAGCACAGGAAGATCTCGTGGTCCTGGAAGATGCTCATCATGTTCTTCAAGACTTCCAAGTACCCAACGATGCCGTACACCCACATGCGGCGGGGGATCTTGTAGAGGTCCACGATGTTGCGGCCGGTCTTGAACTGGGTGGTGTTGGCGGTGGGCTTGAGGGCTGTGATCAAGAAGTCATGGTAGTTGTTGAGGAGCGTGATGTTGTGGTGGTAGATGGTCCACAAGTCGTTAGAGAGCTCCGTCGTGGACGCGGAGGTGGCCGCGAGCGGCATGGGCTCCGGGAAAGCCTGCACGTACACCAGCGGGCTGGCGCCCGCCAAGTTGCGGTGGCTGATTTTGACCGTCAAGTCCACGCAGCCTTTCTGCACCACCTCCTCGAAGTTGACGATGTTTTTGTACGTCTCCTTCAACTTGTTGGCGAGCTGCTGCTCCTCCTCGGACATGGCACGCTGTTGCGTGGACGCGGCCGGCGGGAGCAGCATGGACAGGCGGTGCAGTAGCGGGGCCTGCTGGCCCTGCTGGCCCGCGCTGCCCTGGTCCACGGCGGGGCTGGACGCCGACAGGTCGGAGTTGTTGTGTGCGGACGCGGCCGTGCCGTTAGGGCTGGCCGGCACGTCGTAGGCTGACGGAGGCGTGGGCGTCTTGCTGTGGAGCGGCGCCTGCAGCGCCAGGGGCGAGGCGAACTGGGAGCCCCTGCGCACGGAGCGGCGGGCCGGTGCGGAGTTGAGGCGGGCCGCGGACGCCGTGCTGGCGTAGTTCTGCGTGGCCGGCGCGCTGCTGTGGAGCGGGAGCTGTGCCTGGAGCGGGTTGTGGCAGCGCTTGGACGACGGGCTGTTTGCGTACGCTGACATGCTGTAGTGGCGTTTCGGGGCCGGGAGGCCGGGGTCCGGGGCCAGCGATTCGGGCCGGGGCGAGGAGCCGAGGGGGGCCAAGGCGGGGGCAGCGGGGCCGGGCGAGCTGCTGCGGGCGATGCGAGGGGAGGACGCCAGGGTGCGGGCCACGGGGTACGAGTGGTCCAGGGGGTTGTTGTCCATAGCAGAGAGGCGTTCCCCGGAAGATGGAAGGACGGGGCGACGAGTGGGCACGGAGGCACTGGTGTGCACGGGCGGCGGTTATGAGGATGGCGGCGTGCGGGCTTGGGACGTCGGGCGGGGCCGAAGATAGGGGGCCTGGGACGGATGGGGGCACGGGGCAAGGGCGGGGGCCGGGCTCCACGACTCGCTGCGGTGGATGGGGGAGAATGCCAGAGCACGGTGCGGGCGAAAAAACAGGGCGAGCGTGCGAACGGACGGCTGGCGGCGGGCCCGGCTGCTGGAGGTGCGTGAGAGGCAGGGTGTATTTTTTTTTTGCCTCGTGCCAGTTGGCTGGCGCGGCGGGCCGCGCGTGGGGCCTTGGCTTGGGGACGCGGCATGGGGGAAGTGAGTGGGCAGAGCAATGAGTGGACAGGGCAAGAGTGGACGGACCCGTTCTTGTCTTCTTATTCTTCTTTTTTTGTTTCCAATCTCTTTTTTTTGTTCATTCTCTCTTCATTCTCTCTCAATTTTCTGTTCATTCTCATTTCATTTTCATTTCATTTTCATTTCATTCTCATTTCATTCTCTCTCAATTTTCTGTTCATTCTCATT